ATAAAAGACGATAGTGAGGACATAAGTTGATCACACCTCTCTGCCCTCCACTGTGCTGCAGGTTAAGATTCATGTCAAGTTTTGAGAGCACTTACTTAGCTTACTTAGTAAAAGTACTTTACATTTGTAGGTGCACTAATCCTTTCAGTGTAGCTTGTTGATTGTTGTTAGCCCTGAGCTGCTGTTGGTTTTGACAAACCAAAAACAAAAAGGCAAAGTGTCCACAAAACAAAAGTAGAGAGGAAATGGCCTTTTTGGGCACATGACAGACCTTCTGTCAGCGACTGTACTCTGCAGGGATTTAGTTGGTGTCGTGGTGGCTAACGCTGCCCAGATGGTGTGATGAGTGAATATCTAATTACTTTTCCCATGGTTCCTCATTTTCTCAGAATTGCTTATTGACACAGAAAACCTTCACTGCCACCAGCAGGAGACCCATGAATCTGCAGGACAGAGCGAAGGATGACTGGATTTACTTCGTTCACACATACATGGAACCAGGTTAACTTCTAAATGTGGTGAGAGGAAAAGAGACAACAGAGAGGCCAGAAACATGATAAACTCTGGAGTTTGGATCTTTGTCATTTACTTTTGGCAGACTGGAGGACACATCGTGGAGATTAAAGGGGTCAATATCAGCTTTTTATATAAAGAGTATGTTAATTTAAGAACAGATTAAGTCCCTCTGCATAGTGGATTATAGATAAATGAAATAAAGAAACAGAAAAAGTGTATGATGACAAGGAAGATGTATCAAACGAACATAATAATAACAGTAATACTGATAACTTTCTTTCTAAAGCACCTGTAAAAACAGATGTTTACAAAGTGCTTTGACTGACTGACTGACTGACTGACTGAGCAAAGGCATGAACTCCAGAGGATTATAAAATGAACATCAAAGTTTGGGTCAGGCAGGAAGAAGTCTAGAAAATGTAAACAAAGAATAAAGAATGAAAAGCAAAAGGTCAATAAAAATAAAAGCCGAGAAGGATTAAAAGTGACACAGCAGACAGATGTAAAAAGGCAGTTAAAGAATTAATCAGTGCAATTCAGACAATCAAATATTTGCTGTATGTTTGTTGATTTGCTGTTTTGTTATGAGTTTGCAATATTCTCAGTGGCTTATAGTTTATGATTTCAAACTGCAGAAAAAGGAGCTTCTCAGACGCAAACAAATCTTCAGGTGCACGACAAAGTCAGCACGCTCGATGTCGAAGCCTTCATCAGCGTTCTCTACCCAGACTATGAAACCTTAAAGGACATTGAGTGTTTTGACTTTTCTGTTTCCATATAGTTCTGGATTTGTCACATAAACTGTAAATGTAAATTAATATTTGTAGGTTGTCTGAGAAACAGGAAGCCATAACTTGCATTTTCATATTGGAATACATTTTTTTGTTTCTTTATGCAGTGTCATTGTGAGACTTTTTTTTCTTACCAACTTTTTAACAAAAAAAAATGCAGGTGTACATTATCTTGTAAATTCAATAGAAGCAAGTCATTGCTCTGTAAAAGTATCCTCATAATAGAAAAGAGTGATATTTTTTTAACACTATTTTGCCTTACAGTATAACTGGATATGATAGCTGAAGTTTAAAGACTCAAAATATGGGGAAGAAAGAAGTAAATGACATGCTGCAAAATGTAGAGGGTCAGAATCAAACCAGGGGAGAATGCAGGTGGGAAAAAAACACCACAACAATTTCAAAAGTAACAGAAATGTTTTATTGATGTTTGTTTTAAATTGATAGTTGTGAAATTATGTGGAAAATATTCTAAAACACTATTGCTATGTTTGTTGCTGCTGGTGAGATGGTGAATGTAAAGTAACAGCAAGACGACTCAATAACATAATAAGAAGAACATAGAACTAAATAAAGTAGAATAGAGTAGAGAGGGAGTTGTGTTCAGCTTCATTTGACCTCAGAAACAAACGGACACCAAACATTGAAAAAGTATTGACAGGAACGTTTACTGGACTGTGGTTAGATATGTATGACTTGAGAGTTAAAGACAAGATTATTTTAAAAAGGAGTGAAACTCTAATGTTCTTTGGTGTGTGTCTTGATCTGACAGTTGACTGAGAGTCAATGATGATGGCGATGATACATGGAGAAATGATTCGATCACTTATGGATTATGGATGCGTGGCTTATGGATCAGCAGCTCATAATGTGATTAAAAACACGATGTAGTACAAAATGAAGCTCTGATAATATGTATGATGTCAGTAAACACAGAGAGCGGTATGCCATTTTACTGACTATCCCAAGTCTAGACCTGTTTTACTGACTAAGATGTTTCAAATGCAGTGTTGGGAAGGATACTTTTAAAATATATTCCGTTACAGAATACCAGCCCTAAAATGTAATCTGTAATGTATTCTGTAACATCACTCAATCTGAGTAACGTATTCTGAATACTTGGATTACTTCCACATTAAATTGCATTTTATAAGTGTGTAGGAATGCTGCAATCACATCCTGCTTACTAAACAGGCCTATTCTGGTGTGATCTTTGTTCCAACTGGCTGAATGTGTCAGGCCCAAGTCTCCCTGAAAGTGCAATATATTATAATGTGCTTTAGAGGAACAAATATTATAATGGTAAATTAATGCAAAATATGTTTTGCTAAGTTAAAAATTAGACGAATTTGCCAGTTTTCCCTTTTTGTGAAACAGAGAAGTACCGTCATGTAATCCACTGATTTCATGTAACTGTATTCTGAATACCATCTATTTAAATTGTAACAGTAACTTAATACAGTGACTCATCAATTTGTATTCTGAATACGTAACTTCGGTACATGTATTCCGTTACTCCACAACACTGTTCATATGTTATACAGAAAGGTAATTTACTGCACTGCAAATGAGTGTAGAGGGAAACAAGGACCAGATTATGTTAAAAGGAACTCATGGGGACAGAATAAAAAGTGCAGACTAGGCTTCAATTAGGCCTATATACAATAAAATACATCTGAAAGAGAAATACGGAGGGGGGAGACATGGGAAAGTCTTTAGTTTGCATTACGGAAAACAGTGGGAGAAATGTCTAAAGCAACTTTGAAAAGAAAGGACATCCTCATCATGTGCGACATTTATAGTCTACATTTAAGAAGAAGGAGGTCAACCAAGAAGCTGTGGGAACAGCTTCTCAACCTGGACTACAGGTTTATACACCTTTATAAATACCATAGATATCAAACAGCAGGGAGCAGCACTACGACACTGTCTCAGACACCTACACCAAAGAAGAAGAAACGACAGCTAGCTGTTTGTTAAGAAACTTTCCCATGTTTCACAGCTCGTCATTGCTGAATTGAGGTCGTCACAAACCTCCTATCTTCACTTTTGCAATGCTCCATTTCACATATCCAGGTTCTCTGCATGGCAATGTGAGTGTTTGCAAATGTGTGGCTTTATTGCGACAGTACAGTGTAGTTGCACATGAAGCGTATCAGTCATTGAGTTTATGTGTAACATGGGGACTTTTCAACAGCCTGTACACTAGAGCAACTTGGTTTGTTTTGATAGTATTCCACATCTTATCTGACTTCCAGCTAAAGGAGCTGATTTCAATCACTATATTGATTTATTGGCTCTGCATTGTCCTAATGAATCAATTTAAATCAGTGTCCCTTTGGTGAAGCTTCCTTTCATCGCAAATGACATCATCTGATTTCATCCCTATGGTAGCAAGGAGTGCCAGACCGTAAACAGTGAAGCATCCCACTGCAGGTACAACCCACTTCAGCACACTTAACACGCTTTTGAAGCTGACAGTATCCAGACCAAATAGTATCCTGACATTTTACATTCCAACAACATTCTCATTCATACAGGTCAAATAGTTGCTAGAAATAGACTACGAGGCTACTTGACAACGTTGCCTCCGATTCTTCTGACTCTAAATACAATCTGCGCAGGTTTTGAATAGCAGTTACTGTTTGCCTCGTGCTCTTCATAAATCCCACAATGTAACGTTACATCTTTCCCTCAAAATCCAACTCCTTCACTCATCTTAAAAAAAACAATGTTGGCATTGAGCTTAAGCTTGCCTTCTCTTTGTTTCAACTTCCAAACGCGAAAGAAATCTGTCCGAAGTCAGAACCGTGTTCCTGAATGCATCGTCTTGCAGCTCTAGAGTCAGCGCTTCTGCATGTTCCTGAATGCATCGTCTTGCAGCTCCAGAGTCAGCGCTTCTGCATGTTCCTGAATGCATCGTCTTGCAGCTCCAGAGTCAGCGCTTCTGCACACATTTGTTCTTCAAAAACATGACGTTCACCGTTACCGGACTTTATCTAAGTAATCGCATTATTGCTTACCTGACAGTAGTTAGGCTATGACCCCCCCCCCCCCAAAGCGAGCAAGAGGACAAACTCACCCAAAGGTCTGTGCCCCAGTCCATGTTCAGCCTGTTGGCCAAGCTGTGTGACTCCCCCAAATGCAAAGAACTTCTCCAAAGTTAACGAATATCATATGCCAGCATCTTAATTCGCTAATTAACTTGGGCTATGAGCCGTTTATTGAGATTTTCTAAATATGTTTCATAGCGAAGGAAAGAGGGATAAACTAGGGTGTTATAGTGGTTTTTTTGCAAGACACCGTGCTGAGAGCTGTTTAAACCCCGAATTGATAAATAACAAGCTGAAGATTGACCTGTTTTTTGTTTGTTTGTTTTTTTACAAAAAAAAACTTCTTACATCCTAAACTACAGGCCTATATGACTGATGTTAGGTTAAGCACATCAGTCATTAAAGTCACCATTGTCTGTTTTTTATTTTGTTTGTTTTTTGTATTAAGCAGCTGCACTATTGTGTTTTGTTTGGTGTATTTCTTAACATAACATTTCAATAGAAATAAAACTCAGGAACAGACAAAAATCCAAGACACAAAATTTGAAACCATAAATACAAACAATGTCAATTATTGTCCAGTGAGCAATGAAGACTTCCCAAATTGAAAAAACACAACACATCAATACAGGTTACTGTGTTTATTTAAAAAGATAAAAATGTATGTTAGACTTTAGAGAATGACAAATTAAAATAAATGTTAGGATTCGCCTGATCACTGATTATTTTCACTAGATTACTCTATAGTTAGTTACATTTTGTGTTTTAAAAAAGGTTAGAAAATACAAAATTTACAGGTCATTTTGCCATGCTGATAGAACAACATGTTTTCTTAAGATATCAGTCCCCACACTGATATCCATCAAGTCATTCATTTCCTAAGCTTCAGGCTTATGACCACGATGATGCTGAGCAAGACAACCACACAAACAATAACAATAACCCATATATACCATGAGGGCGCCGCACTAGTTTTACCTGTAAGATAGAAAAAAAACAGCATTAATTCAAAGTGCACTTCTTACTTCTTGGTGCCATAAATGTAACTTATGTGTAAAAATGAACATCAGCTAAACAAAACGTGATCTGCTCTTACTTAGCATTATCACTGTGACAGATCTTGTCACAGTCCCAATGTCATTCGTGGCATTACAGATGTAAACACCAGCATTGGTAGACGTGGCTCCAATGATGCTGATATTCCTGTAGCGCCCCCCAGTGGTCTCTCTCACATTCACTGCAGAGGGGAACTTCCATTGCATCTTAGGGGAAGGGTTGCCCTCAGCAGTGCAGTTAAAAGTCATATTTTCACCCTGGGCCAGGGTAATCTCTATAATGTAACTTTCCTTGAAAATGGGGAGATCTGAGGAAAAGATGATTTCAGAAACATTTAAAATCCCAATTCAGCAATACATAATGAAAACTGATATTAGTTGGGATGTTTGGCTAGTGAACATAATATGACAATTAAAAGATAAGCGGAAACTCACAGTGCACATCAGCTATGTAAGGCAATGAGGCCATTTTCGGGACTGGCTGTGGACCATACGGTCCAAGATGAAGCTCAGCAATGCATTGAAACTCTGATCGGTCAAAACTTCTTCTAGGTGTGATTCTCAGGGTAGGAGACACACTGAGTGGGGTCACAATGGTGTTATTAATTGTTTGCTTGTGCACATGTACGACGCCTCTGTACCACTGTATTATGAGGTTCCCAACAGGAGCCACGTTGGAGATGTTACATGTCAGGAAAAAGTCTTTGCCCTCTACCATCGGTCCAGGATTCATTGCAGAGATTGACACCATGTCGGGAGTTTCTGTAAATAAAGAAAAAAGAAAATAATGTAGACATGGTACAAGATATATGCACAGACATTTGCATTATGGAGGTGAAGACAGAAGATAAGTCTGTGGTACTCACTGTAAAGAGTGACCTCTGGCATCACAAGGCACTGCTCATGTCCTGTAGTGACGAAACACTTAGGTTCTATGGTCCACTCTTCCAGTTTTTTAACCCTCCAGATGACTGCCGGTGGATTTACAACCCCTGTGCCTCCTACTGTTGACTCCCAGCCCATTACCTCAGCATCTGGGGCTGATGTGCTGCAGTTCACTGTAGCTGGATCTCCAAATTTCACCACAATTTTGGGAGGTGTCAATACGAGAGGGCAACCTGAAATTCAAAAGCGGGTATGTTCAATCAAAGCTTCCTTTTATTGTACACTATCAGTCCTTTACCATAGTAACACAGATGTTCACCTCTGGGGGCGGCTGATGTTGATTCTTCTGGGTAAGTCGGTGTTGGTGTTGTTGCCTCTGGGGTGGTCATGACTACAGGGGCCGTCATCTTGGCTATAAAAGCATGAAGCTCTGTATATTAACAAAATTGCATTGTTTCTAGAAATAGGTTCTGATTTCAAATTATATGTACAGGTTTGAAATGTATCATTTTAATGGACAGTTACTTCTGTGAACCATCTCTGCTGATCCAAAGCCAAGCTAAGCTGCTTATTTGTTCTGATCATTTATCATCAGGTGTTATCCTAAAATCATGGACTCCTCTCAGTCCCATCCACCGACTCTCTGCACACACACTAACACATTTCTTGGCAGTTAGGAAGAGGAACACCCATTTCATATCTCAAAGTTGAACCTTATAAAGAATGTTCTCGATTTTATCTGTTTCACCTAATTCTCTTAAAGAAAACATAGAATTCATACATGAAACTGACTCCACTGGTCATGTCATCCTATCCTTATCATTTTATAACAGAACCTCACTTACAGGAAATGAATTCTTAAATAAAGAATGATTATTTAGAATACATTGCTAATACATTGAGCTATTAAAAAGAAAGCAAAAGATAAATCTACCTCAGTATTCTAAAGGTTTATTCCTAGGCACAGCACCAAATAACGTGTAACTTTGAAGTCCTACACAGAACTATTGTAAAGCATCACTCACCACACAGTAAAATCATGAGCATGAGAGGGCTGAGCGTCCTGAGAGGCTGCATGCTGGATCAGCTCGCGAGAGAAAGCAGGTAGATTGAGGAGGTAAGGTGTGTTTCTGGACCGTCCAGCAGAGAGAGTAAAAGAAATACACACAGAAGAAAAGTCAACGCCTTGGTAAACAGGAAACTGTAAGAGGATATGATACCACAACAGTTGGCTGATAACTGAGGAACCATATGTGAAACCCTCTTATCAAGTGTTTGAAATATCGGTCATGAAGGAGCTTAGCCTACTTGGTATAATTTATTGAAAATTACATATCAAAAGCGAAATGAGAAACATCACAGAAAATGGCAACAGAAGACAAATATCTCCACACAGTACATGTTTGACTGTTTCCAGTGACATTTTATATACACAAGTCTCCAAAGAATGTGTGAAGACTTAATAAACAGACACCCTTGGCTGTTCAATTTGCAGCCTGTGAACAGAAGAGGCCCTCTGACAATCTGACCCTCTAATCATCAAAAAAAATTAATTATGAATTTATATACCATAAAACTTCAATAAATAGCCTGGGCATTTATTGACTTCAGTCTATGTTATGACCCTACCTTAATTTGGGACAGGCGTTGATAAAAGACAAGCCTTTAATTCTTTTTTAAACAAAACTTGTGCACAGCAAAGATGGGAAAGATTTAAATGTGTATACCAGAAATAATATTTAACTCTCTACAAAATGAGGATATTAAGAGAGGAAGAGGCCCCTGACAGTATGATCACTAGTGAGTGCTGTGCTGGTCTGTGGAGCTGTAAGCATATCAGGGTGTTTTTAGTTGTTTAAAGTAGATGATTACAAATTTAGCATGAAAAAAAAAAACATTTACTTTCATAATCTCAATAATTATTTGAATCTCTAAAGCCAACACAAGCAGCGGAGTCCCCATCTTTCCTGTAGCTCACTAAGGTTTACTTCAGTTTTTTATCCCGATCATCATGCAGGAGACTCTGATGTGCAATGTGCTCTACTATGTCTTTTTTTTTTTTACAGATGTTGAAATCCATCTTGAAATTTTGTGTCTTACCAACTTTTGCAACACTAAATGCATACATGTGTCCTGCCTATGAATGTCAAAATGTGCGTCAACACAGGCTATTAATCGTTCCTTTAATTGGGAAGAGCTTTTACTTGAAGTTGTACGGTATATAACAAACTATCTTCCTTGATCCATTATATGTTATGCTGTTGGAGCAGCAGCAGAGCTATCTTCAGAGTGCGCCCATCATCATCACACCTCTGGCTGATGTCACTCTGCACTTTTCAACATAAGCATTACATTGCACAGACTGAAAGAAGGACAGGATGTCATCATTCATGAGTCTTGTCTGTTGTACAACCATTTTCTTCTAAGGTTAAAAAGTGAAATTGTTCACACCCATTAATTGTTTGCTTTATACTGTAGGTCAAACATAGGACTGTCTGCCACTTGGCGCTGCTTTACAGGGTCTTAAGTGAAATATACTCTTTGAGGAAAAGTCTGCTTCAGTTCATTACAGTGTTTTTTTTTTTCTCTCATACATGTCCATAATAAAGAAATGTTATGTGGGCTTGATCATCAAGGAAACGCGTTTCAGAGAGTAGGACCCTCCATGAAACTCTGCCCAGTAGACCCCGTCCTGGTAGCGGCTGCGATAGTGTCCGCCCCGATACCACACACTGTTCAGGTTGGAGTGGGCGCACATGTGGTACCACCAGCCTCTCTTTTGGAAATGAGCACAGTTACCTGGTGACAAAGCAGGTGAACAGGGTTATTTAAGGAAACAGTCAAAATGCAGACAGAGCACTAACAGATCCAGGAAGTGAGCAGACCTGTATAGCTGTCCTTGTCTCGGTCCAGAGTGGTGAAGGCCTTGTTGTTGTGGGCCAAGAGAGGGAGTCCCCTGCAGTGCCTTGGTATTGTCCTAACCGCAGTCGGTACGAGTCACTCTCCGGCTCCAGGTGGAAGCTGTCATACTCTGCAAACACCTGTCGGCCCTGCCAGTCCTCCAGAGCAACCCGTAGCTTATACTGGGCCTGCTTAGTCATCCAGTAGAGGTGTTCTAGACCAAGCCAGTACTCCCCATCTAAGTTCCCAAAGCCTTGCTGTAAAAACCCAAACGCAGCACTTTAAGCTGAGGATATGTTCATCCATGAGTTCTAGATTTTGAAGCTTTGCTAGAAACTAAAAACAGATTAAATCAACAATGTAGGTCTGTTGCTTTGTCCACGTCTTTGATCCAGACCAAATTATTAGAAAATGTAGTCTTTTTTTTTCAGGCATTGAGACTTTTGTTGACCCAGACTTTACTTTAAGTGTGACAGGTCTTTTATCTTACTGAACAATTCAACATCCACTGGACAGATTGACTTGACAATACCTCCGATCGTTGTTCAGGCTTGAAACTAAATGCACCATCTAATGAAGAATACGGTCAATGTTATACCTACTTGACATCATCATGTTAGCTATCCAACATTAGCCAATGCTAGCTTGGCTGTAGACTCTCTTCCATAAAATGAACATTGAACAGAGGGGTGTTTTGAAGGCTTGCAGGTGTGTGGACTCACATTATACTGCTCCCAAGTCCTGAAGAAGTTGACAGACACATCCTGTCTCCTTTGGATGACTGTCCAGCCTCCCTGAGCCTGACTCTGCTCACACCACGCCTGCAGAAGGCGGTTGGCGCTCTGCGGGCGGAGCAGGTAGATCCCACTGGTGGTCTCACCTGATTCCAAAACATGCTGACAGTCTCGCCACGGGCCTGAGAAAACATAAAAAAACATACAAAGGTGAGGAAGGGGCATAATACCAATGCTTGAAAGAGCACTTTTTCCAACCCTTCCATGGCCCTGTAAGAGCACTGGGCAGCTCCTTTGGTGACAGTCTACTTCATCTGTGGGGTTAGAGGACTACAACCTCCGTACATGGGGCGCAACATAACTGCAAGGCCATCGACGCCCCTGAATCTGTTTCTTTGACACAGTTACTGCCCTTTGTGACATCACAAACGGCCTGTTTGAGCACACAATTTTCTGAAAAGTGGAGCAAAGATGGAGAGGATGTACTTTTCTCATAATTGTAGTGTTTTTAGACAAGTTAGAAATACATATTAGTGCTAGAAAATCATGGTAAAGTGCATTTTGCATAATATGTGACTTTTAATTTATCTATTTAGATGTGAAGATTTTTTTCCTCAACACATGTTCAATGTCTCATGCCACAGTGATAAGAACAAATGAGTCCTTTGTTCTACATACTGGTTTATACCATAGACTGTTTATACACCTTTATAAATACCTTATGATATCAAACAGCAGGGGGCAGCACTACGACACTGTCTCAGACACCTACACCAAAGAAGAAGAAACAGCAGCTAGCTGTTTGGTCAGAAACTTTCACATGTTTCACAGCTCGTCATTGCTGAATTGAGATATTTTTATTCAGGAAACGGTTATTTGTAGTTTCTTCTCCTAGAGATCTTCAGGGGAATAAAATGGGTAACATTTTTTATTTTATCTTTGATCATGTCACTTAGTTTTGACGCTGTTAGCTTGTCTGCTAACTTCCTCTCAGTCCTGTGATCACAAACTATTTTTTTTATTTAAATTAATTTAAGTTACATAAGGAAGAGAAGAATTACGTTTTACACTTCGTTGAGAAAATGTTTTAACTGTGCATCTCTAACAAATCCCCGTTTAGCCAAAATGAATAATTAAATGATAACTTATTTTAATACAGCCATTAGTTTAAGTGTGTCAGATAAACATACACATACCCAATGAAAAATAAAAATACTGAATAAAGCTTTTGAACATATAAAGGCCTATTTTGTTCAACTTTGTTCGTATTGAGTCATCAGGAAGCTTTACTATTAAAAAAAAAAAAAAAAAGCAAACATCCAAACAGGAGCAGGCTTCCCTCAAATACTCAACTCGATATCCATTTTAATTCATTGAATACTTTTAGTCTTTACTCCTGTTGTCTGCTCAGATGTTGTGTTATTGCTCTCTGCTCTTAGTGTGACCTGTCAGCTCTCTGTAGCAGGTGTGTTTTTCCCCACACAGGTGACTGTATTTGATGCTTCTGTCACCTCCTCTCTGCAGATGGTCCTCTGCCTCTCTCCTCTCTGAGGCTCCTGGCTCCTCCTCTGCGGGTCATGTCGGCCGTGATGTGGAAGGTGGTTCATCTGAGGAGCATGAAGCATTACGGGAAAGTGGAGGAGTTCGTGTCCATGGTAACTGAAGCCATCCCTGACCTTCTGACAGACAGACAGATGAGGCTACTCACTCTGGGCTTAAGAGCGAAGGTGAGACATCCAGGTGCACCCGATGTCTTTATACTTCTGTCTTTTTATATTGCTGATGATGACAGAACAACTTTATTCCAATAATGTATTGAGGTTCACTTTGCAAAACTTAAACTAATAATAATTTATTGATCCCGCAAGGGGAAATTCGTTTTTACACTCTGTCTAGTAAACATGCTACACAAACATAGGCCGAAACACACACACATGCACAAACAGGATCCTGTGGACATGCACTAATGGAGAGGTCTCAGAGGGACTTGAACCGGTGACCCTCCGATTCCCAACCCAAGTCCCTACAGATTGAGCTACTGCCACCCTACAATGTAATGAAGCTAGAAGATTTACTTTATTTAATTTAAATATAGATGAAAGGCTTATTTTGCCATTTTTTTTTTATCTTAAGGTCCCTTAAAACTGAACTTGTTAACTGTTTAAATTCAGTAATTAAAGGGAAGCTTCTAGATTTCACATCTTCAAAAAAACAGTGTCAGTGCAAACCCATTGTATTATTAGGTTCTCCTGCACTTTCCAACCTTTGTATTTTAAACCTAAGACATACTGTATAACGTCATATTAACAAAGCTCTTCCCTGTAGCTCTGGCAGCTTGCCTTCTTGGCTTTTTGTGTGTATGACGCTTGCCGAATGTTTCTTCTAGATGACGCTACAGATGTTGAGTTCTGAACAACCCGAGGATCTCACTGCTGTGAAAACACACCTGAAGATCCTGCTGTCATTTAGCTCAAAGCAGGTGTGTGGATATGTTTCCATTTATGGTATCATATTGTTTTGTAGGTTCAGGGAGTATTTGAGATGTTTTAATATATTTGAAACATAAATACATTTTTAATAATATAGCCCAAATCATTACAAAGGTTATCTCAGGACACTTAACAGAAAGAGCCGGTCTAAAACTGTCATGTTTGTGATATAAACTTTTATCATTTGACTTGACAGGTTCTTCAAAGAGATGAAGATCTTGAAGAGAACTTTGTCAGGCTTGTTCAAAGACTCTTGGAGGACCCAAAAGAAACACAAGATTTTCTTAAGGTGGGTCTCTGCTTCTGCATCATTGTTAGTTTTGACATGAAAAAGGCAGTTTGTGTAGTTGTGAAAAGTTGCTTGAGCAGGAGGTTTTACATCCAGACTTCAAGTTACCTTTTGTATTTAAAAGGTATATATTTATATTGGACAGAATGTGTTTCCTGTGGTGTACGGGCCTGACTTTGATTCAGCTTTGGAGACACTGCTTTGTGAGTTCTTCACCAGGCTGGAAGAAGTGCTGCGCATACCAGACTTTAAGCAGGTAAAAACATCTTGTGATATTTTCTTGCAGGTTTCTTTGCATTCCCAGAGATTGTTTGTGTACTTCCAGCCTGTCAAGTAATAGTTTTGCTTGTTTGATCCAGACTGCAGAGTGGATCAGTGACACGCCCTCTGTGCTGGAGGAGTGTATGCATTGTGTGTCCAGAGAGGACGACCTCAGAGTGCTGCTCTGGAGCAAGGCCTGCCGAGGTGAAGTGGCCAACAAGCATAGCAGCGGTAAGTCTGTCCGGAATTACAGCCAGGGGCCAAATGAATAAACCATGTGTTCATCACGCAGTATTCTGTTTGTGTTTGTACACATCCATCACCATTCATACACGATACAGTTCACTAGATGCTTCAGGTTGGCACACAAGGATGAGGTGTGAATTTAATGGTCATGTTTCCTGAGGATGAACTCTATTTCTAATAGTTCAGTATGTTTAATTTACACAAGTTTCTTCATCTGAATTTATGTAGTTTTGAAAAAATAAATTCAGCACAAGACTTTATGATGTGCTTCACTAACGAAGAACACACCAAGAAAGACATTGATTTAGAATAGTTTATTGTCATATGCATGGCGGAGATTGAAATGATGAGCAAGGTTGATCAGAAGATTGAGGGGGGGGGATAGATGAAGGGATGAAGGGAAGAAGGTCAGGGTGGAGGGAAGGAGGGAGGGGGGCTAAGGGTTTTAGATAGATAGACTTTGTTGTCTTTCCCAAAACAATAAACATAAGTTACATTGTAAACACATTGAAAAACTCAACACAAAGTAGAGACATTAAAAAGCGTACTGTTAACGTCTCATAAAAAGTGTCTATTTCATTTTGTTCAGGGTGGTTATGGCAGAGGGAATGAAGGATGTCTTGTAGAGGTTTTCTGAGCCAGAGGGACTTTGTAGCGTCTGCCCGATGGCAGTAAGTAGAAGGAGTGGTGGAGGGGTTGACAGGTGTCCTCTGTGATCATATTTAGTCAGAGAACTTAGTTCCAGTTTAGCATGTGAAGATTTTCATGTTTTTTCTATTTACCACTAGAGTTGATATAAAAGTGTTTCGAGGAAGAAGAAAAAAATCAGTGTAAAATAAACTATCCTCTGATATCCATCCATCCATTATCTATACCGCCTCTTCCATTCATGGTCACGGGGGCTGGAGCTGATCCCAGCTGTCACTGGGCGAGAGGCGGGGTACACCCTGGACTGTCTTTTGACATATTTGACTTAATACTTTATCATTTTAAATAATTCTTGATTCTGGCCATGGTGCAGTTTGTTTACAAGAGCATAAACATTATTTGCAATTGTCTTGTTTATTTTTTTTTTCATTGCAGATCCCTCTCACTCAGAGCAGCAGCTCTTCTCATCATTATCTCTTCCTCCTTCACTGCAAACGGCCACTGCCAAAGATACAGAATCTAACACAGAGCCAGAACACCAAAGACAATTTGAGACTGTTTCTCCTGAGGAGACAGCAGACCCAGAGGTGCCGGAATCAAGGTTTCTATTTGAAGAGGAAACAAACATTGTGGACAGTAACATTGCACAACGAATAACAGAAGGTCTTCTCAGTGATCCTAAAGTTTTCAGGGTGGAGAAAAACAATGGCATATCTTCAGCCCCCTGCCAAGCTCCCTCTACATCTTGTCAGAGTCCCGGGATGTCTACCTCCCTTATCCGCTGTCCACGTAAGAGAGTTGCTAACAAATGTCCTCATTGTGGAAAGTGCTTCATTTACCGCTATAAACTCCTGGAGCATCAGCGGGTGCACACTGGTGAAAACCCTTACAAGTGCTCTCAGTGTGGAAAGGCCTTCAGGAGGACTTCTGACATGTCGAGTCACAGGCGGACTCAGTGCACAAAAGCAGCTTATATCTGCATCAAATGTGGGGAAAGCTTTCAAACATTACGGGAGAAATTCAGACACAGATGTGTCCAAAATGTGCAAACGTTCGATTGTTCCCAGTGCGGGAGAAGCTTTAAAAAAATGTACCTGCTGTGTAAACATAAACTGACCCACGCACAGGATCGGACCTACACATGCAAACAGTGCGGGCGGGTTTACCCCAGCGTGAGAGAGCTGCGAAACCATCAGAAGATCCATCCAACTGAGCCGTCCCATAAGTGTGCACAGTGTGGGAAGTTTTACAGCTCGGTGGCCAGTTTGACAGCACACGAGGTGCGTCACGAGCAAAAGAAGACACAGACGTGTGTTTACTGCGGCAAGGCTTTCAAGACCAAAAGTGACCTGAAACTGCACACGCGCAGTCACACAGGCGAGAGGCCGTTTCAGTGCACGTACTGTGGGAAACGTTTCTCTGTGTCAGGAAACCTCACTATACACATGAGGATCCACACTGGAGAAAAGCCATTTCTGTGCTCTGACTGTGGCAAGGCTTTTGTTTCAGCAGGCGAGCTGCAGATTCACAGGCGCACCCACACAGGAGAGAGGCCGTACAAGTGCACCATATGTGGACGGGGATTCACCATGGCAGGAAAACTAAAGCTTCATATGCGCGTTCACACCGGCGAGCGTCCTTATGTCTGCTCAGAATGCGGGAAGGGTTTTTCACGCGGTGCCGAGTTGAAAACACACAACATGAAGCACGCAGGGGTTCGACCGTTCATTTGTCACCTGTGTGCAAAGACTTACACATGCACCAATCACCTGAAGAGACACTTGAAAACTCACAGTGTACTTTGAAAGCAAACAGGTCAACACTGATCCCCTGATGGTATTTCTTTCGTTTTGGCTGCTGGTGGTTTTGACTTCATGCTCTGTGTAATATGTCGCACAGTTGATCTCTTTTGTAAGGATTATATCGCAGAAATCTGTGTTCTGTGTCGATGTTGGTTTATTTGTTTTGTTCTCATAAAACCTAATGTATATGTTGAAAAGTGACTAATAAGATAAGATAATACTTTATTGATCCCCAGAGGGGAAATTCGGGCATTGCAGCAGCACAGACAAGAAAGCTCAAAATACATATTAAACAGAATAGATAAGATAAATAAAAATAAAAACAGGGGTTATATACAAGTACAAAATGAATGATGAAGTTAAATATGCAGGGAATTGAGACAGTATTTGCAGAGAATGACAAGATACAGTGACAAGTGATGACTGAAGTGACTTGGTGTGATAAAATAGCAGCAAGTAATGTAAACAGCAGAGAAGAGAGGCATGAATCAATCAATGAATCTCAACTAGAACAAGATTTATTTGTTGATAGGAGCAAAAGTATACTTTAATCCATCTTCACATCTTTTTTTTTAATTTTTAATTTTTGAACATGGTACATTTGACAACTTTGACAAAGGAAAAAAAAAACTAAATATATATATAAAAGGCAACATGTATTGTTGAAATATTTAAATATCTTTTAATACACTGGTTGTGGTTGATATAAAGAGAAACACAACTACTGGGAAGTTGTTTGAAGTTCTCAAGTTGGTTGTCGTTTCTGTGACTGCGCAGAGGGGCGGTGCTTCTCATTTTCACAGTAAAGTGAGTTGGAGTCGTCCTCTCCGGGCTGCTCTGGGACTCAAAACGAGCCCCTCTCCAGTGAGCTAACACCGAGTGGGCCAACGCGCCCCAGAATGAACAACGTGTTTCAGGAAGAAGTTGGCGCCTGAGGCCCCTTGTACAGCTAGCTAGCACGCTAACACAAACTATGAGAGATAGTCCACTGTGTTGATCTTTCTTTCAGTCTTCATTAAAAGAATTCCACAATGAACGACATGGGTATGTATTGGCTTTGCGACGGTCGGCAAACGTTGTGATTTTCGGCCACATGCGCGGTTAGTGGGAAGGTCTGGCCGCAGCGGAACAGGCCTCGACTAATCCCTGGAACAAGGATTGTTTTTACCCAGAAATAAGCCGGTCAAACCAGGCAGCCTCAGCGACACTGTGGCTAACCAGCTAACGCTTTGCAGTGGGAACAAGCGGAAGCTACATTCAATAACTTATTTCCCAGTGTCCAGGAGGTTTTGATAATGTATCTAACGCAGGACGCACATGTTGTTTTTATTGAAAGATCTGTGCTTATTTTAAATAACGCGATTTACATTATGCTAATGGTTAGCCTGTCATTTAATCTGCTGCTCTGTAACGATTGAGTTCATAATCTGATTCACGACCTAACAACACTGATTATTAAACCATTTATTAAGTGTGTTAGTTATCAGTGTGTGGAGTGTGTGTGTTATATAACACATCATACAGATGACCGTGCTGCGTTCAGGGACTAAAGTTAACATTAAGTTAATTTCTATCTTACCTTTTAACACATTAGTCCATCTATAAAACGTCTAAAATAAGCTTTGATAGTGAAAGATGTGGCATGATTGTTTTTTTTGTTGTTGTTGCATGTAACAGAAAAGTCAGCTAAAATATATTCAACAAGTAAACTCTGTGTATGTCTCAGCTGTTACATCCCCCGATCCTCACTCGTTTGACTCGGTGTAATGTCTCTGTGAAGAGTTCAGTGTCCCCCTGTCCTCCCTGGCCCTCCTGGTCCCTCCACTCCGCCTGATGTCAGCCGTGATGTGGGAGGTGGTCCGCCAGAGGAACATCAAGCACTACGGGAAGCTGGAGGAGTTCGTGTCCATGGTAACAGATGCAGTTCCTGAACTGATGAGCAAAAGAGAAGGGAGACTGCTCTCACTGGGCCTGAGGGCAAGGGTATGAGTTTTTTTTCTTTCCAAAATGTGTTAATTGCAGTGCAGAAATGTTTAATCAAATATAGATGAAGCAGAAAGTATAACGTTTGTAACGCTTTTAATGCAAATAAACCTAAACCGTGTCTGATGAAGCAACTATTGAAGTCACAACTATAAGCATGCTGAACAGACAATTACATGGACACAAGCAGTGTCTGTGATGGTTGCAACATGATGCATTTAACAATAATAAAGATAATTTAATACTGTGATTATGAAAAATAATTTACAAAGAAGCATATTACAATAATTTTTTAATTATGAAATAATAGTAATTTAAATACTGAATTCATTTCCCCCGTAGACAACTCTTGAACTGTTGCGTTCTGAACACCCTGAAGATCTCAAGGCTGTTGAGACCCACCTCAACAGAATCCGGACTTCTTGCATTGAAGAGGTTAGAGCAGATTTTTTTTAAATTCATTTTGTACCTTTTATATGACTGTTCTACCGAGCCCCTGAAGTCCAACAAAGAAAAGAAAAAATCTTTAAGTTAATATCTGGAGCGCTCAATATAATTCACTTGTGTGGACAAGATATCTTTTTTACTTTTTTAAACTTCTGGGGCTCCAGTGAATCCAATAACACATTGATCTGATAAAAAGGTTAGACTGTGCAGATTTTCTCGGTCTCGTGTGTTACTAAATTGAATACCGTCATGTTTTAAGTGTTTTGGATTTAACAAATTGTCTGAAAGACATTGCGTCAGACTCAGGGACTGTATTCTGTGTTTTTACTCTTAAATGACATTTTATTCACAAAACAGTTTTGAATAAACGTGTTGAGAATAATTCCATTTATCATGAGCAAAACATATAGTTAGCTGCAGCTGAAAAAGTTTGTTGAATCTTTTTGCTTTTTTATTTGTTTAAAATGTGACTGTACCTTCTCTTTCAGACAAACGATCCTGTGATTGAAGCACCAGAGGCGAACTTCATGAAGCTGGTCCAAGGCCTTATCGAAGACACTGATGGCAGAGAACACTTCCTGAAGGTGAAAATGGAGATGACATTTTTTGTGCTCGTGCAGTACATTTTTGGACAGTTAGACTTAACCAAATGTGAGTGTATCTGAACATGTGGTAATGCAAAGTCATGAGGTGTTTTTTTGTTCTTCCCTCTGACAGAACGTTTTTTCCAGTGGAGTATGGTCCTGACTTTGACACAGCTCTGGAGACTCTGGTTAGTGAGTTCTTCACTAGACTGGAGGAGCTGCTGCCGATTCCAGACTTCAAACAGGTGCAAGAGGATTTCTGAGGGTGCAATCACAGTAGGCAAAGTTGCTCTGTACTGTGCTGAAGCACGATTGCCCCCCCCCAGCCCATTCCCCCCCGCTGACCCGCACTCACATTGCTCCAGGACTAACCAGGCCTGAGCACGGTTACCTCTTGAACATAAGGTCGTAATACAACACATGGAGGGCTTTATGTGATCATGAAGTGTGCTCAGTGTACAAACAGGCCGACTCAAAAAAAAAAAAAAAAGGATGCATCAGATATCAACACAGAGAACATGAAAACATTTACTGACTTTATGGCTTTTTTAGAGTCACTTTGTTCAGATACCGCCATAACATTCCAGGATTTCTAGATAATGGAGGCAGGGATCGATTAAACTTCATGTTCACATTCTGTACCCGTGCTTTTGTTCATGCATGAGCAACTGTACGGAGCTCTCACACAAGTCAAACAAGGTGGACATTCAGGGTCAAACGTGCTTGAGCACGGTACAGATTGCCTAATGTGAGTGCTCCCTTAAAGATGGGACAACAAATGAAACAATAGAACAGGATCTTTTTGTAATTCTAAAGTCCCTTCCTTATTCTTTTCTGATGTAGACTGCGTCCTGGATCAGCTCTTCCCCTGCTGTCCTCGAGGAGTACATGCAGTGTGTGTCAAACGGAGAGGACCTCAAATTTCTTCTCCAGAGCAAACAGTGCCATGGGAAGCTGGCCAAGAGTAGTGTCGGTATGTACACAACTTTTGTTATGAATACAATTGTCACCATTAGCAATTTCAATAAAGTTTCATCACAACAGGATATTAAAACAATAGTTTGTACAACGATCAGATAACTGGTGGTATCTCAAAGTGTGATTCAGTTTAACTCAGCGACGTTTGATCAGTGTGACATGATATCTTCGGCCCACTCAATAGAACCTGTCACACGATTATATCAAGCCACAGAGGAGAACCACAATATTACCTGACACTATTCATACTGATTTCTAATTCATATTTCTGAATCAAATGTTTTTCCAAACTATGATTCATGTGTTTGATTGTATCCTCATATCTGTACTGTGTGGTGGTTATCTAATACTGAACACTTCACATCTTATTACACCGGACATGTAAAGGCCAAACAAGAGTGGAAAATGAGCAAAAGCTGTGAACTCTGCCGGAAATCAGTTTCATGCTTAATACTGGACCTGTGTTAAAAGTGCGTCCTCTCTACCACACTCAATAGATTCAGTTCAATCTTTTTTTCACACATTGAGGGTTAATCTATCTATTCCCTTTTGATCAAAAAAAAAAAAAAATCACAGTTTAGTGTATCTGAAAGATGTCGACATGCATCAATGTTTTCACTTTATATCAGCACTAATTCATTTTTGATGTCCATTATTAAGTATATAGTAACATCACTCATCTACTCCACAGTTTTTACTTTGTTTAAGAAGACTTTTTTTGTTGTAGTAATTTTCTCCTCATATTATCCCTGCAGCTCCGTTTCCATCGGATGATCTGCTCATCCCCTCCCTGTGTCTCCCTCCGTCACTGGAAGTAGCCATCGCCTCCCACCCGAGTGCTTGTGATGATGAAAACAACGACGTTCCTCAGATCGTCATGTTCGACGAGGAGCTGTCTACAAATCCTTCCACATCAGCCGACTTCCCAGAATCACCCAAAAGAACCGACATGCCGTCCTCTCCTCGCAGGAGACAGACGTCGGGGCTGCATAAATGCACGGAGTGCAACAAATGCTTCAAGCATCACTCAGTCCTCATCGAGCACCAGAGAGTCCACAGCGGGCTGCAGCCTTACAACTGCTCAGAGTGCGGGAGGGCGTTCAGAACCGCCACGCTGTTGGCCGGTCACAGGCTGCGGAAATGCAAAAATGCTGCGTATTTGTGTATCAAATGTGGGAACAGTTTTCCAACCTCACTGGACAAATTCAGACACCACTGTCCAAAGAGAGGCCGTAACTACGACTGTGGTCACTGCGGGAAGAGTTTTCAAAAGTCGAGCAGCTTAAAGGAACATCTGCTAACTCACGTGCAAAGCCGGCTCTTCAAGTGCAGCCACTGTGGGGTGGGTTTTTCAGGAATAGGCGACCTGAAGTATCATCAGCAGGTGGATCATGATAAACCGTATCAGTGTAAGCAGTGTGGGAAGAGCTTTATCTCCTCAAAGTGTCTGTCCAAACACCAGCAGAGGCATGAAGAGCTCGGTGACATGGAGAGGGCTAAATTAATGAGCGGAGGGAAACATAGGAAGAGTGGCTCAGCTCATCGGACTTCCTCCTCATCTCTGTCCTCCAGGAAAACATCCTTGAAAGCCATCTACCCCCGAGGACGGGTCACACACAACTGTCCGCTGTGTGGGAGGAGCTTCAAGTACCGCTTTGAATTTCTGGAGCACCAGAGGTTCCACACGGCGGTGAAGCCTTACAAATGTTCTCAGTGTGGAAAAGCTTTCCGAACAGAAGCTCACCTGTCGGGCCACAGGAAGAGGAAGTGTAAAAATGCCTCCCACGTCTGCACAAAGTGCGGTTGTCAGTTCAGGTCTCTGCATGAGCGAGTCAGACATCAGTGCGTCCAGCTGCTGACAAAATACGAGTGTTCTCACTGTGGGAAGACGTTTAAGATGGCTCACCTGCTGAGGAACCATCAGATGAGCGATCACCAACTGCCCTATAGCCCCAACCATCGCTTCAGGTGCAGATACTGTGATGAGACGTTTCCTGGCATCAGCGAGCTGAAGTACCATCAGAGAGTAGACCATGAGAAACCGTATCAGTGTCAGGAGTGTGGCAAGTGTTTCCTGTCTGAAAAATGCCTCAACAACCACGAGTTACGCCACAACGATGACCGACCGGAGAGCTGTCTGGTGTGCGGCCGCGGCTTCAGAAACCGCTACGACCTAAAGCAGCACATGCGCACTCACACAGGAGAGCGGCCGTACCAGTGCACACACTGCTCCCAGTGTTTCTCCACAGCTGGAGGCTTAAGGAGCCACACCCGGGTTCACACCGGAGAGAAGCCACATGTTTGTCCCGACTGCGGGAAAGCGTTCTCTCAGATGGGTGCAATGCGAACCCATAGACTCACACACACGGGGGAGAGGCCGTTTAAGTGCACGGTGTGTGGGAAAGGTTTCACGATGGCACACAAGGTGACAGTTCACATGCGCGTGCACACGGGAGAGCGGCCGTACGTGTGCTCGCAGTGCGGGAAAGCCTTCTCAGATGGAAGCGTGCTGAAGCAGCACATGCTGAACCACTCAGGGGTCAGACCCTACCACTGCCAGATCTGCCCCAAGACCTACACCTGTCTGAACCACCTGAGGAGGCACCTGAAGAGCCACTCCAACATGAACTGAGTCAGCCTCCAAATCATACTGGAGCAAAGCCTTTGAATGACATTTTACACTCCAAGAGACGATGCACTAGGTAGTTAGGTCTCTAAAGTAACAATGGACCAACTGAACTAAGCAATACATGAAGGTTTGTCTGATTCTGTTGAAAGTGAGGGGAAAAGATCTTCTCATTTTGTAAAGTCAATTTAGTCACATCAGCCAAAGCTAAGGCCGATGTTTACATTTAAACAAAGGGTTTGTCATTTTAGGAGAAAGCACTTTTTTGTCTCTGATGATATTTTTATGGGAAGAATTAAACCAATCTTAGTCTGTCGATTTAGGGATGAAGTTTGAAAAGAAAAAGCCTCCTGTTGTTGCAGCTGTTCTTTGTGTCTGATAGGCGCAGATTGGTGCAGCTGCTAAAATCTGGCAGCTAACCAGATCCTTTTGACAAAGTTAGTGGCCCTAAAGAACTTCAGGCTTTTCTGCTGCTTCAGTGTTTTTACCGTCTCTGGTATTTAAAACAAGATACTAAACTGTCGACAACTCCAATTAGACTATGTCATGGACAAGGATTTATTTAAAAGTACCTTGAATCATTTATAATGAAATGTGATTATTTGTGCCAGAGAGAGGCAGCTGAACAAATGCAACAGACTGAGAACATATAGTGGCTGATTGCACCCAGTGCATCCTGGTACATGTAGTCAGTCCTGGCTCTGCTAGCGGAAGAACTCAGCTTTCTCGTTAAATGTAACACAACGCCGAGACAATTATTACTTATATGCGATATTAAGCACAGCCAGGGGTTGACATGCGAATCAAACACATTTCCCTCTCAAGCTGAAACCACAAAGACTGGAAGTTTAACTTAGCACAAAGACTGGAAACAGGGGGAAACAGATTAACCATGCTCAGATTTACTGCTTTAAAAATCAAATGAGCATATAAAAATTGAAAACTATTTTTTCTAAAACTTCTTTAACATCACAAATTGAGGTGAAGCGGTGTTGGTAATCTTTTTGATTCAAAGATGAAGGTTATGTTTTTTATTTATGTGTCCATTCCAGGTGCTGAGCTGAACATGTTGGTTGTTTTTTTTTTCGCTTCATATTTAATGAACTGATGTTTTCAACCTTCCCATAAAAATCAGCAAGTATGAAAAGTGTCGACCCGTTCTTTTAACATCAGCACAAACAAACGGTATGTTTTTCTTTAATTGCCTTCCAGGCTTTTCCCTGAGCTTTGATTTTTTTTTTTTCTCACTGTAGCCACTTGTGCATGAAACGTGTGGACGAGGTTCTGGATATTATTTTGATGGGAAACTTCACAGTTCAGAAATTGTACTTTTGGTGAAAATCTTTTTTTTTTTTTTTTTTTTGGAAAGGCCTCAAAAGTTGTAGAAATGAAAGTGTTGACTGTAAATACACAGAAAGACAATTATTGTAAGAGTGCAAAGATATAATGATGGTACTGTTTATTTCAACATGACATGACTTTATTCCGATGGGCCTTTTCTTTGCGCCACCATGGTTTGCAAAATCTGAATCTCCAATTAAAAGACCTTGGTTCTACCTGGTGCATATGGACTTCTTTTTCTGAGGGAAACATCTCTGAGACATTAGGATTAGGACAGAGTTTCACTAGATGGCAGCAGGAGATCATTGCCCTTCTTTCTCGCCTGATCAGGCAGTTTCAGCTTTTAAACATGGATTCTAAATTTACAAAAAGGTCAGACTTTTTGTTTAAGCTTCTCTGTTAACTTGAGACTAGATGTCTGAGGACACGGAGATTGATGGGACACTAATGCAGCGGAAGATATTGCGAATCATTTCCTGTCATTAACTCTATTGGGTGTGGTTCAGGGTCTTGATTGGACTGTAATTTCCTGATTTTGTGACTGGCGCCTTGTGGTATCTGAAGTGATTGAACCCATGATGGGGGGGGAAAATGCACTCTTTAGTTTGTGTGTTGCCTCTTAAGCTCAGTAAAGTTTGTTCCATCATTTCCAGTACTATGTTTCTAACTTGTACCTCAGGCAGATTATTTTTTAAGTTGCATCGTGATGAATCTCTTCCATCCCTGCTGCTTTGACTTTAATGTTTTTTTCCCTGGAAAAGAAGAGCTGGGTTTTTTCTCTCCCTTGTACCATGTTTCATCTCATCTGTGGCCACGTTTGTAAAGTGCCATCTGAGTCATGTTCTCTCAAACAGACCCCAAATCTCTGCCCTTCACTCTGCCTTGGGATCAACCCCAAGGATGAAATGTGGTGGTGTGTTAAACATCTCAAGATGTTAAAAACCCACAAACTGTAAAATGCTGTCATGCTGGAGACACTGGATGTACTCTGCTCTGTTTCTTCTTTCTCTCTGACTCAGAAATGCTGCTTATCTTCTCCACTGAACATCGGGATCCTGTGGAAACTCTGCTGCACCATCTCTCCCAACACTCATTACACAGAACCTCTCAGCTTCAGGAAGCATGTGTGTTTTGATGCTTAAGATATAATGCCGCCCTGTGTCGGTCTTCTGAGGACGTAACCTGGTTTGGTTTCCTGGCGGGGGGAAAGACGATGACTTCTCAGTGATCTCAGTCCCACCTGCCAGATTTAGGATAGTAAAAAAAACACAAAGGTGGGGGGGGGGGTCTGTCTTTGAACCCAATCGCCCTAGAAACCGTGAAAATAGAAAACACTGCCAACTTCTTGGTTAACAATTTTAATAGAGTAACGCAATCCAAATGCAGGGTATTGAGACATCCCCAAATGTATGCACCACAGTACAAACGCCCCTAAACAATTGCCAGAAACCCAACAGATTTACAATGAGAGCTCGCTAATAAACACTGATCACTAACAGATGCCACCCATTCCTCCTTTCTCTCTTCTCTCCTTTCCTTCCCTCCCTCCCTTTCTTCCCCCTTCACACAGCTTTCTCTCCCCCGAAACAGTGATCTCAGTGGAAACTCTGAGTCCAGGTGCAGTCCAACAGTTTGAGCACAAACACAGAAACACACATGTAGGCGGTCTCCAAGGCAACCGTGCGACATCCACCCCCATCAACACCTTGCCAAATTACCACTCCACGCCCACACCTCTTTGCCTCTTTCCATGGAAATGTACCCCAAGTTTTCCAAAGTTTAAATCGTTCCAGGATTTACTTACAATGAACGCGAGATGGCACTGTGCCTCTTTGAGCGTGAAGAAAAATTGAGTGAAGCTTGCCCCTCCCTCCACTTGCTTTTATGTTCAGGGTCATGTCTGGACGCCGAAGTGAACCAGATGTAGTAAAACTCCACCCACCTCCATCTTCCACAGAAAAATAATTCAAAATGCTTCCAAGATGTGCGTCAGCTGCTTTTCATTAAGTTTGCTTAAATTAGTTCAGTGTGCATCTATTCACGACTACATTTCTTGAATTTCCTCATTACTTTTGTTCCCCGGGGCCCCTTACTTCTATTCTATAAATTAATATGTCGAATATCTCATTATACACATTCTGAAACAATTAAAATGCAAACAAGAGTATTGTCTGCAGGCACTTCTTTCCTGTAAAGAAATGTAAAAAAAAAAAAACTCAGCGCACATTGGAGCCATTGATTGTTTATTCCTGCGCGCCTCTGTCCCTGTGGACCCTTTTAAGGAAGCACAGGCTACATATCTTTTGATTTTGTGTAAACTCTCTTGGCCCGTGCGCGTTCCTGTCGATTCCTGCAAATCGTCTCCCCTGAGCAAGCGCGTGAACCCTTCCTTCCTCCTCCTCCTCCTTCTCCTCTCTTCCTCCTCCTCCTCCTCCCTCGCCGTGCGCTCTGGTCCTCCTCTGCGCGCTCTGGGTCTCGCCTCGGAAAAACTGCGGCGGAGCGCTGGATCACGAAAAAGTTCGCCAAATCAATTTAGAGTTATCGGGTTTGGGGCCGGAGTGGTTCGGTATTTTATTTTCAGGGGATTGGGGTGTTTTCTATGTTTTAACTTTTTAGTTTTTGTGCAGTTTAAACATGGAGACTCTCAGAAGTCTCCTCGCGCTTCTGTGCGTTTTCGTGGCTGGGGCGCAATCGCAGGTCCTAAGAGATAAGTTTGCGGGTAAGTTTGTAGAAAATATCCAAAATCTTAAAAGAAAACGCATGCAAATGTTTGTCTTCTGATATTATATTGCATGTAAAGGTATTTCTGTATCTGAATGTAACATGTCTTTTACTAACGCGTTGTTTGATGCAAGAGTGAGTCCAGATGTTCCTTGTCTTGGGGTTGCGTACTTCACAGTCTGAGGACCCTTTCTTTCTAATCAACAGCACAGACAACTGAAAGTATGACTAAATACTAAATGATGACTAAATGATGAAAGTAGCCTAGCCCACCCTGAGCAGGCCCTTGTTTGGTTTCATATACAGTAGGTCCTTATGGGTCTGAATAGTAAACTTAATGGGATGTAAGATATGCAAGTGCTGTGGGTGCCAAATTGATAGAGAACCAGAGCAGGTGAGTGTACCTCAGGCCTTGTTTCTCTGCCTGAATAATAAGCAACATAGAAAGTGTAAATGCAGTCAGCCATATTATGGATGCAGGCAGTCAGTACAGGCCTGCACCTGTCATACATCTACCTGTATGAAGGTGCATAGATCAGCCTCTTGGTACCCAGTGCGGTGCAGGATGCTTCATGTTGGCCTGATGTCTGATGCTGCTGTAGAGATGAATGTGCTGATGTCTGAATACATTTGGGGTTTTTTGATTGTTCATAAACTCACAGATTTCACTCTGTTTATTGGATGATATTTGCTGACAGCCATCTTTGTTTTGTTTTGTTTGTGAGCAGATTGTCCAGTTGATCTCTTCTTCGTTCTGGATACATCGGAGAGTGTGGCCCTCAGACAGAAACCTCCAGAGTTCTATATCGGACAGATCAAGGCATTCACCAATCGCTTCATTGATGAACTCAAGGACATGTAAGATCAATGCACCCACACACAGAAACACTTATAGTGATTCATTCCCATTCTCTACATGTAAAAGGAGCATTAGCATGATTTGAAGACACTACAGTATTACAAGTTAAGCTCTTCCATTGAAACACATGAAACCTGCCTGTTTCATTCCTCACCTTGCAGTAAAAATACACATATTGTATGGGACATTGTGACACCACAGGTTGGTGTAGTTACATGTGCAAGAGCACAGTACACCTGTGACCACACCCAACCACACCCATCACTGATTAAAACATGTAACCACAGAGGGCATCACTGTTCAATTAAAACCAAAAAGTGTGCTTACACAAATGCATAGAGTATGAAAGGTAAAAGTTTAGGAAGAATTGTTCCTGTCATTTTCATGATTTTATGATTCATTATTTAACCTCTGTAATGTAGTAGAGTATAACTGTGCATCCATCACTGTTGTTTTATGTTTTACTTAAAGGTTTTTTTTTGGTTTCACAACATTTAGCTCTACTCAAAAATGACTAAGCACCTGATATAATTGACATGCTTTGTAATACCAGAATGGTATGACCACAACAACTGATACCGTACTTTACATTTCTATTGATCCAGGCGCCATCGCTGTGACCGCATCCTGACATGGAACTCGGGAGCTCTGCACTACAGTGACGATGTGAAGATGGTGCGCGAGCTGAGCGACTTGAACAGAGACCGCGAGGCCCTGAAGAAGGACATCCTTGACATCGAGTACATCGGCAAGGGCACATACACCGACTGTGCCATCAAGAGGGGCCTGGCTGAGCTGCTTGTCGGGTAAATAATAAAACACACACCGGAGCAGATTCCATAATAAGACAAATGGTATCTTTTGTAACTGTGTGTTTGTGTGTATCCATGCAGGGGTTCACACTACCATGAGAACAAGTACATCGTGGTGGTGACTGATGGGCATCCAATCACTGGGTACAAAGAGCCATGTGGAGGCGTGCAAGAGGCCGCCAACGAAGCCAAACAACATGGAGTGAAAGTGTTCGCTGTCGCCATCTCACCTGACCAGGAGGTAACACACACACACACACACACACACACACACACACACACACACACACACACACACACACACACACACACAGTTACATACCTGTGAGGACCCGTATCAGCCCCTCAGAGGTACCATGATTACAGCAACTAATTGCGGAGCCCCATTTAATATCCTAAAAAAATAATAATAGGGGTTCAAAGCCTAAAGAGAAATAGTCTTGGACACTTATTATGAGAAGGTTCTGTAACTGTGTTTGACCTTTGCTCCTAACCCTGGTTGAATGTGGGCGGGGCTACATTAGGGTAAGATATTAATCATACATATGTAGGCAGGGGCTTTGCAGAGAGGTGGCCAGGGATGGTATGCTTCCATCACACCAAAATCACCAAAATCCTTAATTATGATTGATTATTTGCCTTGTCAGAGGTGGGACTTATCACCTTCAGGCTGTGTTGCAACAGGCATGCCCACTTGCTCAGGTGAGCCTGGAATTAGAAAAAAATACATAAACTTTTAATGAGATGCTTATAAGGTAAATATCAGTGGATGTGTAATGTATGTAAGTTTAGTGTGGGAATAAATAAGTCTCTTTTTAATGTAGGCTGCATGAAAATCTACCTGACTGTTATGTTCATGTCTGAAAGATTAGCAACAGCATTTCTCAGAAACATCAGCCAGACAGCATGTAGCAGTTTCTGTATAAGTGTTGATGGTGTTTTTATTGTACATCTCTCCAGGACACCAGGCTGTCCCTCATCGCAACAGATCAAACCTACAGACAGAACTTCACCGCTGCAGACGACTCTAGATCCACACACATGGGAACCATCCGAACCATCATCGAAATCATCGTATGATTCCTCTTCTTCTCTTCTCTTTTATTATCATCCTCTCCTCTCTTCTCCTCTCATATATGGACAAAGCTCAACATTTGGATTTTAAACTAATATTGATTATTTTTCCTTCTTTTCAGACAAACGAGACGAAAGATACGGTATGTCATTTTAACACACTTTCTATGTAACAATTAACGCTATCAAAATGATTGGATGTGAATTCTACGAGGGTTTCTGCAAAATGTCCTAAACTCTCAACAATTTGGCTGAAATTGGTGCTTTGTCTTGTGTTAAGTTTCATTATTTCTAAATTATATTAACTCAGGGAATATTCATTGTTCTGTCTGAATCATTATAAATAGTTTATGATGAGTTTTGCTGAAACATCTTGAGTCAGACAAACTGTTTACAGACTGTATACAGACTTAATGTCATGGCATTAAAATGTTTACAAACCAAATTTCTCGACTTTACCCAGTTTGAGGCCTCTAGAGATGTTTTGTTTTCATAACCTTTCTCTTGTTTTGGCTGAGTCTTCAGTGAACTCTGTCATGATCAGGAAACAAGGCGGGATCGGAGTACAGGAAGCTGAAATTGGCATAAAAAATAAACTGAGATAACAGGGAAACTGCCAACAATGATGAAAAAATGTAGATTTTTAGTTCAGTTGACAGATTGGATCAAAGCGGTAACACTGGGTAATATCATGACCTCATCTTAGATGAATTCAAAACTAGACGATATAACCAAACATAAAGACAGACAAATACACTGTTCATGCTTTAAGGTGTTCATATTGTTCTTTTCTTTTTCTTTTCCAGTGTTGCTCTTTCGACTGCAATGTAAGTATGTCATGTATGACCTTTAACAGCTAAAAGCATCCCTACTTGCTGTTTAATTCGATTGTTTCATGGTTTGTGTTCTTTCTTTTTGTCTGCAGGCTAAAGGAGGGCCTAAAGGACCAGGAGGAGACCTTGGCTCCAAGGTGGGATGATATATGATGAAGCATGTGAAAATATATGTTAAACCCTCATAGTACACAAGCATTCAGTGAAAGTGCTCACAAATTCACAAATGTAAATAATGCTTCTGTTTTGCCTTTGTTTAGGGAGAAACCGGTAGACCAGGAATGCCCGGAGAAAAAGGAGATGTTGGTAACATAGTAAGTGACCTTTGTCTCCTCCATCAAGTGCAACAACTCCATCCTGACCATTTGAACAGACATGCAAAAACGTGTTGGGTTTTTCATCCAGGTGTGATGGAATTTTGTATTTGGATGATCTGATGTGTCTTTTTCTCTGTTACAGGGCAGTGTGGGAGATCCTGGTCCTGTTGGTTACAGTGGAATGAAGGTAAAGTCACTCTTTTTTTCAACACTGACTGTTGTCCTTCTTTGATGGTTCTGTCTGCAGCTATATCTGCAAAATGGCTGCTTGAAGACTTGAAGGTTGTTTGTAAAAATAATCATTCTGTGCCTCAAATTCATGTGTTTAAGTAAAATGAAAAATGTAAAATGTGAAAGCAAGTTAGTTCTATATATGCAATGCGATGCAACACTACAGGATATGCTACGACATAATAGGATACTACACAAAACGCTATGTTTCATTGCATTACATTACATTAGGTTGCTATGTTACAGTAGGCTATGTTAGTTACCTTAAGTTACTTCACGTTAATGTATGTTTAAGTACGTTGCGTTCCATTACCTTACGTTACCATATGTTATGTTACTTTACGCTAAGCTACATTACATCATGCTACGTTACGTTACCTAACATTATAGTTACCTTACGTTACTTAAGTTACCTTATATTATGCTACTTAAGGTTACCTAACATTATGTCACGTTAATTTACATTACATTATGTTACCTTACATTATGTTACGTTACCTTATATTACATCATGCTACGTTACTTTACCTAACATTACGTCACGTTACCTTACGTTACTTTACGTTACCTTTACGTTACCTTACGTTACTTTACGTTACCTTACGTTACTTTACGTTACCTTACCTTGAGTCATCATGCTACGTTACTTTACCTAACATTATGTCACATTACCTTATGTTACTTTACATTACCTTAAGTTACTTTACGTTACCTTACATTACTTTACGTTACCTTACGTTACATCATGCTACGTTACGTTACCTAACATTACATCACGTTAACTTACGTTACTTACGTTAACTTACGTTACTTACGTTAACTTACGTTAACTTACGTTACCTTAATTTACTTAAGTTACCTTACATTATATTATGCTACTTAAGGTTACCTTACATTACATTACGTTACCTTACATTACATCATGCTACGTTACTTTACCTAACATTACATCATGTTATCTTACATTACTTTGTTACCTAACCTTACTTTACGTTATGTTACCTTACGTTACCTTACGTTACATCATGCTACGTTACGTTACCTAACATTACATCACGTTAACTTACGTTACTTAAGTTACCTTACGTTACTTAAGTTACCTTACGTTACTTAAGTCACCTTACGCTACTTAAGTTACCTTACATTATATTATGCTACTTAAGGTTACCTAACATTAGGTCACGTTAATTTACGTTACTTTACGTTACCTTATGTTACATCATGCTACGTTACGTTACCTTACATTACATCATGCTACGTTACGTTGCCTAACATTACATCACGTTAACTTACGTTACTTAAGTTACCTTACGTTACTTAAGTTACCTTACGTTACTTAAGTCACCTTACGCTACTTAAGTTACCTTACATTATATTATGCTACTTAAGGTTACCTAACATTAGGTCACGTTACGTCACGTTACCTTACGTTACCTTATGTTACGTTACCTAACATTACATCACGTTAACTTACGTTACTTAAGTTACCTTACATTACTTAAGTTACCTTACGTTACTTTACGTTACCTTACATTACTTTACATCATGCTACGTTACTTTACCTAACATTACATCTTGTTATCTTACGTTACTTTGTTACCTAACATTACGCTACGTTACCTAATGTTACTTTACGTTACCTTAAGTTACTTTACGTTACCTTACGTTACTTTACATTACCTTACGTTACATCATGCTATGTTACGTTACCTAACATTACATCACGTTAACTTACGTTACTTAAGTTACCTTACGTTACTTAAGTTACCTTACATTATATTATGCTACTTAAGGTTACCTAACATTATGTCACGTTAATTTACTTTACTTTACGTTACCTTATGTTACATTACCTTACATTACGTTACCTTACCTTACATTACATCATGCTACGTTACTTTACCTAACATTACATCTTGTTATCTTACGTTACTTTGTTACCTAACATTACGCTACGTTACCTAATGTTACTTTACGTTATGTTACCTTACGTTACCTTACGTTACATCATGCTACGTTACGTTGCCTAACATTACATCACGTTAACTTACGTTACTTTACGTTACCTTATGTCACGTTAATTTACATTATGTTACGTTACCTTACATTACTTTACGTTACCTTATGTCACGTTAATTTACATTATGTTACGTTACCTTACATTACTTTACGTTACCTTAAGTTACATCATGCTACGTTACGTTACCTTACATTACATCATGCTACGTTACTTTACCTAACATTACGTCACGTTACCTTACGTTACTTTACGTTACCTTACATTACTTTACGTTACCTTACGTTACATCATGCTACGTTACGTTACCTTACATTACATCATGCTACGTTACTTTACCTAACATTACATCACGTTAATTTACATTACGTCACGTTACCTTACGTTACTTTACGTTACTTTACGTTACCTTATGTTACATTACTTTACATTACGTTAAGTTACCTTACATTACGTTATGTTACCTTACGTTACATCATGCTACGTTACGTTACCTAACATTACATCATGTTAACGTACGTTACTTAAGTTACCTTACATTACTTAAGTTACCTTACATTATATTATGCTACTTAAGGTTACCTAACATTATGTCACGTTAATTTATGTTACTTTACGTTACCTTATGTTACATTACCTAACATTACGTTACCTTACATTACGTCATGCTACGTTACTTTACGTTACCCTACGTTACTTTACGTTACCTTACATTGCATCATGCTACGGTACTTTACCTAACATTACATCATGCTACGTTACTTTACCTAACATTACATCACGTTACCTTACGTTACTTTACGTTACCTAAGATTACGTCACGTTACCTTACGTTACTTTATGTTACCTTATATTACGTTACATTACCTTACATTACGTTACCTTACGTTACTTTACGTTACCTTACATTACATTACCCAACATTACGTCACATTACTTTACGTTGCCTTACGTTACGTCATGCTACGTTACGTTACCTAACATTACAACACAGTACCTTAAGTTACTTTACGTTACCTAGAATTACATCATGTTAACTGATGTTACTTTATGTTACCTAACATTATGTCACGTTACCTTACCTTACGTTACTTCATATTAATGATTGTGACCTAGAAAAAATATAAGGAAGCAGACATTTGCAAATATAAGTCTGACTCCGTATGTTTTACTTGTTAACGTGGAATGATTTTGATTCTTGTGTTTTTCTGTTTCCAGGGAGATCGCGGTGGCAGAGGAGAGAAGGTACTTTCACCACTCAAAAATACAAAAATTATTCTTAAAGAAGATAAACTGTTTGTTATAGGATTGCTGGGCTGTATAACTAACGAGCTGGCTCATGTCATGTGTTTTCCTGCAGGGTGAAAGAGGACACAAAGGTTACAAGGTGAGATATATATATTTTTTAATTTTACAGTTGTGTGACGTTTCTGTTGGTGATTGCTCTAAAAAATATATAATATTGGTTAAATGAATCTTTCTCTATTCTCTCTTTCTCAGGGAGACAAAGGTCTAAGAGGAAATGATGGAGTTGATGGACGCAAGGTGAGTAATAGACCTGAAACTTTCCAAATAGTGAAATGCTACAGTATGTGTGTCACACTCTAGTCTTTATTTATTTATGAATGTATTTATGTTTAATTGTGTCTCTCTTGTTGTTCTCATTAGGGTGAAGCTGGTTTTCCCGGACTCGCCGGCTGTAAAGGATCTCCTGGATCAGATGTAAGTCCTATATCTCAATCTCAGGTTAATCCTTCTGTTCGGCTCCAAATTTGGACCTCAATCAGAGCTCTACTCACACTAATATCATGCATCGCAGACAGTTTGAATCACAACCAGAGGGGAACCAATCAATAGACGCTAACACAGTCTGAGGACCGCAAATACACAAGCAGTCAGGTGTTAAGGTGTTTGGACACACACACACACTGTATTTGTTTCTATTTTTGTGTACTAAAATCTCTTTTGAAGCTCATACAGGCCACTTCAGTATCAGCCTGAGGCTCAGACACACAGAGGCCCTCGACCCTTAATCACGCTTCGTTTACATTCTCTGCTGTCAGATTGTTTAAATTGAGCCATATAGTCCCACTGTAAACAAACACACACACACACACACACACACACACACACACACACACACACACACATTCATGTGCGTACATGCTCTGTGGCCTCAGACAGCGTTGTGGCTTCAGCTGCTTATGATCATTCCCTCAAACTGTGTGTGTTTCTCTGCTTTTAGGGTCTGCAAGGAGACTCCGGACCAAAGGGAGACCCCGGCTCTTATGGACTGAAAGGAGGAAAAGTGAGATGAGAAAAAAAAACTTGTTCTTATGAATATTTCAAGTAACCTTTGGGTGGCCTTTAATAACATATTATGCTCTTATTTCAGGGAGATCCTGGAAGAGACGGAGAACCAGGAAGGCCAGGAAACTACGGCCCACTGGGACCTCAGGTACATCAAAAAAAGACAGACAGAAGACAGATCAGTACAAATAGTATCACACGGGGCAGGAAATCTAACACATGAATAAATACCTGTGTTGTTTCAGGGAGATCAAGGCCCTCGTGGAGCAGACGGGGACAAAGGAGAGCGTGGGGATGATGTAAGTGACGAAGCTCCGATCAACGGCAGAAACACATCAAGGTTTTGTTATCATTTACAGCTCGTCTAACATCCTGCTGTGTGTGTCTGTGTGGGTGTTTGTGTTTTCTAGGGTACACCAGGGTTAGATGGACCTCGTGGGGAGAGAGTAAGTTAGATTAATATGAACTTCAAAGTATTTTTTGAAACAGCAGCCAAAGTACATGTTGACATTGTGTTTTGAAATCTCTTCATAGGGGCAAATCGGAGAGAAGGGAGAGCAGGGATCTCGTGGAAACAGAGGACCAAGAGGAGAGTCTGTGAGTGACAGAGGATGCAAAAAAAACTCTAGGAGTACAAATATGTGTGTACAAAACAAATAGAAGACCTGATTTAACTTCTCATTGAAGTAAAAGTGCAGAAGTGAAGCTCCTGAAATGTACGTTTTTACTAAGCTTGTTTTAACTGATATTAACCAAAGGATACACTGAGAATGCAGCTTTTTTTGAGCCGTTGTCCCATCCTATTGGTATAAAATCTTGAAGTTGTGAAGGCAGTGTACTCTGATGGAAAAAATAAAATAACAATCCCTTCAATGCCTTAAAAGTACATTTAAGAGCCACATTTGAAAATGTTGAAGATCCCAAAGAACAGTTAAAATTAAGTTTTATGACAAGAAATCTGCAGTAATATGGTGAAAAAAAGTATTCAAAAGACAACTGGACTTGGTTGAAGTTGTTGAAGGTGTTTCGTCCTCATCTGAAAGACTTCTTAATTATTAACTTCTTAGTTTAATTTAATTAACTTCTTAATTAACTTAACTTCTTAGTTATTAAAAATACATAAAACTAAACTAAGTACATCAACAATGTTTTTACACTTAGCTAAAAAGTACATTTTTGTTTTTTTCTTTCAATCTCTGGTGAGAGGTAAAAAAATGATGAGGAGGACCCCCCCCCCCCCATCCCTCTCACTCACAGTCTGAATTCATCACCTCCTCCTGTGAAATTCACGGGAAATGCAGTGACATCCATATTGACTTAAATGAATCACAGACTGTTTTCATCAAGTCCTTCTCCATGTTCTCCTGCTGATCTTTAAAACATTTTTAACATTTTGTTCTTTCTCTGCCAGGGGGAACCAGGAAGCCGAGGAGATCAGGGGAGGGAGGGCTCAGCTGGCCCCAACGGAGACCCTGTAAGACACACTCAAATATAATCACACACACATTTATACGCAGACACACACACACACACACACACACAGGAGCTGCTGAACCATTGTTTGTTAGCCTGTTAGGAGAGATTCAGGAGGAGAAACACCCACTTTTCTCTCTGGCAGCATCCTTTTTTTTCCACTTGGAGAGGAGAACTTGTGCCAGAGTGTGTATGTAGTGTTTCTAGTGTGTGTGCACATGTTAGCTCTTTCGCATTTGTGTCCATATTTCATGTTGAGGGGAGGCTTAAACAGAGGCGAACCTGGCTGCAGCCCCAGAGTGCTGCCCACTCCCCCTCGCTCCAGCTCCCCTCTCCCGTTCTCAGCTTCTCCTCCGCCTGGGAACGTCGACGCTCACTCTTTCCCCTCTGACTCAGTTCTTCTCTCCGTCCGCTCCAGCCAAAGCCTCAGCACGGTTTTTTTATTAACAAGGCACCAGGCACAGTAATAATAATAATACGTTACAAGTCTTATTTGTGGTGACCGCCGTGATGTCAGAACATTCAATGGCTCTATTGTGCTTTCAGATGCACCTCCTTCTTCATCAGAGCTCAATGAACATTTACTAAACTGAACAGAACAGAACAGAAAACATGGAAGAACTGACATGATGGGTTTACCTCACACAGTCAGGAAAAAGCTGTACCGCACATGCAGTCATGTGCTGCACATCAAAAACCCTCTAAAGCGGCAGTATTCTGTATCACAGTCACACAGCGATGACTAATAACACTTTAGGAGGGCTCTTTTGGAAACTTCTTCTATGTCAGCATGACATTGGCAAAAGCACACTTTTTTATTTTGTTTTAAGACTTGGATAAAGTCAGATTAGAAGAGCAACAATCATTCAACTTAGTTAAACCTGTTTATAGGTGCTAGCTCAGCAGAGCCTGGCACCAGGACAAAACAGTTAGCTTTGAACAAAAGTTACCATCAAGGGCCGTCCAGAAACACTGAAACATTTCTATACACGTACCCACCAATGAATTGAAGAGTCTTGTTCCATTTCATTATTAATTTAATTCAGTCAATTCATTAGGGACAGCACGCAGCAGCTCAGCTAACCTGCTACACTCAAGAAAAAACACCACAGCAATGACTAACTCTTTTAATTTAACAATAATAATGTAGGTACTACTTTTTGTTTGTATACAGATTATTGTTTGGCACTTGTTTAGTGCTGAGCTATGCTAATCTGAAGGAGGCTATAATGCATGATGCTAAAGTCAGATCAGAGTTTTTATTGCTGCCCTCCGGCTGCAGTGATGTACAGGTGTACTCCTTTTGTTTATTAACAAAACATGTTCTAAATGTTTCATTAAGCAATGCAGTGGATACAAAACACCGCTAAATTAGAGTCTTGTAAAGCTATTCATAGACAAGTTAGGGTTATTTCTACAGCTCATTTCAACAATAAGGCAATTCAAAGTGCTTCACACAAGACATCAAATGCATCATGACAAAGGGAAGAGACATTTAAAAATCATTCAATCACATAATATGACATAAAGCAAAAATAAATCGTTAAAATACGAAAATAAATTAATAACCAAACATTTCTATAGTGGTGTTATCGGCTCTGTGCACCTTATAATGTTTTTGTGCTTTGAAGTCCCCGACTACAGTCTTACTGTCCCGACGGACACAGATTCAACTGCTCACAGTTTTCTCTGTCTGCGTTCGGAGAAGGCGCATTGGAAACCCCACCCAGGGGTGCTGTGGTGGTGAAATTCACCCACAGTCGTTACAGTTTAACACTACACCAATTTGTTATCGAGAATTGTGTCATGTCTGCTTATAAAAGTGAATGATTACTTTAAGTAACCAGCTCTGCAGGCACACAAGAATCCAATGCTCTGAAGTCCCTGACCACAGAGTCTTACTGTCCAGACAGACACAAATTAACCTTCTGGTCTCACTTAATCACTTAATCAATTAACAATCCACACTAGAGCATCTTCCCGAGGATTTAGGCTCACAGTTTGCTCCGTCTGTGTCGAGTCACACCTCACAGGATGGTTCAGACCTTCAGGTACTTGCAGGGACATCTTACTTTAAAAGAGTTTACAGATGTAGAGAGCCTCAGGTTCTCTGGTAGTTCGTTCCACAGGTGAGGGGCATAGAAACTAAAAGCTGCCTCACCCTGCTTGGTTCTGATTCTGGGAACAGTCAGTAAACCTGTCCCCAGGACCTGAGGGGTCTGGATGCCTGATAAGGTATTTTGGCTCAAGACCATTTAGTGCTCTATACATGAGATGAAGTTATAGAGTTAGGGGGAATTTTGTCTTTATGTCGTTTTTGCGTTTTTCTTCAGCAGCGCAAGTTTAATGTCTTTGTTTTGGAAAGTGTTTTATAGTCTCTCATTAGAGGTGTTGTTGTTTTTCAGGGCGAGCCTGGCAAATCAGGGTCTTCTGGCTACAGAGGAGACGAAGGCCCACCTGGACCAGAAGTGAGTCCAACAGCACACACACACACACACACACACACACACACACACACACACACACACACACACACACACACACACACACACACGGATTTTTAATTAAGGTACACAAACAGCTCTCTTACAAAGTCACAAAGGGTTTTTCACAACAGATTTATTTATTTATTTATTTTTTCCGACCTCGTCTCGCCTGCTTCAAGTGGGCGGGGCTCAGTCTGAATGTGATGATGTCACAAACTTCTGTGCACCAATCAGGATTTAGCAATCAGGATCTAACGACAGCCACAGTGTTACTCGTCCCGTTAATCCAATCTGACCACACCCATACAGTCCTGATGAAATAGATGAAAGGCTTTATAAATAGACAAATCTTATTAACTGATATGAGTGTTTACCGTAACAAAGAACTAACCTATACAATCACTTATGCTTAGTTTATTGTGTAAAACTTTGAAGAAAACCAACTCAAGATGTTTCTCCTTGCTGTGATTGGTTCTTATTGAAAAATATCTTTAAAGAGACAAAGGTTTGAAGCCATTTTTTTTCAGTTTTTGAAGGCTGATTTCTCGGAGCTGCATCTTTAATGTGACTTGTTTTGCCCTCAAATAAAGCCCATAAAACTATCGTCAGAAACTGTGTTGTCATCAATCATGTATACTGCAACCATTTTAAAGTGATCTTTTTTGTTATTGGACACGTTTTATCTCACAATCGCTGCAATTAGTGCAGCAACTGACTGTTACATAACTTCAAAGTGTCTGTGAAACATGAGGACTGCTTTGTTCCCACGCATACACAGGAAACACACAAGTGTCTTGACAGAATCCAAATGTTGCAGCAAACACATGCCATTTCACATGTTTTTAATCGGATGGTTTTTTTAATCTTGCAGGGACCCAAAGGGCCGAGAGGAATCAAAGGAGCTCCAGGAGACAGAGGCCAGATGGGGGAGAGGGTGAGTGTGTGAGACAGAGAGGGGGAGACAGATGTGTGCCATCCATCATATTCCCTGCTATGTGCAAGTGTGTGTATGCGTGTGTGTCTGTTTGTGAAGGGATCTTTAATTGTATTTCTTTGTTGATTCAGGGAGAAGATGGTGTACCAGGAAACGGCACTGCAGGTTGTCCAGGTTTTCAGGTATGTGTTTTTACTCCTAGAACTCTGCAAAAGACCATCAGTTCCTTTATTGGTATTTTAACTGATTGTGATGTCATGTCTCTGAGCATCTTCAAATATTTCAATGGCCTTGAGTATTTACAAGTCAGACCAAATGGATAAGTCATAGTATTTGATTCAAACTTTTTAAATTACGACATCAATGAGAAAATCTGTGAATGTTTTCCTTTAATATTTTTCCATATCTACCTTTAATTTGTGAAAGATTACGGTTGTGTACCTTTTGTAAGTTCTTCTTTTTATAACAACAGAATCATGAAAAACACACAGTCAGAGTGAGCAGCTTGCTGCCGCATTGTAAACCCATTGAACAGCGCCAATGTAATGTAGAAGATGGTGGCATGAAAGAGGACTTCTCTTTTGACTTGATGAAGAATAAAGACTCTTGCTATAACAGTCTTTATGTTGGGACATTTAAGAGCTATCATGTTAGAGCATGATCTTCTGAAGGCGCCAGCAGGAGGTCATTTTCTAAGAGTGAACAGGAGTCCATGCAGATCATACTCTGTGTTCAATTCTGAACATTCATGTCTTTTTCAGGGTTACCCCGGGTCTCGTGGAGACGCTGGTGAGCCGGTAAGTTATTTTTCCAATTCCTTTTAAGAACTTAGAGGCGGAATATGTAAGTTAAAGTGTCTCATTGGTTAGTTATAGATAACTTGGAAGTTTACTGAATTACAGATTGACATATATAAAGCACACTGTATTAGGTTATTAGTGTGTGGATTTAAACATCTGTGTTTGAAGTGCATGACAGCCGATCATAATCAATTACCATGCTCATTAGTCATCTCACCCTGTGACCTTCAGGGCGGTAAGGGAACTCCTGGACCCAAAGGAGACGACGGAGAGTCCGGAGATCCAGGCCCTGATGTGAGTCTGTTAGTCTTCTCTCTTGATCTCGTTTTTTATCTTCCCTCGTTCTGTTTTCTGGCAGAAGGCAGCAACAGGATGTGAGTCATATTTCTATGTTTATGGGCACATCTACATATTTATCTTTTATTGCACTTCTTACAGTATTTAATAATAGGTTTCTTCTTTTTAATTTCTGTCTTTCATTTAGTTTTTTGTATCAGACCCGCACATTCTTTACTGTTGTTTGTCTCAGTCCATCCATCTTACTCTCACACTCTCCTTCTGTTCTGCAGCTGGAAATGCTTTCTGGTGTGTGTGTGTGTGTGCGTGTGTGTGTGTGTTTGTGTGTTTCATTGGGGAAGAGGGCTTTGAGCTGATGCAGCTGTGTATATGTCGTTGTCAAGGATACCAGGAAATGAACAGAAACGATGGAGGGTACTGCATTACTCTTTTGCAGTGTGAGCGAGTCTGTTTGCATTTGTGTGTGTGTGTGTGTGTGTGTGTGTGTGTGTGTGTGTGTGTGTGTGTGTGTGTGTGTGTGTGTGTGTGTGTGTGTGTGTGTGTGTGTGTGTGTGTGTGTGTGTGTGTGTGTAGATTGTGGATATGAGTGTGGATACCATGCGTGTGTGACCAGCCGTGTCCATATAGCATGTCATGTCTTCCAATTTTAAGCCCGGGGTCAACCTGGTCGTGTTTATGTTAAAATGACAGCATTTCCAGGGTTCAGAGTTTGGTGCCGTAAATATTTCTGCACATGTTTGTACTTTTCTCTCATCCGCTCATCAAAGAATGCTGACCTCTCTTTTTTCAAAGAGCAGTCACACTCTGTAAGCCTTAACTTTACTGTGTCAGATCAGTTAACCACTCGTAAAGAAGGATTAGAGTCATTCACCACTGTTGCCCAAATGCTTATTTTCTCAGTTGTATCATTTTTGTGTGCAGCATTTTGCAGGAAAAATCCCTTAACTCTCTAAATGATTCTTAAAGACCACACACCTAAGCCTGATTGTAAAGCACCCGAACCACCCACTCAAATCACGCACGCCAAATGAGTCAGTTTAGAGGAAACCGTCTTGGAATAACGGTGTCACCGCTCCTGGTGGTTTTTGCTCCATTTCATTTTCTCTGGACTGATTTTCTAACTGAAATATAAACAAGCAAAGCTATGCATCAACCAGCCTACAAGAATGTGGTTGTCTTTAGAAAGTAGCGGTCAAAAAGTGAAATAAATGAGCCAAAACCAAGCCCATGGAAGTGGGCGTGGCTTTAAAGCAAATGTGACATGGTGGGCAAATGGTGTGATTATGTCTTCTGGATCAGTTACTTGCCAAAAATAACTTTTCCCATCCACCTACAGTAACAAAGAGATGTTTATTCATACTCATAGTATACACTAACTGTCATAAAAAAAAACATTCAAAAAGCCTTTTATCGATCATTAAGGTCTTTAGTTCTAACATTTACTTAATTTAGGAATAATGCGTCAGAGACACAGGAGGGAGTTTAATAAGAATCTGTTAAGTTTGTTCTAGCGTCCCATGATTCAGAGCTTTGACTGAATCATGAACTATGGTGACTTGAAGACGTTAAACTGAGCTCTCACTGCATGCTTTCCAAGGCATCATGAATGACTTGACAGCAGGTACACCTGACTTTAGATGTTCTGCCTAATCTTTGACACATATTTAGTGTTTTTCTTGTTATTTGATGTCTTTTAATGTATTATAGTCATGTATCTAATACTACAGGTGTGTGTGCTGCTTATTGTTTGTCAGTAACTTTTTATAGTGTGCCGCTGCCTGTCCTGGCCAGGACACTCATGGTGATACATTTAGATCTCAGAGAGATTTCCTCTGGTAAAGAAATGGTCAAATAAAGAAATAAAATCATGGTTTTGTTGGGGTGAGGGACAATCTGGTCTGGGTGCCAATGTTTGACCCAGATTATCTGGTAATGTAAAGCTTGGAAGATCCAGACTTAAACCTCTTGTACATCGCTCAGACTTGTTGGAGCCACCACAGTAATATCAGACATGTTTGATATAAAGATTTTAAAAGAGAAAATCCTGCACACTACGTTGGTTTTTACTAAATGGTAATGCTGAGCAAGAGTAGTGTGTGGGATTTTCTCTTTTCAAGATCGTAGCTTTACGTCCTACTTCATGAGATATTGGATGTGTGAACACCTTTAAAAAACATGAATATGAACGGTTTAAAGTATTTTATTTTCTGCTTTGGTGGTGGTGTATGAATGGATTAGTGTTGTACTTACTCTCTGATGTACGTCGCTTTGGATAAAAGCGTCTGCTAAGTGAATTGTGACATTGTAAGATAGGAAGTACTGCTTTGTCCACAAGGGGCGCCAAAATCAACATTGAACAAAAGTTCCTCTCAGGAGCTTTATGAGGGAGAGTAATAAGGGCGCGGTCACACTGGTCATCTGTACCGTGCTGTACTCAAGCACGATTGCCCCCCCCGCTGCGCTATGCCCACGCTGGCCGGCACGGCCCGCGGTCACACTGCACAGGACTATCAGTGCTTAAACACGATTACCTCTTGTACATAACGTCGTAATACAACACATGCACGCTTTATGTTATTATGAAGCGTGCTCAGTTTACAAACAGGTGGAGAGAGAGAGAGAGAGAGAGAAAAAGAGACGTGCAGTCGAGTCTACACATCAGAGAAAAACACAGAGCATGACAGCTACTTTACTGACTTTACAGCTTATTCTAAGCCATTTTAATCACACACAGCAATGAATAAATTAAAAAATAAAATAGACGCGCGGCCGAGTCCACAGGCGAGTCTGCGGCCGCACATCGGAGAACAACACAGAGCATGACAGCTACTTTGCGGCTTATATTGAGTCATGTTAGTCAGATACAGATGTGAAACTCTGGATTTCTCCATAATGAAGGCTGTCAGCGTTGTTTACCTGCGTGCTTGTGCTCGTGCATGAAGTGTACCGGGCTGAAGCACACCTCTCCGAAGTGTGCCAAAGCCAAGGAAGTGTACCGAGCCTGAGCACGATGCGGAGCGGTCACACTGGCCAAACGAACTGGACTTTAGGGTTGAAGCGTGCTTGGACATGGTACGGATGGCCAGTGAGACCGCGCCCTAAGTGAGAGAAGAAGAGAAGGAGTTTGAGCACTCAAAACATTTTACATTTAACGTTAGCATTCATCCTGCAGCAGAAAGAACTGAACATGTACCATCTCACCCTAAGTCCATGAAGAAATGGAAACTTTACCGTAGTGACCTCGTTTGTACCCGTTTCTCATCCAGACTTGTTCTCACTGCAGAGCTTTTTTTTTCACAGCTGGTTGTTGTCTGTGTTTGTCTTGTTGTCTTGTTTACATTTGCTGATCAGGTGAGATCACATGAGATCATACATGAAAACGTGAGGCGGTACAACAATCATATTAAAATCCTGTGTTGAGCCTTTTCTTCATTATATTATAATATATGTGTGTGCTTTGTGTTTGCAATTACAAAAAAAAAAAAACTGTGAGGTTCTTTTGATGTTAGTGATACAACTTACATTTTAAATTGGTTAGGATTTAAACACTTTTGTTGACTGACCTGACCTTGGTCAAACATTTTGTGGAGGGTTTCTCTGCCCCAAGCAACTTTCAAAAGAGTAATCAGGGTCCTGCCTCTTGGGCTAGTTTCGCTTAATACACTAATGGCTAAAACATACAAAAATCCCCACAGTCTAGTATCATATGTAGCTAGCATCCCTTTAGCTTAGCTTAGCACAAAGCCTGAAATTTGGGAACCAACTAGATTTGTTGCTCTCCAAAATCTGAGTACAAACACCTCTCGACAATATGCCTATTTTTATTTTTTGAACAAGACATTTTCATCAGTAGTACCACAGGTCTTTATGTTTATGTTTTTTTTACAGTGTGTTTTTCTGGTCCACAAGAGCCCCCAACATAACCCCCATAAAGCAGCAGGTCATCGTCTTTACCTTTCAGTTTAAGGTGCTGGAAGGCAGATTTTGTTATCTTTGGACCGAAACAGATTAGTTGTTCTCCGCACCATATGCTAAACTAAGCTAAGCTAAGCTAACCCGCTGCTGGCTGTAGCTTTGTTCTTTTGGTACAGAAGCCAAGGTTGTATGAATCTTTTTATCCAGCAATTGGCAAGTACGGAATTAAGCCTTTCCCCAAAAATGTTAAACCTCGTTCAGCCTTAAATAAAATATCCCCTACCTTCTCTCTGCAGCTTTCACATTGGTCAGTCTTTAATAAGATGTGTAATAAGATGCCATATTTGGTCCATCTCAATGGAAAAAGTGAATCTATGCGCTTTTCTCCAGAGGCATGTGTCCATCCATTTCTCTGAACAGTCGCTTGTTTGTTCCCACAAGTTTGACATCCGGCTGTCACTGTTTGGGACATTACAGCAGCAGAAAAAGTCTGATTGATTTCAGATTAAGAGACAAAAAACTGCCCGACCACATTTTCTGATCATCTTTTAGCCCTGTCTTTATCGTGATTGTCTTTGTGAGTTCCGGTTGTAATTTAAATTGTTTAAATATTTCCACACTGCACAGACATGTAGTTTGTTGCCTGCATTTCTCTGGCCAGAGGCGACAGGAGGGTATCGACAGGGTGTGTCGGAGAAGATAAAGGTGGAGACGGACCTTTTGACTGTGTGTGTGTGTGTGTGTGTGTGTGTGTGTGTGTGTGTGTGTGTGTGTGTGCGTGCGTGCGTGCGTGCGTGTTTGTGGATGATATGGCTGTTGCTTTTTACATCAGGACGTTTGAAGTTGAGAATGTGCAGTAATTGGAAACGTGTGTTTGTATTCTTATCAAAGGCTGTGTGTGTGTGTGTGTGTGTGTGTGTGCGTATGTGTGTGTGTGTTAAAGGCCAGGTGGTTGGCATTACCTTCTCTCTCTCTTGTATCTGTCCACTGTACGTACATAGATGTGTCACACTCAGATCAAAGGGCTAAAAAAAAACATACTTTCATGATCTTTGACTTTACAGTGTTTTAATCTGACCTTTGCCCTAAACTGCACTGAACACTTAAGACCATTGGGAACATTTAAAGATAACATACACCTTTTTAAGGATCAATGCAGCACAACACATTCAAAAAACATTTACATTTGTTCTTGGAGTATAAACAACACATTTGGCTTGCTATCCGCTCTCAGTTTGGTACTTTGCTGTAAATGTATAATTCTTTGCAGCTGTCTCACCAATATGCCCACATCTCTTTGACTGTGGGAACATGAAACCTAAAGACAGGATAATTTTCCTAAATTGATTTACGGTGTTAAGCTCTTTATTCTCCACACTTCAACCCTCTGCGTCACAATCTCACAGCGATCAGCCGGTCAGAGAGCAGCAGCTGGAGGGGCTTTAGCTGCTGCTCTCTGCAGACCTGTGTGGAAAAGATCTGACATGAACTCTGAGCCTTTTCCAGACTGACTGTTCATTTGGGAGATGTTTTGATAAGCTGATTTCTTTCGAAAGGCTTCTTCAGGTCTACACTGACGGGTGGACGGAGTTATAATCATAAGCCTCAGTGGGTCATTACTACAGAAGCTTTGTAGATGTACGGCTTTAAGCTGATGACACCCAGACTTACTTTGCTATTTTACCAGGTAGTCCCCGTTTTCCCCCGCTGTCTGCAACTTCTTCCATCTGAAAAAAAAAAAATCTTAAGTCAACCACAGATCTGATGATACTACTATTCGAAGTCATCATATATGCCTTTACAAAATAATCCAATTGTATGGACACAAAACAAAAATGTTCTGTACAGACTATGACTGATACAAACCAGAACACAGTCAATATGGTAATTGTGCATTTATTTTACAGGTGAGCACCTCACTGAAAATCTCATTTAATTTTCTCTTCTTTTTTTTCTTTTTTTTGTTTACAGAACAGTGAACCAGGACCTGCAGGAGCAAAAGGCGCCAAAGGTCACAGAGGGCCTGAGGGCAATCCGGTAAGAATACCAAGAAACCATGGCATGAGCTGAGTGTTGTAGGTTTGTCTGCGTGTGGATGCAAGTTGAGACTGTGGGGGGACTGCTGTCCACACATGCAGAGAGCATCTCTCCCTTTAAACTATTAACATGTTCTCACATTTGAATGAAGTTTTGAGGTCATTTAACATCTTTTTCTGAAATAAATACAGTTGGAAATGGCCTATTGGTTGGTTTTACTAAACCTCAGATTAGCTCTATAACAAATTACATTTCAATTTTCATATTTGTACAGCTACTGATTTAAATTTCAGTCTTAATAAAGTTTCTAAGGTGATGTGAAATGTCCACAGCTGAAGTGGAAAAAACAGAAACTTGATTGTTTTGAATTCTAACACAAACCTGAAGCCGCTATGTTCCTATAAAAGACTTTAGATTTTATTTCTTTTTTACGACCTAAATCACCCCTTGAAATGCCAGGTACCGTAGTTTACAGGGAAAAAAACACTCTGTGCATTTTTTGGAACTATTTTAATTTGCGGATTAATACACAATCTGTGCTGCAGCTGGTATTTACGTCACCAGGACTGTAAGCGTAAAACAAACTGCTGTGCCTGGGATCATGATAGCGAAGTATTATGTCACACTGTAGTGTACGTTCATGGCACACACACACACACACACACACACACACACACACACACACACACACACACACACACACACACACACACACACACAAACTAATATCAGTGAATTACCCTTTATAACTTCACCAATCATATCTACTTGGCTTAAAATTCTTGAATTATACAAAAAGAAGATGTATGTTCAAAGTAACAATTTAATGTAAGTGAAAAAAAATGCATGCAAAAAGCCCTCAAAGTTGGTTTTAACATAAGCCCCGCCTCTTAGAGAGCAAACAGCCATTCACAGTTTAGGATTTTTGGGGTGGCACCTGAGGAGGCCCATGCCACCCCTCTGGGCACACCCCTCTGGGCACACCCCTCTGGGCACACCCCTCTGGGCACACCCCTGTTCAGTTAGTATGGGGGTTACAAAGTAGGACCAATCTACTATAATCTGGTGAAATATTGAAGAGAATATCATCAAACCTTTTATCAACTCAATCACAAATCACTCCATCACTAAATACGACCGCAAACTGCATGTCTTTAAAATATGTCTTTGTCTCGCTCACAGCGTGTAGGAAAGATCCAGCAATTTCCTTTCAACAACTGGCAAGTTAAACCTTGTGGTATTGGATCATGAGAAAAGATCAACGAATCTAAATATAACACTGTGCATGAATTCATGTTCTCAAACTGTAACCTTTCACACTTCCCCTCCTCTCTCTCTCGCTCCTCCCTTTCCTCCTCGTTCTCTTTGTGCCTCTGTTCTGGCTCGTGTCTCTGCTGCATATTTCTGTATGAACTGTTTGCATCATGTGTTTTCAGGACAGTTTCTCTCGACTACAATTAACTCTCTCTCCCTCTTTCTGTCTCTCTGTGTTTTCCTTTGCGCGCACATGCGAGCTACGCTGGCGTCTTTGTCACAGAAAAGAATGCTCTTAAACTGAGTTTTAATGTCTGTTAAAACAAAACAGATGGTTTTCGTGCAGCCGAGAGGAAAAAAAAAAACAGAATGCTCTGGCAATGAACTTCTGTAAGATTCAGATGTTGTTGAAAGACAGCGGTGCACAAATGTGTGGGTGTGGATGTGGTTTCAGTGACTGAAGGATTTTGGTTTGCAGTCAAAGGAGGAATGGTTTTCCAAAGAAATTACACTTTTTTTTATTCAAGCTGAAAAATTCTTCCAGGACTAGCTGTCTCATCCTGAAGTCAGACCAGATACACTTTTATGAGGCCTTTTCTTTAAACAGATAAACACATAAATCAGGGGGAAGAATCTCTCAGTCCCCTTGTCTTTTTTTTCTCACTCATTCTCCTTCTCTCTGCAGGGACCTTCTGGGCCTCCTGGACCACCAGGAACTGATGTGAGTACACAAAAAAATGCAATCAGTCCACTTAATCAGGACCTTCGCCCTCTTCTATGTTGATAAAAACCACCGACTTATCTCCCTCCCTGAGGCTGTGCTAGTTTTGTCTCTAAACCTGATACCATGCGTTCACTCCAAAGACACACATCTAATTTCCTGAGCACAAAAAATGCAGCCTTTCAGCGAGCAGAGCTCTGAGCGAAACATCGCAGTTATCATGTTTTATTTTTTATTTTTAGAGTAGCTTGAAACAGTCATTGACCCGGCTGTGCGTGTTGTCCTTAAAAGTTATGTAACATGATTTAACAGTGTATTGCCGTACTGTAACGCATACTCCACCTCTCACTTCAGGAATGTGAAATTCTGGATATCATCATGAAGCTCTGCTGTAAGTGAAACTCTATGCACACTTCAACGCACCCTCACTAAAATGAAGCCACATGTACCCCACGCTAAACACTTTGACCTCTTCAACCCAGTCTCTGATTAGCCAAACATGCAACCCAAACCTGGCGGATGTGAAGGTTGTACAGGTTATGTCGTGTTACGTTTGGTTCTTTTCAGTCAATTAACTTTGATTTGTGTTTTTTTCCCCCCTCAATCCACTTTGAATCCCTTCTCAGCTTGTTGTGGTAAGTTTGTGCTGAATTTTAAACTCATTCATCATCATTATTGTTTCATGTGCTTTGTAACATTCCTTGTGTGTTTTGTTTTTTGTGTTACCAGAGTGTAAATGTGCGTCTCTGGACCTGGCCTTCATTGTAGACAGCTCAGAGAGTATCGGCTCCACTAACTTTGCACTCGCCAAAGACTTCATTATCACAGTCGTCGACAGACTGATCAAGGACCAGCAGGTCAAGGTAGAGTCCCTCTCTCAAATGATGTCATGTACAGAGGCTATCATCTCCCAAGCAGGTGGCCAGGGTTCAAATCCAACCTGTGGTTCCCACCCCCCACTCTCTCTCTCTCTCTCTCTCTCTGTACTCTATCCTCTGTCCCATCAAATAAAGGCATCATAGCTCCAAAAGTATATCTTTAAACAAAGTCTATATCTGTTTAAGGTTGAGCCTGAAAACAGATTTAATCTGTTCAACATCCGTGCCCGGGGTTCAGGATTTCACTGTTTTCCATTAATTAACTAGACTGTGGCGGTCCGCCAAGTCTAATCTGTTGCACCATAGTCTAATTTGCATGCTAGCGTCAGGAATTATTATCAACGATAAGAACTTTTTTTTTTCTGAGTAAATTTAAAGTACAGTTTACCCCGTTAAATGTGATGTGTGGCTGCAGTAGCCTACACCGAAATGTGATTGTCTTTATGTCTGTTCCCTAAAACGGTCCGTACCTTGTTTACCTCCTGCAGAGTGTTACAACTCACAGCCGTTCAGAGCTTTTCAATCTGAGTTTTAAACACAATCAAAGACGTTTGATCACCCTGTCAGATAAAGCAGCATAACTAGTTGTAAACCTAGATATCAAAATTCTAGCTGAAAATTCTTTTTGAACCTGCAAAACAACTTGTGAAAGAGCGGAACAAATCCATTTCGCCTAAAGACGCCGCGTAGCTCCGCAGCTCACCTGTTGTCTTGAAAAACTGCTCTTAAAGTTTACTTCTAAGTCTAAACATTAGATCAGACCTTTTTTCAAGAGGTTCTCTTCCTCATTATGTCAAAACGTGCATTTAAAGATAAAGGTGGGTCCGCGGACCACACTTGAGAGGCAGAGAGAGAGAGAGTAAAAGGGCGAGCGAGAGTCCGGAACGTGCCATTGCGCATGTAAGTGGACGGACAAGAAACAAAAAGTTAAATTGATCATCTGCTCCACAGTTTACATGTTTACCAGTCAAGTATGTGAACTACACGGCTGACTGCAGTCTCTGTAAAAAGAATGATGGCGTCCAAACTGCCAATGTGCGCTGAGCGGTCATCTGTCTCTGCGTCTGTACGTCACCCTCCTTTATAAAAACTGGTCATAAACCACGTCTGAACGTCTGCTGTTAATACTCTTAATATTTATAATACTGAATAATACAATTAATTTATAAAATATGCTTTTGTGCAGCAAACTGTATGACGTCATCAAATAGAAGTTGTAGAGGTGTGATCCAAATTTGGATAAGATGCTGGAAAGGAGCGATAATAACTGAAAGAGGAGTAGGAACAGTATGCCTTGTTGAGGGTCTCAGTGGGCCAAGCCTAAAGCCATTTAACTTCCATGGGCATTGGATTTTATGTTTTTTTGATACATTTAACCTCTTAATTTTGCACATAATTAATGCATCTAACTTTAAAAAGTACACATTTTTCTCCCGGGGTGCATGCCCCCGGACCCCCCTAGAGGGTTCGATTTCTCCCACCATAGTCTCATGAAATCCTGTGGGAAACACTGGATTTGATCAAACTGTATTTCAAATTCATTTATCTTCACCAAATCCCACATTTAACCTCTGAGGATTGTGTTGTTTATTTAAAATTATCCCAAAAGTGTGGCATAAAGTGTTTTCTGCGATGTTAGGAAATGCAGCTATGAGAACAGACCTCAAAATAGTAAGTGTCAACGGGAGATTCTGTCTTTTGGTTTTGGAACGTGTTTTTATGTCTCTCCAGTGACTCTTCTCTTCCAGTTCGGATATAATTAGTCAGGATGGGTGGGACGCAGAAATGTTGACGGAGGAAAACACATGCTTGTAGACATAACACACACACACAGACCAAAACACACGGTCACCATGCAATGCTTTTTCTTTCCAGTTTGCAGCCAATGAGTCCAAGGTGAGTGTGGTCCAGTACAGTGGATCCCAAGCACAGGAAGTGGTCCAGCTGGGCAGCACGGTGAACACCCTCGCCGACTTCAAACAGTGAGTTCACGTGCCTTCAAAGAACCAGCCAGGCTTGTTCTCTAACTGTACTGTACCACTGCTACAGAGGTTTCACTTCAGGGCTTCGTTTTCAAGTTACAAATGTTCTCTTTGTCTTAATTTTTCATCAGCCTAGCAAGGAAGACAAGGAAGTCTGCAATGTTTTAATAATACATTCAGAATCATCCCAAGGGATGGCTGGTTGGGCTCTCTTCATTATAAAATAAAGATGAGAGCATTACTCTTTAAATAACTTAAAACAGATTGGTGTCAATGATGTTGGGTCCTACAGGAGCAACCGTAGAAAAACATTCACTCATTCAGATATGTCGTCTGAACGCAGAACTTTTTGGAAAGAAAGATGAATCTTGAAGTTCCCATGAAACCTCCATGCTTTATTTTGTGTGTTTGTCTGTGTACAAACAGAAATGATAAAAGTGACTGTGCTGTTTGGAGGAAGTAATCATACATCTATTTATAGTGAAGTGAAGATTGAACCTTACCCAGAGCCGTTATCTGGAGTTTCAGGTTGAGGCATTCAGACCTTGATCCATACTGAAGACTGAATAATATTGGAAAGTTTTTGCTCCTTCTTCAAAATTGATCTACAGCCAACATGTGGGAATGAGTCATAGACACGGCCTGGTTACAATACAAACACACTGCAGTTTTTTGTCATGGCTGTAAAACCACCAAACTGTGGATGAAGGCTTAAGTAGAGACAGAAAGAAGGCTTTGTTTGGATGTTTTCAAACACACTGATTCTATTTCTTCACCAACATTGATTTCCCTCACAGTTTAATAGATTATTTTTTTTTTTTTAAATGAAGCAAGTCTCCAGTCTTGGCTGGAGTTTGACAGGGGCTAACCATTTCCCCCTGCTCACAGTCTTTGTGCTAAACTAGGCTAAAACATATCCCACATTATGGAAGTTTAATGGATGATAAAAAAGATGATTTTCTTTAGTACTTCATGGTTAAACAGTTTATTTTCACATGTTCGGGCTTTTAATGTAAATGATTGATTTTTGATGATTCATGGTCAGCGTGTGTGTTTGTGTGTGTACAGGGCAGTGAAAGACTTGAACTGGTTGGCTGAGGCCACTTACACCGGCGAGGCTCTTGATTACGCTCTGAAAAACACGGTGAAGCTGATGACCCAGGAAAACCGCGTCGTTCTGGTTCTCACCGACGGACGCTCTGATATTACTAGGGACAGGATTCCCCTGAACGTGCTCTGTGGGAACAACGTCCGGGTGAGTAGAATACACATGGATAGACGCAGTAAATGCTCCTGCTAAACTAAAACCAATATACTAAACATAAGAACATCCCTCCTCCTCTTCAGGTGGGCGGTTTAGGAGTTAAAGACTACACAGGCCGTAATCCCAACCAGGAGCAGCTCGAGGACGTGATCTGTAAAAATGACCCAAAACCCGGCTTTTCTTTTGTCCTGGACAACTTTGCAGAGCTGCTCGATGACACTTTCCTGCAGAACCTCACAGAAAGCATCTGTAAAGGTAAACAAAGCAGGCATAAATGCAACAACATTGTGGGTAATTTGATGTGTCAAAGTTTTATTTTTATAAACTGCAATGAAACTGACTTTACCTGTGTTGTTCTCTCATTCAGATAAGAAGTGCCCGGACTACAAATGTCCCAGTAAGTCTGTTTTTCATCTTCAATAATAAGAACTATACATAGGGCTGTCCCCATACTAGTATCAGGATTGATACCAGCATTGGTATCGAACTCCAACACAGCCTAAAATGTGATTCCAGCCAGTCAGTCAGAAAATGCACTGATCTGATACCATAACCAAACAACCTCCAGAGAAATCAGCTGGTTACAGGTTAATTACTGTCTTACAAGAACAAACAGTGTAGTGCAAAGAGTTTAATGTTAGTCAACGCTGTTTAATTTCAATCAAATACGATACAATAAACTTTATTTTCCCCGAAAAACTTGTCTTGAAGTCCTCTGCTTCCACGTTTAGTTTCCAACAGAAGTATTAATAAAAAATAAAAAATGACATACAGTATAGCATATTACCCATATTGTACATGCTCTGCATTATACATAAAATCTGATCAAAGACTTTGGATGTAGAGTTGAAAACTGTAAGCATCCCTTTGCTGTGAACTGGAAATGTTTAGATCCTTTTGAACAGTTTGGTGGTTGCTATCCGTCTTGTCTGTCATGTGTAGGATGAATGAAAACAGCTGGTGATCAGATTTATTATGTCTGTTTGTGTGTTGCAGTCAAGTTCTCCAGCAGTGCCGATGTCTTCATCATGATGGACAGCTCAGCCAGCGTGGGCCAAAAGAACTTTGAGATGAGCAAGTCGTTTGTCCGTCGCTTGTCCGAGCGTTTCCTGATGGCCGAGAAAGAAAGGGGAGCGACAGTCAGGGTGGGTCTGGGTCAGTACAGCCGAAGCGCCCGCGTTGAACAGACCTTGATCGACAACCTGGAACTGTTGTCTAATAAAACCATGGAAGCTACCTTCCAAAACGACGGCACCAACATGTTAGAGGCCATGGAGCTTGGGATGAAGAGTCTTCGAAGCCGTGGGGACGCATCTGGAGGCGGTAAGAAGCTGGTGCTGTTTTCTGATGGCAGGTCTCAGGCCATCACCCAGCCCTTGTTGGATAAGCGTGTTAAAGAGTTGTCGAGCGGAGGGGTGGAGCTCTTTGTGATCGCCGTTGGCAGCCAAGTCAATGAGGCCAACCTGCGCACCCTGGTGAGCAGGGGCCGTCCAGACGACATCACCTACGCCCAGCGCCACATGTTCCGTGTCCCAGACTACCCCTCTCTGCTCCGCGGGGTCTTCCACCAAACCGTCTCCCGCAGGGTTTCTTTGCCCTGAGCGCAGGGACTCCAACAATAGGACCAACACGCTTTAGATTTTTAGTCCCGTTATAAATATTCAGGCTCACTCATTTACAATACACTGTTTGAGTATTTTTTTTTTTAAGAAGAAATGTCACAAACGACAAATGATTGTGTGGCAGAAAAAATGGAAATGTCTATGAAATTCTTACTGGACTTTCTTACCCTGATCTTTGCCTCCAGGCAGACTATCTCAAGCAGGGATCATTAAAAGATAAACAGAGTGATGGTGCTAACCGAAACGACGCTTGAGTTTGGAGCTTGTTTTGACAGTTCACAGCTGGAAGGAATGGCTACCTGCAGGGCAATGCTCAGGGTGAAAAAGTCCCACATCAGAAGCGGTCGTTTCAGTCCTGGAGAGCTGTCAGTATTGGCCACAAATAAATTCTCCCTTTTTTAATGGGGCTGGTTTCTTCTCAGGTATTCTGCATCCCTGTATCCCCTTGAGCCAGTCTAACCCGCACTTTGAGTTACTTTAAGTTCAACTAGTCTGGGTTCAAAATGGCTCATCAGGGCTAATCCCCGGTGTCTCTCCAGGACTGAAGCTCCTACTATTTGAAGGATTTGTGTTTAGGATTTAATGTGGACTCATTTATGTAGCTCTTACCACTCTTTCAAGTGGTGTCAGGTTTTGGGTGTCTCAGTTTTACTTATTAACAACAAAAGTTACCCTAACCCATATGTGAATCACAAACACACCAAGTGTTTGACGCTGGACCAAAAGGATTGTTAATCTGATAACTGTTTGTTTTAGGTTTTGTCCTCGTAAAGATAATTTAAAAGGTCAGTAAAACTTGGCGAAAACCTCAAACCCGACATCCCTTAAAAGTTTTATGCGATCATCAAACGGACAGCGAAAACAGGACATGACATCAGGCAGACTCAAACAAACCCGTCTGATCTTCACCTGGTACTAATGAGGACCCGCCAGCTGGACTCAATATGTGTAATTCTGTCTGTGTGTGTGTGTGTCTATCTGTGTGTGTGTGTGTGTCAGCACCTGTGTGTTCATCACATACATGTATACGTGTGTTTGGAGGTGATTTTTTTTACGTGTGGCCTGGGGTGATTGTTCCATAAACAGTTGTGCTGGGGTCACTGGTTCACATGACAGAATGACAGAAACCTGCTCTTTAAGGGCCTCTGTCAAACACTCTCACACACACAGAGACAGACAGACAGACAGACACACACGCACACACAGACAGACACACACACACACACACAGACACACAGACACACACATACACACACACACACACAGACAGACACACAGACACACACCTTTGTATTTCCTTAGTGAGGTAGGAAAACATCTGCTATGGTTAAAGGCTACAAAAGACACTAATAGGTCTCATAGCATGATTCCCTCATATTCACACACACACAAACACACACACACACACAAAACAACGTAAACAAATATTACACACTTTAAGATCCATGGAGTGTAAGTTCCACACCTTTAGTTTTAATGTTGTCAGTGTCCCAGAGTCACTGTACTGTTGTTGTTATCTGTGGTGCTATTAGTCTCAGTGTATCAGCCATGTTTTAAAAGAAGATATTTTTACCTGAGGACTCAAACCTCAGTAGTGATGTAAGAGCTCCTTCAATAAAGGTTGCCCCACCAAAATGTTTTGACTCGTGTTTGTCTGCGGTGTTGAAAAATGAAGCCAATGCGGAAGTGCAAAAAAAACTGCAGTTTCTCAAGTGTCCACTTGAGGCTGAATGAAAAAAGCCCCAGAAATCTTCAATTAAACAAACACCCTTTTTTACAGCAGAAATGTTCATTTGTGGTATCAACAGATCGTTCTTTATTCGTAAACAATGTACAGCCCGGTTATATTTGATTAAGCTTAAGATTTATTCATACATGTGCAGATATATCAAAAGTTAGTTGAAGTCAGTATTTGCAATTTGGCCATCGTTGGGCTTCAAAACATGTCTTCTAAAATAACACGGCAAATGTCACTGAAACTACGTCCATGTTTTATAAAGTCTCTTTTGTCCAAACTCACAGATTTACAATACTTTAAGATGCATTTCATTGTTTGATGCATAAATACTCCTCTAATGGTCCTCTTTGAATTGCAGCTGACCAGGTGATTAAACATTAGAATACATTAACTCTTACCACATATAATAAGGCTAATTTAGTGATAGCAATAACGACCTGGCACAAGGCAGGTCTCAAATTTATGTTGACTTTTGTTATACTTTTCTTTAACTTGTATTGAAAAGAAGAAAATCGTGCACACTACTCTTGCTAAGGATCACCAATTTATTAGAAAAATCACAATGTTTCAGTCCCTCTGAACCTTTGTCAAGTGTGTTCACACTTGTGATTTTTCTAATAAATTGGTGATACTTAGCAAGAGTAGTGTGCAGGATTTTTTCTTTTCAAGTAATGGTTTGTCACCCTATACACAACTTCTTTGTGAGATAGTTGAATGAATTAACGCCTTCTTAAAAAACTTGACCATGTGTTAAAAGGTAATTAGAAAAAAATATCATTCCATCACTCTAAACAGTCACTTGAATCGGTATGAATTACAGTTCCTGCAAAGTTTCAGCACTTCAGCTCTGTTGTTCTGAGTTGGTGGGATGCTAATGTTAGCATTAAGCTTGCAGCAACACTTTGGTGCCTCCTGATGTGCCCAACTTCCGAGCTGAAACAACATTTTATGACTTGAATATTTGTGAATCTTATGTGAACACTAAATGAACCCCACAAAGAATGTTTGTTGAATTTTATGACTAAGAACTAAGCTAGTTTCTCTTTGTGGGAAGCAAATACAGTAATAGTTATAACCCAACGCTAGCATACTAATAACAAGTCGGCTAAATAATCTGAAATATGTAAATGAATTGTAGAGAATTAATTTTAACACTTCTCTTTCATCATTCATCTGCTTAATATAGAAACGTGTCTACTGAGCAAGAACTGTGCTAAAATGTTTTGTTCCAACTGATGAGCCAGCCTTTGAGCTTTGTCGTCGGCTACTATGTTGGGGTTAGCATTTAGCTCCAGCACCTCTGTGCCAAAGTACAGTTACAAAACCCCAGAAAATCATGGTTATCAAAAGTTGTGTATGTCCACAACCTTTGTACTCTCCCAACCATCTGACAGTTTGACAATGTTGTCATATCCTCTGATGGAACAAATTACTTGGTCACCACTTAAAAAGAAAATGATAACGTCACAGAAAAGGCATATTTTTTTTCTTTAACAAAAACGTATTCTGTGTCATTATTTGGTCCAGCAGTGTGATAGTGTGACCTATAAACAATTCCAAAGAAGACCCATTGTGTCAGCAAGTATCTGCCTGCTAAGATGCCCTTCAGCAACACATTTTCACAGTACCAGCATTCGGCCTCATGACCTCAGGGAAAGTGGGGCTAAAAGAATTCCTAGGTGTCAAAGGTCCCTGCAAACCTCTTTTTGTTGTAGTCTGAAAAACAGGATAAGCAGATTCCATATAGTCCAATGACAGACATTTGTTTAATTTTACATTTTGAACACTGAGACTTCAGCAGAAATTTAGAGGAACTATCCCAATTTGAGTTCCATTCCTGCTTTTTTTTTCTGCCCTTCTGATTCCGAACTAATATTTTATCTTCTGTCTGTGCATACTCGTGTTTGTGCATGTGTGTGTGCACATGATGTTGTCTATGATGTTTGATACTTCCTCCTGTGTCTCACTAATTTTTGGACGTCTGAAGCCTAAACTGTGTTTATCAGCTATCACATACCGCAGAGTCCACACCCGTGTGTGTTTATGTGTGTGTTTTTGTTTGTGTGTTTGTTTGCTTGTGCATGGGTGTGCCCACATGCATGGTGATGCATGTTTTTATGCATGATTTACAGCATGCGTGCATGTATTTCTGTTTGATTTGTGTGCATGTGGGAGCCTGTGTGTGCATTTGTGGACGGCTCCTCTGAAATTTGTCTTGGCTACTCTGAAGTTTTTCTTCCAGCGAATTTCCTCTTTCGTTATGTTTTCTGAAGCCGATTGGACCTTCCACTACCATCTTACTCCCAGACCTCGGCACAACCCTTTTTCCACTGAAATTCACTGGTAGTGTGACGTAAGTTTTGCACATGGACTTGACCCTGAGCATGCATGATGCGTGCACGGCCATGTGTGTATGTGTGTGTGATGCACTGAGGTAACTACTCCCAGCTGCCATGTCTGAACAGAGAGCACATCTGGAGGGAAGGAGGGGGAAAGACTCCAAAAAGAAGCAAAGGAAAAGAGGAGTAACTTTTAGCTTATCATAAGTTTAATGTAATATCCTGTTTATTTCACTTTAAATATAGCATCACAGATTCAGGAGATGCACTAGGAAACATCTGGAATATATTCTTCATCTGTTCTTTGCATGCCGTAGACTGCATGAACATGCATCTGCTCATCAATGTTTGGATTTGTGCATTTGTATTTGCATGCACATTGATTTGATTGAAGCCTCTGTCCTTGTGCATGTTTGCATGTGAAGTGGTTGAGCCGATGCTTGCGTGGGATTTTTCTGTGTAACACTGAGAGAAAAGTTGCAGAGACGTTGGGAGACTTGAGCTGTTTATGGTTCTGGAACTGATTACTCAGAAATCCCCCCAGACTGAATTGCTCTTTTAGTCCATGTGAAAGAAATAAAGAAAAAAATAAAGAGTGAAAAAGTGTGTGAGAGAGAACCAGAGAGAGAGCAGAGACTGGTTTACTCTTTTTGGGGAGGGAGGTCATTCCTATTCGTTGAGTCACACTTTTAAGAGAGACCAGAATCACTCCAACTCCATCTCCCCCACCTCCTCTTCACATCACATGCACACACACACACACACACACACACAATGCTCCAGTCTTCTCCTCTTCTCTTTTTAAGGAAAAACCCATCCCAAGCCAAGACAGAGAGAAGAGCTTCATAGAGTAATAACTCTGGTCAGCAGCTGCCTTTCTCCTCCTCCTCCTCATTTCTTTCTCATCTGCACTTAGTCAAAAAAAGACTGCTGTAACATCTCCAACAACCTCCAAACTGACCCGCGATACATTCAGATTAAACCAAATTATTAAGAAGAGCGACTAAAACTTAATAAAATGCAACTGCCAGAGAAATCCTTCTCACCAAAGCTCCTTTGAGTAAAAATATGGATTCCCCCTTAGTTATCAACAGGACCCTTTATACTTTCTCCCTCTCCTGTAAGGGATGCATGGAAAAGCTTGTTCCTCCTGTGTCCTAGCCTGGATATCACATTAGTGGCAGTGCACTGGCTGCTCTGCAGGACACATCAGAAACTTCACGCTGATTGTACTCTCTAACATACATGATCAGAATCAATGACTTAAAAAGAAATATGCTTTACATTCCCACAGTGTAAATGTCAATGCAGATGTGTTCAGGGTGGGGGTAAATCTTCTAAAAGCGGAGACCTCCCACAATGTGCACAAACACTTCAACACATACAAATAGGCAAATGTGCAGCTGCAGCACCTACATGGTTATAAACATAAGGAGCAGACTTATGGACAGTCTGTCAGTGTTTACAGCGAGTGTAAACTCCTCTCACTCTGCCTACTAATTGTAACCAGACCACTAGTCACAGGCCAGGGCCGTTTGTGTTTATGACTGAGAGGGGGCTAAGTCTGCTCTTTATCCTGTTCTATTTCATTCTTACCCACCACATGTATGAGATTATGTGAAACCTCCTGAATGCTCTTTGTGAGGGACATGAAAGCTCAGTGTGTCCCCAGGGTGGCTTCATCTGTTCCTCTGAGGGCCACATCTGCAGTCAAATTAGTTATATCTCTTGAAAATAATCGGACATTAAAATCTGTGCCTGGAGTTTTCGAGGGGGGGGGATTTATTATTTTTATTGTAAACTCCAGCTGCGCTTTGGCATCCTCTTTTACTGCTGCTTGGTACTAATGCTGGTAAGATATACAGTATAGGGACACGGGCACACGCGTGCGCGCGCACAATGGTTCCGCGTGCGGAGCCATGGCGCCTCCAAGCGGACAAGAGTGAGCACTGGGGTGCGTCCCGCGCGTGCAGGAGGAGGGATCAGAGCTCGTTGCTGGAACTGGACCGGGACAGGAGAGCGAGCGGACGGCTCTTCTGAGGGAAGTAAACGCGCATCCAGGGCTATATTTCCCATTTTCTTCCGCCTCTAGACCCCTTTTCTTTCTAGGCTTTTCCTTCTGCTGAGATGAGGAGATAATCCACAGAGGACCAGCTACTCACGAAGTTTAGAAGTTGACGGAAAGTATTCGGGTAAGGAGAACTTTTACGCACAACAATGTGCCAATGTGTCTTCCACTCTCTTCATCTTGCTATTTCCAAATATATGTCTGTGTCTGTCTCTTAATCTCTCTGTCTCTATTTTGGTCTCTTTGCATGTCTTAAAATTTACTCTCAACTACACCCACTTAAATTGGGACTTTTTTCCCAGTCACATTCAACTTTTAATACACAACTGCTTCGAATTCCCTCCAGAAAGAGGCCCTCTCAGAACGCGGGCTTTACAGGGCTTTTAGCTGCATATTATCTGCATCATATCTACCTGTAGTGATGAAAAGTTAAGAGGACTCACTCGTTCCCCTGTTCAGAGCAGAGGGAGCGGAGTGGGAACATCTGCAGGAGCGAGTCTCTCCGCAGCTCACAGCTGTCCTGTCTGTCCGCTGGAGGGAGCCACAGCGGAGACCAAGTCTGCTGGTTGGTTTACAGTTTAGATGTTTTCAGGAAAAACTCAAGTAATGAGTCTGTAATACAGACTCTGTATCCATTGTATTCCTTATTGCGACTGGAAAATGAACTGGGCAGGTCTGAGTTGGCTATACGAGTTCTAATTTGTTGTGACAACTTTGCAACAAACAAAAATAATAAATGAATAAATGAAAGGCGGATTGCTGAACTGGTACAATGAAACAAATTAAAAAGAAGGTTATATGTGTGTATATTAGCACTGCTGTGATTACCTCAGCACTCTGTCTGCAGCTTCATGCCTATGACCGAACATCAGAAGTGCTGATACGCAATGCAACATCACTCCTCTTGTGTGGAATTGCTTAAATAGTATCTGTGCCTCTTCACAAAGAAATAGATGGTTGTTACTTACAATAATATTTTTAGCTTGTAGATGGTCCTGTGGTGGACGCTTGTAAAGTTGCCATTTTGAATTTAATTTAAAGTGAAATATAAATAAAATAAATCAGCATTGTACCAGCAGCAGGCCTTGTTAACATGTTGCAGTCAGTTACCCTCTGGAGACTAACTTACTGCACAAATTGAGGCGCTGGATTATAGTGGGCACTGCCCCGAGCCTGGACTCTGCAGGGGCCCTGAAGGTCTTATGTGAAGTGTGTGTCATTGGCTGTTTTTTTTAGTTATATGGTCAATCATCAAATATTTGTTTTCGAAGATACACACTGATATGACATCAACATCAATTCTGAGGCAGGTCCTGCATGATTAGCTCACCTGTTCAAATGCCACATGTTCCTGTAATTACTAACACGGGTCAATGTGAGAGGGCCCCCTGATGGGCTAATACAGTCATGACAGTTAGTATGACCCTGGCTAACTGCAGAAAAATAAGAAGCCTCTGGAGGGCAGCAGACTGAGGCCTGACAATTTTTTTTTTAAATTTGATTAATGAACTTTTTGTAGTACCTTAAGAGCAAGTCCTCAACAGAAAGAGAAAAAAACCTAAAACAAGGAGAAGTGATCATGAGGTCATAGTGATCAGAATATGAAGGCACACTTTGCAAAAGTGGCAAAAGTGAGATATTTCTTGTGATGCTGCATAAGTCCTGTCAAATCTTTTGGTATTGAACAACATTTCAGTTTACTATATTCATGCAGCACCCTGCTCCTTTTTGTCTCACCTGAAATAATGCTTGTTAAATTATCTTTACTTGAAGGATGATGTGGTCAAAGAGATTTTGTTAGTTTACTTAGCCAGAACTGAATTGCATTTGTTCAAACAATGAGTCCTTCAAAAAGTGAAGTGTGTCGAGATCTGGTTGAACTATATAAACTTTTAGCGATCATCACTGACGTTTGGCAGCCTGTAAAATCCTGTGTCCATTTTTAAAATCAAGCAAATGTCAGCCTATGTTGATATACGTCACTTCTGCTTGTTTTTTTTAATTTTGCATTTCCACCATGAAATACAAAAAAAAAGACAAGTTTCGTTTAATTCATAACATGCTTCTAAACCTATTACATAACTCTCTGGACGCCATTTTGTTCCCCGGGCAGAAGTCAGTTTCTTCTTATGATTCCTTCAAATTGATACCAGATGCAGAATGTACATGAGGAAATAGGTTTAAGTTATTCTGCAAATATTTTGTCAATAAAAAGGGTCTTAAAGAAACACATCATACACAATCAAGACTAGTGCCATCGGCTCTGTAATGACAAATCTGTGACCAAAATGTCTGAATATTTTCAACAAACAAGTGGAGAATGGACCTGTTTCTTAACAAAATATATTGTTTCTATACCCGTAAACCCAACAGTAAAATGATTGACCAAATGACCAGCAGGTGGCAGTGTGTACAAGGAAAAAAATGTCTATCATTCAACAAGCAGCCCTTTTTTGGAAACCAAAAATAAAACAAAAATTGCAACACAAGCATGAAGTCAACATTGTCTAAATGAAAGCACAGCGTTGCCTTTTTTGCCCAATTTTTTGCACCACACCATCGACAGGCTATTTCATTTTTTAATGATTTAAAGATAAGCACTTGTTGTGCTTGTTTCATTAGTTTAGGAGGACTACATGTGAGTACTAATTTCTCTTTATTGATTTGAAGGCATAAACTGAAGATTAAAAAGCATATATCTTTGTGTCAGTTGTGTGTTTTTGTCTTTTTGTGTGTCAGACAGGAGAAGAGGAAGATGCTGGGGTTAAAGGTCGTCGCGCTCTGTCTTCTTTTCGGAGCCCTGACTCACGGCCAAACAGAGTGCAGGAGTAAGATACTGAACCCTTGTTGCTTTAAAGCCACAGTAACATGTCATGTTAATGATATATTTGGTCTGGTTTAAACTCTTTTGTGGTTTTAAATGTGTGTGCATGTGTGTGTGCATGTGTGTGTATTCCTCCAGAGAAGAATGACTGTCCCATAGACGTGTACTTCACCATCGACACATCAGAGACAATCGCCCTGCAGGAGCCTCCGCCTGGATCGCTGGTGGAGAGCATCAAGGTTCCCTCATTATCTGCATCTCTATGAGTTAAAACATCAAAACAAACTTTTATAGTGTCATCATGTCCGTGTTGTATGACGTTTTGTTGTCTTCTTGTAGCAATTTGTAAAGCGGTTTGTGCAACGTTTGGAAGATGTCGAGTATAAAGGAGCTGTGAGGATCAGCTGGAATATCGGAGGTCTGCACTTCTCTCAGAGACAGGAGGTGTTCAGTCCCATTGGGCCCAAGGCTGATTTCATTACTGTGAGTACCACGCACATGTGCACAGGTTCTGCTCGTATGTCCCTCGGTTTTTGGATGGAGAGTGCTCACCTGTGACTGCACCATGAGGAGTTTTATATGCAGACAAAAGGCAAAGCGATGGAGAGTGTTAAGCTGTGGCTTATAGCTGCAGCACTGATTACTGTTTTTATAATTGTTTTTTTCTGAAAGACTATGGTTCTCAAAATGTTTACGATACCACACAATAAACTTTATTGTCCTCTTGGGGAAATTTGTTTTGGACTCAAAGTGCTGCCAAACATTCAGTTGCTTCCATTCAAATCAAAAAAATCAAAACAATAGAAAAACCACATCCACACATAAACATAAGGGCAAAAACCAATGCAGAACAACACAACATATATTGTACATTACCCATATTGCATGCTTTGAGTAAGCATGAGAGATAAAGTAACAAAGGTAAGAAAAATATAAAAAGCCTACAGGGACACCATGACACTATTGCACAACCCACACAGCCTTATGAAACATTATGAAACAGCCTTATGAAACATTATAACGTTACTGATGTGGGAACAAGAGTGGTTTAATACTTTCAGATACCATGTGTTTTAAGACAATACTTTCTCAATTATTTTAATAATAGCATTATATAGTTTGAAAAAGTAGCAAAGCTTAAAAAAAGATACAGATTTTTTTAATCATCCACTGTCAAAAGTGAAGGAGAGAGCAGTGCACAAGTTTGCAGAAGTTTTCCTTCAGTTCTTGGTAATTAAAGACAAAAATGACCTAATATTGTGCCTAGGATTTGTATTTTTGTTGCAGTCCTATAGAAATGGGTTGTTTGAATTTTACGAGAATGTTATCGAAGTTTTAAACTTTAAGGTATTGTGAGGACCCTAGAGACTCATTGTCACTATAGCAACCAGGGCTGTGAAAAATCAGCTCAGGTACAGCTGTGGGCCTCAACAACCTGGAAATGTTCAACCGTTTCTCATACAGTCTGTAATGCAGATCAAAAAATGGTATCTTGTGGCTTGGCTTTGGTTTAAAATGTAAAGACTACTCACAAATTTCCTAATTTGATTCTGACTACGAATTTTGTGGCACCCCTTCCCCAACACCATAAAAGAGCCTAAAAATTACTTTTTTACCTAAAAAATAACATTTATACAAATTCAGACGGAACAAATCAGAGGAAGTGCTTTTTGCCAGTCTCACTTTTAATAAAAGGTTGTTGATCATAAACTTCATGTATGTGGTCCCATGTATTTTTGTTTCTTGAAATTATTCAGTAATTAGCACAAAATGAAACAGTTACCTCTGGGACCCTCACGTTTTCCAATCCCTTTGCAGTTTCTGTCTTTTTGTGATCTGTCATCTCTATGTTCTTGTCATATATTCAGCGTCTGGATGGAATCCGTTACCTGGGTAAGGGCACCTACATCGATTGCGCCCTCACCAACATGACCCAGGAAATGATGCGCTCCCCCACATCCCAACGTGCCCTCCGGTTTGCCGTGGTCATCACTGACGGCCACGTGACTGGAAACCCATGTGGAGGCATCAAAGTGGCAGCAGAGAGGGCTCGAGACGAGGGCATCCGGTTGTTTTCTGTGGCGGCATCAAAGAACATCGAAGAGACGGGGATGAGAGAGATCGCCAACTCGCCTGCGACAGTCTACAGGGACGAGTTCTTGGCTGTGGATCTGAGCCAGGGAAGAGCAGTCATTCATGATCAAACCATCGATCGCATCATCCAGACCATGGTAACAAGCACTCGGACACACAGACGCCAAGGACTTTATACAAAGATGGACAATGTGACAGCTTCCTAAAAATGAGGCCAAAACATTTGGACCTTCTACTGCTCATTGGCTGCAGTGTGTGTCATAAACTCTGCCTTCTCTATGTTAAGAAATGGGAGATAATTCATTTTAGAAAATTAAAATACACATCAAATCAGCTTTATATACTTTATCTCATGAATGTAAGTTATTATCAGGTTGATTTGTGTCCAAGTGTTAATCTTTCTGACAAGTTTGGTTTTAGTTTTTGGAAACATTAAAAAGGGATCATGATTTAAATTCTAACATAAACAAACTTGAACATAAAGAACACTCACACAAGAGTCATAGACCTTTAATAACCGTGGTGTCTGCTTTACAACAACAACAACAACAACAACACAAGAATCTTTTCTGCGGTTGACTGTAGCGACCTGAGGGGTCTTTATAGTTTGATCTGGTTATCAGATGGGGCGGGAGGTCAATACCTAAGCTCAACCAGTTGATTACCAGACTCTGGCTCCATATGTGCAACGTGTTAGAGGGGGTATTTGGCTTCACTTTTGTGCAACAAGAGGAGGTGGAGACACGCTGTCTGTCTTTATATACAGTCACTGACAGAAACACAGAAAAATATGAAGTATGGTCAAAGACTGTTCTGCTCACACTTTGTTTCTTCTGTCTTTACAGCAACATTTGGCGTACGTAGAGGTAAGAATTCACACAACACTAAAAGATTTAAAGATTCATGTTTCAGACTGTCATCTGACTGTTGTTCTTTGTTTTCTGTATTTCTCAGTGTTACAGTGTGTCCTGTCTGGAGACACCAGGACCCGACGGTCCAAAAGGCCACAGAGGACAAAAAGTGAGGCTCACAAACACAAACACACACGACAGAATTTGCATAATTGTCACTGTCACCCTCTCATATATTTTCTTTAATTAACTTGCTTTGTGCAGGGAGCTAAAGGAGACAACGGAGATCCAGGCGTGAAAGGAGAAAGAGGTCGCCCTGGAGACCCTGGTATCGAGGGTCCTATCGGTCAGCCTGGTGTCAAAGTAAGACACTGATTGTTTACATAGTTCACATATCGTACATTATCCAACAATACAAATAGGAATTCGATTTTTGTCCCAATAAATATTAACTATTTTCTTGTCTCTTTTTCCTGTCTCTAGGGAGAACCAGGTCTCAAAGGAGACAAGGTAAGATGTCACTTTACCAATAAAGTTTTAGAAAACTGTGTTAAGTGCTGAAATTTGAATGAAGTTATTATGTTTGTAGATAGATATGATCATACATTAAATGACCATACATCTTCTGTCTGTCCACAGGGGGAGATTGGAGCTCAGGGGAAAAAGGTAGGTCTTTGGCTGTAACTGTAATTTATTCCAACCAGATAAGAAGTTATCATCATTTTGTCAAGGGATTGGTCTTACTCTTCTCACTGGTCTGGTTTTTGTCATCAGGGTGTAGGTGGTATCCCAGGACGCAATGGCACAGATGGACAGAAGGTGGGTGCTGCAATGAAACTGAATTCTGTTTTTACAGTTTAAGGAAACTAAACTCACCAACAATCATAATCCAAAAAGTAACAGTCGAGAATGACTGAAGAAAAACTCGCTCTTCAGCCCTTTAGTCATCTCAACTCTGTCTTCCCCATATTTCGTGTCCGTCTTCATTGTCCAAAAGCAATAGGCCGCAAATAGTTTTAGAATAAAATAATACCTTCAAAACATCTTGTTTGTCAGCATGTGGGTGGCATTAAGTTGTCAATCAGTGTAAAATATTTGTTGTGAATGAAAACTTAAAGATATAACATGCAAAATGTAATACAGCAGAAATCAAATATATCCTAACTAAATATATCGGTGAGAAAGAAAGTCCATCTCACTCTGGGATTATTGGTTTAAACTCTGCATTCATACAGGACAGGATGGTGTTTCCATCATCTTGTTTTGTTTCAGAAGCTAACGCATTTTCATTCACGTGAACGCCTCCCTGTCCGACCGTAAGCCCTGCCACCACATGGTGGAAGAGAGACAGCCCCGCCCACTTAGGGTTGGTGATTGTAGGTGCATAATGGCGTTTCATCCCAAGAGAACAATTCATGGAGAACCAAGAGACTTTCTGTTTTTGTTTTTTGTTTAAAGTACTTCAAATAAGTAAGAACAGAATCAACTTTGGGTGCATATTTGATTGGAGATCAGTAGTAGATCAGTAGAAATGACTGCACTCGGTTGGAACTCTAAGGGAGGGGTGGGGGAGGAGGGGAAGTGGTGTGCTGAAGGGACAGCTTTGTTTTGGTTTGAGAGACTGGGGCTAAAAAGCAACATCTACTGTACGTATACTCTAAAAGTTCTTTATTATACCTTTAAAAACCTTTAATGAAATGGAAACTGTATGATACTTCTTTGATTAAATATCTTCTCTTCTTCACTGCAGGGTAAAATTGGACGTATTGGTGCTCCTGGCTGCAAAGGAGATCCGGGCGACAGAGTATGATTGATTGTCATTTCTTTGTGAAATTATAAGAATCTCAAGATTGTGTTGTGTTATTGTGTATTTATGGTGTGTGTTCGATGCTTTGCAGGGTCCTGATGGTCATCCCGGTGACGTTGGTGAACGTGGTCCCCCTGGAACTGACGGAGAGAAGGTATTCACATCTTCTCTTTCCTTAAAGTTAATTGAATCAGCCATCAAACCCCTGCTTAAATTATGTATTACTCATTTTGTGTTTTGTCTTCAGGGTGATTCTGGTCGTCCTGGAAGATCTGGTCCACCCGGCCTGGCTGGAGAGGCTGGACCAAAGGTACATCTGAACACAAAAGGTTTTGGTCATGTTAAATTATTCTTTTTACAAGTTGGAGGTGAACGGCTAAACTCTTGTTGCTTCTTCAACAGGGAGAGAGAGGAAGTCCTGGCTCACCTGGCATCCCTGGACAGAAAGGAAACCCTGTAAGACTCATTGCCACGGACAGAAAAAAACATTCAAACACACTCTCATGCGAATGCATCGTCAAACTCACCTGTTTGTTGTTTCTCGTAGGGAACCCCTGGACTCCAAGGAGCCAGAGGAGAGCCGGTAAGATTTACACAATAACTTCTGTTTCACTTCAGTCTTTTATTGACTTTATGTTGAATGCCTTATTGTTCTTGTCCTCTAGGGGAGAAGAGGAGACTACGGGCCAAAGGGGGCTCAAGGGCCAGACGGTGTTAAGGGAGAAAGGGTACGAGTATTAGCACAACACCACACAAGTGTAAAACATTTCTATGTTCTAGACTTCTTGCCTTGGCTTCTATTATTTCATTTATTCAGACTTATTATTCCACCACCAGGCGTCTCAACTTTTTTTGTGTGTCGCAGGGTGAAAATGGGCCAGAGGTACAAGAGGACTTCCAGGTGAATCAGGAAACAAAGGAACAAAGGTGAGAAGACCCACTTTTAACTTTAAATTGCTCATATAAACATAATCAAATCTTGAATCTTTTTAATCTGCCTCTTGTTGTTGCACCTGCCGTTTACTTTCTCTCATCTTAACAGGGAGACAACGGTCTGAACGGCCCCAGAGGACCACCGGGGGCACCAGGGGAGCCTGGGAAAAATGTGAGTGAAAAATGAGAGAGCAAATATGGCAAATGTACACACATTCTTTACTGAAGAAAAACTGATGAAACTTGTTGAAAAACAACTTTGGTAAAAAGAAGTACTCACTGAACTTCTTAACTTGGTTAAAATGTAGAAGTACATCCTCGAATCTGAACTCACAGTGTAGAAGTAGGACAATCAATAATTCCCCTCAAATAGATTTAAACATTGTAGCCTGTCTAAAAAAAATGAAGGAACAAAAAACTTAAATATTTGAGTTAAAAATGGACTGGGTTAAAGGAAGAGTTGTCAGCAAAACTAAATAATAAGTAAACTACAGATTCTTGACTATTCTACTGAGGAACAGTAACATCAAAGATGCATTACCTTTGCCAGCTTACATTAACACTGTCTCTGTTATAGGGTACCAGAGGTGACCCTGGTGATGCTGGACCAAGAGGAGAACCTGGACAAGCTGGACCAAAGGTATGTTTCTCCATAAATCTGGATAATTATTAACATCTTCATTGGTTTCAGTCAGCATGCCTTTGTCTTGACTGTATTTCTTATGTTTCTATTCAGGGAGACAATGGAAGACCTGGTTTTAGCTATCCTGGACCCAGAGGACCATCGGTAACGCACACACAAACATTCAGTCATTTTACATTTGCTACCTAGAGTGACAGAATTAGCTAACAAGAATTGTGTCTGCTTTTGTACAGGGTGACAGAGGAGAGGGTGGCAACCGTGGACCTCGTGGAAGCAGAGGAGACTGTGGTCAGAAGGGCGATCCGGGAAAAAAGGGAACTCCAGGAGAGGCAGTAAGCAACTAACTGCTAACACTGAAGCAAAAGGTGTCTGTTTCAGAGCATTAAGGCTATTTGTTTGCTTCTGAAAGGGTGAGCCAGGACCTCAGGGTGAACCAGGCTTGAGAGGACAAGAGGAGACGGTGGGCGTGATGTAAGTACTGTGAATAAAAACTAAAAACATTTGCTTTCCTAGCTACTGACATACTGCAGATGGAGAAACTACATAGTTCCATTAAGCTAGAAAAGTCAAACTAGGCTGCAGCTTTAATTTGTTTACTTGTTGCCAATTAGCATTATCTCCAGGACAAACCATGAGAGGAAAGCTGTGATTTTTTGTCTTTTGGTCCTTCACAGGGAGATCCTGGTCCTGAGGGAGACCCCGGCCTCACAGTGAGAACATTTCATCTAATCATTTTTTTTTTTTTACTGACACATCAACAGTGCAAAAGATGAATGACATGAGGATGTGTTTTTTTTCTGCAGGAATGCGATGTCATGAACTACATCAGGGAAACTTGCGGCTGCTGTGGTGAGTTTGGTTACCATTGTCTTTGCACCATAGACTGTATAAAACATGGACAATGTCTAATGGTGGTGGCCACCATATTGGAGGCTCTTCCTCCACCCAACTTTCGGTGAATCTAGAAACGGCAAAGAGGTGCAGAAAGGAAAACTTCTCTCACAACAATTAAGCACCGAGCTAAACAACAGGCGTCTACTGAACTAGCCATCAGAGACCCAGGGGCAGCTCATGTTAGCTCTGCAGACCAAGGAGGAGCCACTCCATCCAAACAAACAGGGGAAAAGCCAACAAATGATCAATGTATGAGAAATCTATGTTAGACACAGACAACGATATCTAGACTTCTTGAAAGGTCTGTCAATAAATTACACTGTAAAGTATATCATTTGACAAATATTCAGATGAAAAATATCTCCTAATGTAACCGAACACCACAAACACAGCCAAGAGTTTATGGTTATGCAACTTAAGTTGGCTGAGGTTATAGACAGCCACCACCAATGAGCTATTACTGAAAACCAAGTCCCTATTTATGCAAATATTTAAATCTTAGTAAAAGTTAAATGGTTAAGTAAAAAAAAAAATATCCAAATGTAGTTGACAGAAATAAAGAAATGTAAATTTGCAAAAGCATACGTTGCCTTTTGGTAAATTACTCACTTTTAAAGCCAGCCTCAAGAGGTCTGGTGAGGAACTGCAGTTTTTGCCATGTATTGGCACTTGTATGTGATAGTAAGTGTAAGATTCTCACATTTGTGTTTTTGTCTGCAGACTGTGAGAAACGCTGTGGAGCCCTGGATATTGTGTTTGTGATCGACAGCTCAGAGTCGGTGGGTCTGACCAACTTCACCCTGGAGAAGAACTTTGTCATCAACACCGTCAACAGACTAGGATCTCTGGCCAAAGACTCACAGTCAGACACAGGTGGACATGCCTTGTTCATAAACATGCTCGTGATTTCAGACTTATTTTAGAATAATGTAACAAGGTGGCTTTGAGCTTGGTTTAAACTTGTCTTGTGTTCACAGGCACCAGAGTTGGAGTTGTTCAGTACAGTCACAGTGGAACCTTCCAGGCCATCAGACTTGACGACCCCAAGATCGATTCACTGTCTGCTTTTAAGGTCTCACACAGAAACACACACCAACACACATGCAGCTTTGAAGAGTATTTTTAGAGTTCAGCACAGACCGAACTTTTCTCTTGTGTCCAGATGTTTTTGGATGAATCATAGCTAATGTCCTCTCAGATCACATGTGCTGCCTGCCTCACACATTTAGTCATCACAAGTCTACATCTTATGATTTGTAACTGACCTGCACAAAAAAACATTTCAGTGTAGTCAGAGCTTGTTACAGCTTTTTTTTCTGTGAAATAAACCTGCAATGTTCTCACACAAAAAACCCAACTAAAAACACATTTAGTCAGCCCATTCTACTGGGAAACATGAATCTTAACCATCATGAATGGGGCACTATAGTTTTGCGTCGAGTCATTCCCACTTTCTCGCTCATGCTGCCTTTAAATACAATCTTTACTCCAGTGGTTACCACATTGGAATTTGTGTACAAGATTGACTTGGCACCAAGTAGCGGAGTCATGACAACACAGCTGCTAGCCAATGACAAAATACTACTCCAAAAGCATGCAAGACTAGCCTGCGGGTAACAAAATTGCAAGAAATGCTCAGTCATATTTCACTTAATACAACTTAACGCAAGATTACAATTTCAAACCTTAGCATCCACCACAAAAATGTAGCTTTAGTGCCTTCTGTTATTTCTGAAAATGTCCTCAAAGAAGTCACAGCTCTAGAAGGGGATGTTCATTTGGTTTCTTCTACTACACCTGGCAAAACACCATATGTGTAGGCTAGTAATCAGCAGCTCAAAGTAGTATATGGCAAATTTATTATTACAAATTTTTGCGTAACATTTCTTCATTTTAAGATATACATTTGCATTACAAACCATTCGACTTTTGAGAAAATCGCAGCAGACAAAAAATAATTGTTAACATTTAGAGACTTTAGCTACAGCTTGCTGAAAAGCTATATCTCTGCCAATGCTAATATGCTAATGTAACCTCAATGTTTGTTACTCAATTGATTATTTTCACTATCATACAAGCATTTATTGTTTAACGAGCCCAAATGAATGATTGATGTTCGGTTCGACATATGCTAGAAGAGAACTGTTAATCATAATTTAAAAAATTACATTTGCAAATGTCTGTTATAAATGCTACAAACGGTTTACTAATTTTACTTAAGCCCAATTTACAGCCATGATACTTTTCACATTAGTAACCCAAATCCTCAAAATGGCCACAGTGTTCCTAAGATAAGTTTAAAGCACTTTTGAATATGTTAGAAGGCCTCTCCTCTGTGTTCATACTGAGTATAAACCTCAGGTCATGCACATCACTCACCAGCTGTAACCTTCTCCACTTCCCAGGAAGCAGTGAAGCGGTTGGAGTGGATCGCTGGAGGAACATGGACTCCCTCTGCTCTGAAGTACGCCTACGACAACCTGATCAGGGACAGCCGCAGAGCCAAAGCCAACGTGACTGTGGTCGTTATCACTGACGGACGCTTCGACCCCAGAGATGACGACTCGCTGCTCACCTACCTGTGCAGGTGCCTCACACTGGAGATTCATGATGAGATAAAGAATGAACGTTTGGGGAGAAGAAGAAGTTTTATCTAGTTTTTTTTAAATCTGTGTTTACCTGTTCATGTGAGCAGTGACCCCAGCGTTGATGTGAGTGCCATCGGTATCGGAGACATGTTCGACCAGATCGAGGAGAATGAGATTCTGAAGAGCATCTCCTGCCAAAAGGACAGCAGGGTGCTGGGCATGAGACGCTTTTCAGACCTGGTAGCTGAGGAGTTCATTGACAAGATTGAACATGTTCTTTGCCCAGGTACTCCTATCACAGAAACACACAACACGGACTGTAGGATCATCTGGTCGACTATTTGTCCCACGTCATTTTTCTCTGACATTCTGTCTTTATCTTTGATTTAGATCCTGTCATCGTTTGCCCTGAACTGCCATGTAAATCAGGTAAGACCCTAACACTCAATGGATCTCTTACTACTCTCTTTTATGATTTCATTCTGTTTCAGCCTGGCTAAATCTCATGTTAGATTGTATAACAGTGTTTGTAAAAAGTGTCCTATATCAGGGATATGTGTCAAACGAATTCAATATTTTTCCTAAATGGTTTGTCCCTTTTTCTTCATCTTACCATAACACCATCAACCACCTGACATCTTTTTAACCAAAAGCAACAAGGCCTTTGAGGAAAGACTGTCCCTTTATGTGCACACCTTCCCCACAATTCATCCATCCATCCATGACTTCTCTATGGTGGCAGGTTTAAAGGTCACCTTAGAAAGTTATTATTCGGACCAGCTTTAAATATGCGTCTTTAGATGTACCTGAAGATTCCTTGGTACTTGTAACTTGTTTGTCTGCAGGATATTAGGTCTTTACTCTATGTTAAGTATAACACAGTATCCTAAGTTTTCGAGTATCACATTACGTAATATCAGACTTACTTATTACTTTGTGTACACAACAAATAGGCTAAAATTATCTTCTCTAGCAGCATATAAACAAACGATGTACCTACCTACTGTCTAAGACTTAACCACTAAAGCAAAAGATGTATGAGTTTATGGTCCTCCCACATTTGTTTCTTTTATACAGAAAGCACAGAAAGTCATTTATTTTGTCGGAATGATGTAAAAATATATATATATATATATACACATATAATAGCTATTCAATATTTAACAGTCATAGAAATAGTCCCTGTTTACTTACAAGAAACTTCCAGCTTTTTCTAATCTCCAGCAAACAGCTGCCACCTTATTAAAGGTTTTGTTGTTCATTAAACAGGTAACATGTAAATCCTGAGATCACAGGTGAAATGAAATTACAGGTATTAATAGAGACAGGATATCATGGTGAGTGAGTGTTCATGCTTAGGGTATTGCCTAACCAAAAATCTGTTGACCTAAATGAAGACAAACCGTAGAACTTGCAATTATGAGTCATCAGTGTACGTCCGGCCTCTTTAGCCACGTTTCCACCAACAGCCGGGTTTGGTTCAGTACAGTTTGGTACAGTTTGGTACGTGTAACCTTGAACTTGCTTGCGTTTCCACGGTCAACAGTCCCCTTATTTGGTAAGTGGAGTGTAAGCCAGATGGAGATAGCCGCGTCAGCTATGTAATAGTGTGACATCATAGCAGCCCAACACAGTGTAGCCCGCTATTAATGAAGTTAAACGCTCAAGAAGAACGAGACACAGTAAACAAAGGGACCTTTAGGGTTGGATCAGTACCCTTGGCACCCTAACAGACAGGTACCAAAAAAGTAGGACGGTACGGAGCCCTTATTTTGGTACCATTTACAACTTTTGACGGTGGAAACGCCAATGAATGGCTACCGTACCGAACCGAACTGAACCGGACCACTTGGTGGAAACGAGGCTTTTGTTGGATTTGTGATGCGTCGTGTCAGTGGGATTCTGCCCACACTGTTGTTCCGCCCACTTCTTTCAGGAGGGGGTGTCACTGCGGAGCAAGCCCCTTCCTCCTGGAAGGCACTGTCTGAGGAAGGCAACCCCTCGTTGGTCCCCACCTCTTTGGAGGGCGTGGCCAGCCTGCTGAACGGCCTGAGTGAGCAGCAGTATGGGGTTGGCGTAGCAACCATGGCGTACACAGCCCAGAGAGCCAAACTCGCCGAGGGATCAGACAGGCAACAGTGGACCGAGCTGTTCATCGACTCCTTCAAATATGTCTATGGAGACATATTGGGAGACCCAGAAAAAGCCTTGGGACTCTGCTAATGCTAACATGCTATACATGCTACCTCGCCATAGTGGACGCCAATTACTAATGAGCTTATTGCTGGACATTGAATAGATTTTATTCAACTACAGGGCATTTTTTAACTCTACAGGTGCAATAATCTCCTGGGCTGATGCAAAAGAAAGTTGCATGATATTAATCTGGTCCTATGCTAACATTACAGAGCAGCATTCATCTCTGTTATTGTATATGATGGATGGGACAAATTCAAATAGTGGATTAATGATTCTCCCTCTTGTCCAAGAATATTTCTGAATCAATGTCCATGGAGCTGTTTGTGGGGAATATATTCCTGTTGTAATGATGATACAGATCACTTGTTCCATCTTAGAGCAGATGACTTTTTCCCATTCAAATGGAAAGTGGATGTCATCCATTTGTTGGAGGCTGATTGGTGTTTAAGGCCATTGAAGTTGCTTCTGTGCGAGAACAGTGGCTCTTTGTTGAAGCTTCATTTCCACTGTGAATCAAAAGCTCGCTGAGTCATTTTTTTGCTGTTTTGCACATATCCGTGGTTACTGTCTTAAGTACATTTTTCCTGTATTCTGTGAAGTAGTCATGTTGGTGGAAAGGCCATTACATGTGGAAAATAACTGGTTTTATACATGTCACATTATACTAACTGAGTCAGAAGTAGGAATATGTTGATGTTTGGTTAACAGACTTGGCACTCACAATGAAATAACTATATTGAATAGTTTGCCTTGGATTGGTGCATGATTTTTTTGCATGGCTTGTAAGGAACAATGACAAAAGGAAAATGACCACAGAGTGGCTTTAACCAAATGTTCGGAATCATGTTAGCTCTGTGACTGCAACTTGCTGGTGTGAACTCTTTTTGTTGTTGTTGTTGTTGTTGTTGTTGTTGTTGTTGTTGTTGTATTAAATGTATTCATTATTTTAAAATGTTGTTCAAGTGAATAAAATTGTAATGCAAACTAAAAACTGCTTTCTGGATGAGGCCACTACTTTTCTGGTTTTTAATGGCAGTTGAACTGCAGCTAGCATGTATGTGTCATGTTACAGTACATTTTACTTGGCTTTGTCCTCTGAACATCTGTGCTTCAGCTTTGGCTAGCAGAACACAATGTGTGATTTATTACTTAACGTATTATGCATTTGTCTGTTCCAGAACCTGCCGTTGCTAGCTGTGTTCAGCGGCCTGTCGATGTCGTATTCATGCTGGATGGTTCTGAGAGGATGGGACTGGAGAACCACCGCAGGGCCAAAGAGTTCATTGAGAACGTGGCTAACAAGTTTATCCTGGCCAACAGCAACACAGATGAGAGGAATGCCCGCTTTGCTCTGCTGCAATACGGCAGTCCTTCGGAACAGAGGGTGGAGTTCCCGCTCACCCACAATCTCACAGTGATCTCAGATTCACTGGGAGGGGTTAGCTACATGGACTCGTCTTCTGCTCTTGGCAGTGCTATCATCCATGCTGTCAACAATGTGGTGATGCCTCAGGTATTAAAACACACAAACACATGCATTGATTTTGTGCTAGGACACACGTAGCTAATCCCATGCTGGCTATAGCATCATAGAGTTATAAATCTTCGTATCAAACTATCATAATAAGGGTAATTTGATAAGTAACTGAAAAGAAAAATAGATAAGTATTGAATTTCTCTTCCAAAATTAAGCAGAAAAATGTATTTCCCTAACCATGTCTGTTGCGCTTTTAGCGGGGAGAACGCTTGGCTCGTCGCAACGCTGAGCTGGCCTTTGTGTTTATCACTGATGGCATCACATCCAATGAGCAACTGGAGGAGGGCGTGTCTGCCATGAGGCGGGCGGAAGGCGTTCCCACGGTCATCGCCATGGGTTCAGACACGGACGAAGAGGTGCTGCGGAAGGTGTCGCTAGGGGACATGTCAGCCATCTTTAGAGGAACTGATTACACCATTCTGAACAAACCCTCATTCTTTGATCGCTTTGTCCGCTGGATATGCTAGTGAGGAACTGTAACACACCACACCATAGAGTTAGAATCCACAGAATGAAAGAAGAGCCTTCAGCGTACACATAAACACACACACAGAGGCATCAACGACCCTCTGCGATCATTTTCATTACTGGATGAAACGCACAGTGGTGGCTTAATATCCAGTTATTAGGGGTAAAAAGTAATTTAAAGCAGCTTAAACAAAACACTTTACACCAGAAGACACATTCGCTGTTACACACAAACACATAAGCTTTCATTCTTAACCTATGGTCAGCACGTCCAACCAAAGGCACAGGGACAGGAAATGCGTTTGATTATTGAATGTGTATGATGCAAATTGTAGGCTTTATTTTTTTTGTATTGGTTCGAAGCTTGCAAAAGAAGAGTTTGCTATCTCTCTGTCTTCACAAAGTCAGTATTTACATAAAAGGTGCTAAAGTTAAAAAATAAAAGACAAAGCCGTTTAAGTGGTTCTGAAGACTTTCTTATGTCATGTTATGCTGTAATTACTGTAGTTTGTTCAGGGGATTAAAACATACAGACAAATGTTTTCAAGAGAAGAAATGTTGCACATAAATGCCCCACAGTCAGCCAAACCAGAAGACACACAAACACGTGCATACTGTATGTAGTTCATTACAAATATATTGACTATATTAAAGAGACATATCTGTAAACATGAAGTCCAAATAAAGCCGAATGTGATCACCCCTACACTGTCTTGTGTGTTTGCAACTTAAGTTTGTGATGTGGTAACTTGTTTTTGATCCATGTGCAATGTGTCATTAAATCACTTTAACCTTAGCAGCAAGTACATTTCTCTTAACAATGATTTTAGGAAAGTGTGCAAAACTTAGCCTACATTACAGTGGCGGACTTTACCATAGGCACAGGTAGGCAATTGCCCTGGGTCCCCAAACTGAAGGGGCCCGATAATACCCTGAAAAAAATCACGTTCAATAGTTAAAAACAAGTTGTTGTTTTTTTTGTTTGTTTTAAGTTATTAGGTTTTTCTTAAAATCCATATGCAAAAAATGTTATCAGAAGAATGGCTAATTCATCTTAACTTATTCTCATAATTTTGACTTTTTATCTCATAATTATGGGGGGGGGACATCTCAACAAAGCCAAGTTTTTATTTTTATTTTTTTAACTGGCGAAAATGTGCTTCCACACTTAGACCTACTGCTGTTTTGAAGCAATTAAAAGAGACTGGAGTTTGTATTTTTCCGGGAGAACATGAAGGTTGAGGGCTGAGACTTCATCCTCCCCTGCCGCTATAAACTTCTGTCGATGTTACAGGAGGAGAGTAGAGCATAACGAGGGACGGGCAGGGCGGCACTGTTGCATTCACTTGCGCTCGTAAATCGGAGTTTCACTTCTAAAAATGTTCAACCAGAGACAAATTTGGGGTGGCAGCTGGGGTAGCAAGGCACCTTTAACTAGAGTTGGCATTAGCCACCCCATGCCACCCCTTTCAGATCCGCCCCAAAACATATACGCTGTAGCATCCTGGAGCAGAGACTCTTAACATGGGTCCTCCAGCTGAGATGTGTTTGTCGACATAGGTCTCGCTATCATTTCAACGAAGGTGGGATTCTTTTTTAAGCTGTATTTTACTCTCGGGAGGTTTGACCATCAACGGCCACCGTAGATCCGAAGCAATGTGATCAGCACAGCGTCCCTATTTCAGACGAGATATCACTGGACAGCGGTAAGTCATCAGTGATCTGTGCATAGTGCACAATCAGTAATCTCTTTGATGTACGAAATTATTACTAAAGGGTCATTCTGAAAAATAATTGGGGACATTTAAGTTCTTATCTGTGTCTCAAGGAGTTATTCAGATAGTCATACGGCAGCATGTTTAACTGTGATTTTACTTTTGTCTTTGCATAAAACTTTTTGCAGATGTCATTATTTTCGGATGATATGCTGATTTATTATAAAAATACATAATGTTTACAAAAAACATGCAAAACAAGTGGAGAAAGTCCAAAGTTTACTACATTGCATAACCCACCCAGGGCATTGCATAACTGCACACAGTCGGATTAAAGGTAACCTACCGTTCAGGTAGAATACATTACACTTATTTTTAGGCTACATATAAACCATAACACAGTGTGTTAGGATCCGTAGAATAGTGTCACAATTGGACTGTATGTGAGGTGAAATCAGTCATGCACAATAATTTAATTGGATGAGAAGTACTGTGAGTAAGTGGTTCAGTGTATTTGTGTGTGTGTGCATTTGTTCCAGTATTACCAGTATGGAGGGACAGGCAATCTCCACTCTGTGTACCCCGGCTCTGGTGGTGGACTTGGACAAAGTTAAGAAAAATGCCCAGAGAATGATTGAACGCTGTCAGAAGATGGGGGTCCAGCTTCGGCCTCACATGAAGACCCACAAAACCCTGTATGGACACACACACACACACACACACACACACACACACACACACACACACACACACACACACGTACATAAAATGAATTCATACATGTCAGTTGTTTATAGGGGATACTGAAAAGGCTGTGTTTGTGTATGTATCTGTGTTCCTGTTTAGTGAGTGTGCTGACATAATGACAGGAGGATCACGGCGATGCATCGTTGTTTCCACACTGGCAGAGGCCTGTTTCTACGCTGACCACGGATTTGATGACATCCTCTATGCATACTGTCTTCCCTTTGATAAGGTTCTCCGTTTACACACTTAATTGCCTCAGTCTGTCTTTGCAAGTTTTGATCATTTTGTACAGAAATACAGAAAAAAGTGACCCCTAAAATTACCTTAATTTTTGAGGTTCTACACGTTTTTCCTTTTCCATTTAACACATCACATTAAAAAAAAAATTTCCACTTAGCTGCCTTAACGTCCTGACTCTGCACATGCTGTCTCACTGTGAGGAGAGCCATCGTTCATGTTATAAATGACCTGTTGTGTGTGTGTGTGTGTGTGTGTGTGTGTGTGTGTGTGTGTGTGTGTGTGTGTGTGTGTGTGTGTGTGTGTGTGTGTGTGTGTGTGTGTGTGTGTGTGTGTGTGTGTGTGTGTGTGTGTGTGTACAGGTGGAGCGCTGTGCTCTCCTGTCAGAGCGGTTGGACCTCTTCCAGGTTTTGCTGGATCATCCTGATGCTCTGCAGCAGCTCAAGAAAAGACCTCTGAAAGATGGTCGACTGTGGCACGTCTGGCTGAAAATCGACTGTGGCAACGGGAGAGGTAAACGCAGAGAAAGCAGCTGATCTGTTGAGGTAAACTGCACATGTGATCCTCTGATTACTCTCCCTGTAGCTGGTGTCCTGCACTCAGAGCCTGAGGCGCTCAGATTGGCTCAGGCCATAGCTGGGACGGAGGGGGTGGAGCTAACAGGAGTTTACGCTCACTGTGGGAATTCATACAACTGCAGAGGGGTGGAGCAAATACAGGCTGTCGCCCAGGAAACAACCACCTTGACTCTTCAGTTCATGGAAAAGTAAGACAAAAATGAAATGAACAAAAAGACACAATGGAAGCTAATCATCTCATATGTAACCTTTTGTAGGAAGTGGTTAATATACATGCAACATTCTTTGTGAATTTCACTAGTTCACTATGGCCCGATGTGTGACAGTGTATCAAGAGTTTTTAGGGAGGTCTTAATGTTTTCCATCCTGACAGGTTCAGCCTTCATTGCTTCACAAAAGAAGAAAAATGTTACTGTGGAGAAAGAACTTTATACATCTCCCACCTCGAAAGAGTCACTTTGTGATAACACTGATTCTTAAAAAGTCTCTGTCAACCTTTTCCTTTTCTGTCTTTAATATCTAATGAGCTGCTGTTATCATCATTTGATTTAATCATATTGTCTACATTTTAAACATTAGATCCAGACCTAAAATACATACTCAGCCAAATATGGGTCAATTACAGTATATGGGGCTACAGTATATTGGTATTGGTGTCTGTAAATATGTCTTCTGAAATATGCCAATATATAAACATTTAAACAGGGGATTTTTTTCTTCTCTGGGTTTGTTCCCCTGCAGACTGAAGGCTTTTGGCATCATCTGTAAATCCAGCATTGGCTCCACTCCCTCCTGCAGTCATCCAGTCAAAGACATGGAGCAGCTCAGCGAAGTGCATCCTGGAAACTACGTCTTCTATGGTGTGTGTGTGTACTAGTTTGTTTTTGGTATTAGAGTTTCAATCAGCATAATCAGAAAAAAAGGTGACGATGTCTCTGATGTGTTGTAGACACGCAGCAGTCTGTGATTGGCTCGTGCAGTCTTGGGGATGTGGCTGTGAGGGTCTTGACTAGAGTCATTGGACACTGTCCTCACAGGAACCAGCTCCTCATCGACTGTGGATGGACTGGAATCAGGTACTGTCATTATCAGGAATGTATTTGCAGACTGGACAATTTCTTTTTAAGGCAAGGGCAAGGCAAGTTTATTTCTATAGCACATTTCAGCATCAAGGCAATTCAACGTGCTCCACACAAGACATTAAAAGCATCATGACGAAGGGAAAAAGAGACATTCAAATAGAATATTTAAAAATGACTAAAACAAACCATCAACAATCACAGAGACGACTAAAGATGAGAATGTTTTTAAAAAGATCCAAAAGAAATAAAGAAATTTGACATCGAGCAAAAATAAGAGATTCAAGTACCAAATAAATGAATGCCCTTGAATTTGAAATACAGTGATGGTATCTACTCTGCGAGTCTTTCAATGTTATGGAGTTCTGAAGTCTCCGACTACTTATCTTCCTGACGGACACAGATTCACCTGCTGGTCGTCCATAATTGAAATGGGTACTGTTAAATAATCCACCCAAGAAAGTTAAGATTTCAGGCTGACGTGATCCTGGATGATGTGAAGACTACTGAAACTATGTGAGGAGGCAGAGTTTATATGCAAGAATGAAAGGAGCCACAGGTCAGATTCGAACCTGGGCCACCTGCTTGGAGGACTACTGATTGAAACTTCACCTCCTAATTTTTCATTTTCACAGTGTGCCAGACCAACAAGAAGGGTGGTGGTGTTGCTGCTATCTTTTCTGATATCTTAACATGTAAATCTGTTCTTTTTGGTTCCTATTCCACTTTTGAGTATTTAGCTTTGGGATTTGTCCATCCCAGTCTAGTTGTCACTATTGCGCCTATAATAACGAAACGTATTTCTGGTAAAACAAAATCACCTTGGATGAATGTGGACAGAAGGCGGGCACTAAAGAGAGCCTGCCACAAGTCTGAACGTAAGTGGCGCAAAACCAAATTGCATGTTAATTATAATATCTATAAGGACCTGCTCAGCAAATATAACGATGAAATGAAAAAATCTTAATTACTTCTCTCAAATTATCTCAGAAAATCTGTATAACTCTAAATTTCTGTTTAATACAATCGACAAACTGATTATCCCTCTTTGACAAATCCCTACTAAGCTCCAATCTTTAGATTAGATTCGCCTCATACTTAAAATCCAAAATTTCATTTATTAGAAATAACATTGTGGCTCCCTCTGCTGGTGGGTGTGGCCCCTCTTCCTTAACTCAGTCACATGCTGCCAACACTCTTTCCAACTTCACCCCTATTCAACTTACTGAATTACAAGATGTGGTAAAGCTGCTAAGCTGCAAGCTGCAACATGTGCGCTTGACCCAATGCCTACTAAACTGTTTAAAAATGTTTTCAGCTGCCTGTTAGACGATGTCTTTCGTATTGCCAAATTTCAGTGTCACTGTGACATTTGACCTCATAATGACCTTTAAACAGAATGGAAAAGAAAATACTTAATTGTCTCCTTTTCTGCAAAAGGTAGAAATGTGTCTTTGACTTGTGTCTGCAAGAATATGCCTTTTTTTGCTCTTGTTTTTATATTTATTTCATTCTGTTTCCTCCTCTCATTACTCTCAGTCTTGACGGAGCTGGAAAACTTCCCACTGGATATGCCATGATTGAAGGACATCCAAACTTAAAGTAATGCTGTATTCTCTTCTCTCTGGTCTTATTACTAAATTTAATTGTGACTAAAGCTCTGATAAAAGATATTTCTGTCCAGGTTGTTGTCTATGACTCAAGAGCATGGGAGAGTGGAGCCAATCTCAGGACCGCTGGACTACAGCAAATATCCTCTGGGCTCAATGCTCACGCTGATCCCCTACCACGTATGTACAGTGCTGTGTGAAGTGAAGAGTCATACATTGTCAGTGCTATTGTTACACACTAATCTTGTTTTACCCCCTCTTTCTGCTACCAGTCGTGTGCTTCTGCCGTGATGCACCCTGTATACCACGTACACTCTGAAGGCCGCCTGCTGGGGAAGTGGACACCTACATGTGGGTGGTGAACAGCTGGCCAACCATATACTTGTACAGAAACTTCTTAGGAGAGCTTAATGATCACCAGGTCTTTTTATAACTGCACCATAATCATTTAATATCATTGAAAATTAACCACTTAATTCCTCTGTGCCTGTGCTGCAAAAAACACAGATCAGAATCCTTAGTTAAAAATAATAATAGAAGTGCATCACTTTGTTTTACTTTTGATAGAACTACTCCCAAGATGTTTTATCTTGAGGGACATGAGAAAAGAAAAGTAAACAGAAATGTATGCCTGTATTGTTCTAAATAGCTAAGTAAATGAAAGCTTTAGTTCGATGTTGTATGCTCATTATTTCATCAAAGTTACCTTGCTAATTTTTAATCAGTCAGTAAATGGTGTAACATGTCAATAGGTACCTACTCTCAGCCAGTTGTTTGTATGTGACAGCATTCTGATAATTCAATGTGATACAAATTTGTTTTTTATTTCTGCATTAAACTACAAAAAGTATGTGTGTTTTTTTAAGTCTTTATAAAAAAATAACAAAAAATAACAAAAATGTAACAGTCAAGTCAAACACATTTTTCTTTTTGAAAGGGTTTAAACAGATTAATAAAACGGAACAATTTCACAAGTGGAATTGAAAAAGATGTCTGAAGAAAAGACTAAAAGAATGTAATAAGATTATAAAATATTAAACATTATAAGTGTAATTCATAGTTCTTCATCTGCTTATTCTTCTAATTAAAATGTGTGGTTTGTCTTCATTATCAATAAGCACAATTACGCTTGTTATCTATAATAAAACATTAAAATCAGCAGCGCACGGGTTTGTGATTCGGGCAATTTTGCGAAATGCATCATGGGTAATGAAGTTCTACACGAGCTGACGTTCTGATTGGTTACCGCACGACCTTTTCACTTGTCACGTGGTTTAAAATTTCAGGAGGATGGCGCGGAAAGTTGTCACACCACCACGCCGTGCAGCTCTCAGTCTGTGAAGGTTGTGTTTACATTTTAAACCGGGTGTTACTGACATTTCCAGGTAAGATATTATATACACACACACATATATATATATATATACTGTAGATACATGTCGTTACTTTAAACTTTTATTTTCGACATTCAGAGTGTAGAAGCTGTTTGTTGTTACTACTATGTAGAATTACGTTATATCAAATACAACTGTTATCATTACGTATTTTAACACATAACCATGGCTGAATGAGTAAATTAGAAGTATCAGTAAGTGGTCGACTATATAAGTAAACGAGGATAAATGTTTATTTTCTTTTAGGCCACCTCGGAGTATCGTTTTAGTTAGCTCCTGTCTCACTGGGTGTTGCATTTCTTTTACAGTAGTCATGAGTGTGTTGGAGGTGAAGTTCATCGGTGATGGAGATGCTCTGGAGCACATCGTGGACAAACAGGAAGGTATGGAAAACTCAGTCGTGTTATTTTAACCTGCTTGGATGGTTGTAGTTATTCGCAGGTGTGTAACCGGCTCGCCTGTGTGTCGGTGTATTTAACTTCAAGGTGTGCAGAGCAGCAGTGGAGCTGTTCAGAAGATGGTGAAGTTTAAGAGCCCCGAAGGACGAAGGGGCAGAGAGGAGGAAGAAGATCACGATGGAGATGAAAATGGACTCCTTGATGAGCAGAACTACATCCAAGCTCTGGGAACAGACAATGCAGAGGGTAAGAAAAGTGAAACCTTAAAATAAGCTGCAACCTTTGCTCCCTGTCTTGCTGTGTCCTTGTGTTTCTAAATGTAAAACCTTTTATGCAGCCTAGTGCTAAATAATGCAAAAAATGATACCATAGCTGCAGATTACCACACTTAGCTGGTAGTTGTAGAAGTTCACACAGTTAAAACAGTTCAAAATATCCTGTGAGCATTAAGTTCATGAAGTTTGTTCTAGTTTAATTTGCTTGAGAGAGGTATTGATTCTTGATCCTGTCAAACATACTGCTCACTTAATATTATTATCAGTCAATATGATCACATCACAGATATATATGGCTATCTGTGTATGTAACACAATTACTGAAAACTGATTATATTTGCCGATCATGGTTTGTGTATCACCACCTTGACAGGACAAAGCCTTTAAAGAGTCTCAGAATACAAATGTCTTGGTTTCTGGTTAGATCACAAACTCACATTCAAATTACACGTATATACTCTGGGCAGCAAGTTAAGACAAACGATAGGTTCCCTCTACCGAAACAAAGCTAACTTCCTAATGCTTAGAAGAAAAGGGATCATTGAGGCCATCTTTTTAACGGTTCTGGATTGTCGTGACGCTGACTATCGGAAAACACCTCCGTCCCCATACTTTCTTCCCTTGATGCCATTTTTCACTCTGCCCTCAGTTTCATTACAGGATACAGTTACTCCACACATTGCATTTGATATGAAACGGTTGGTTGTGCAAATTTAACTGTAAGACGTGACATACATTTAAATTTTTTTATAAAGCCTTTATTGGCAAAATGTCGCCATATATTACTTCATTACTAATCCGGTGTAATAGTCAACACACTGTAGCAACTGACTGGAGCTCGAAGCCCCACGGGCGAACACTTCATTTGGTGAAACTGCTTTTAGCTTCTCTGAACGTCTGTTGCAAAGTGTGTCCATGTGAATGCAGCAAACGTCTCACACTTGTTCCTGTGAGTCGGTTTCAAACTAAGATTTTACACTCCTCTGCCTTACAGTGGAATTGTTTTTAATTGTTTTGTTGCTGTTGTTTGTATTTATTCAGTTTCGTTGTACTCTCGTGCATCATTGACTCTCTGAGATTTGATTCCAGAGATCAGATCATGTAGAAAACTGTGCTTAAAGTTTGTCCAGCAGAATGTGCTCTTACGTTTTAGTTTACAATTCTCCCTGCACATGAAGCAGAGCGTCACAGCTAAGCAATTTATGATAATGTTAAATATAGTTTTGTTAAGTTATTTGTCTGTGTTATCAGCCTCCTGCTTGAGACTACCTTTACATACAGTAGATATATCTGTGTGTATGTCTCACCTTTCCCCTCTATAATCTGTATTTCTTAAAATTCACATATCAGCTTGGCTTTCTAACTACACTATACCACAGGATCATTTTGCAGTTTGTGTTGATTCTGTTATGTCTTGTGTTACACTGAATGTTTCTTCCAATTAATTTAGTTGTTTTCTCCCATATTTATTAATGAGGGTGTACTTCAACTTCTATTTACAGTTAAATAACACATATTTGTGCTGGCGTGCCACAGTGGTTCCACTACCTCCAGGTGCTGAGGGAATAATAATAGGCAGCAGTTTTTATTGCTGCTAAACATTAAAAAAAAGGTTTAAATCTTTTCATTATATCTGTTTTTCTCTTCAGAAGATGAGGAGGGTTTGTCCAGAGTGGCTGGATCCTCCATTTTTACCTTCCAGAAAGTAAAACGAGGACACAGCATGGCGCAGACTGGTGAGAGCCTCCATCTTCCCCCGTCACATATACACATGTTATCCTACATTTATAACATTATCTGCATTAACCACGTCATAATACACTTCTTGTCAGGTTCTTTAACACTGGTTGTTTTATTTATAGCAAGCGAGTTGGCTCGGACACCCGCCAAAAGCGTGACTTTCAACAAGACCCCCGAAGCTGAACCCTCCACTCCCACCAGAACAGGCCGCAGTGAGTCCAGCACAGATTTATATTATTTTATTTTTCCATTCAGAGAAGAATAACTCTGTTATCTCTCTCTCTGAGCAGACCACAGAGGTGAAGGCAGGACACCACAGAGGGTGAGGCGAGAAGGAATTTGTTTTCCTGACTTTTCATTCACACTTCAGACCCAGAGGCCTTTATCGTCGTGACGTTGGTGCAGTGTGGGTTTCTCTCAGTTTAACCTCTTCTTTTTTGCATAGCAGAACAAGAAGGTTCAGTTTGTCTCCACGACTCCACACAGGCTGAGGAAGAGGATATCAAGTGAGTTTTAACTGTCTGAAAGTTGACTCTCGTGTTTCAGAGAGGTTGAGATATAAAAAGTCTGATTTAACGCGTGAACTTTATCGTTTAAACTTTCAGCTCCGAGCCTCCGGTCAGACAGCGATAGTGAGCTGTCGCCCTCTGACTCTGGGGAGGACGAGGAAAACGAGGACAGGATGGAGGAGGAGCAGAAAGTAAAGAAAGAAGACAAGGAGAATCTGAAGACTCCAGTGAGGGGCGGTAAAGGCTTGTCTGCAGCTCTTTACAAGACTCCCGGCAAGAAGAGCAAAACTTCGGAAGCCGTCAACCAGCCCAGCATGGTGGAGGAGTATTTTGAAGCCCACGGCAGCTCGAAGGTCCTGACCTCAGACCGCACACTGGAGCGTTTACATACTCCTAAACTGGACCGGGTCAGTAACTAACAGCCAGTATTAAACATGTGTAGACTGAGCTGTGTTGTTGTGTCTTTGAGGTTATTCTTATGTTATTATTACAGGAGACGCTGGTCCAGCTGTTAGATGGAAAGCCGTCCTGCTACTCCAAAGAGATCCAGCAGCTCCACAACAAACACAAGATGCACTTTAACAAATGGATGCTACAGTTACAGTGAGTGACTCTTTTAAATGTCTATGTATTTGTTTTTATTTGTTTAATATTTCGGTGTAACATAGAATATGTTTTTGCATTTAACTGTGTAGGCTGGGCTTCAGCGTGATCGTTTACGGTTTGGGAAGCAAAAAGTCTCTGCTGGAGGACTTCCGAGTGTCTCACTTGGCTCAAGAAATCCACCTCGTGGTCAACGGATTCTTCCCCTCCATCACTCTTAAGTCGGTCAGTATACATGAACAGATCTCTCCAAAAATGATCCTTTGTTACCGCATGTTCTTGCAGGGCAGGGCAAGTTGATCATTAAAGCTCCGTTCATGCATCGAGCAATTCAAAGTGCTTTACAGAGATAAAAACAGAACATGAAATAAGACATCAAAATACCCAAAGTATTAAACTAAAAGATAATCAACTTATTAGAATGAAGAAGTGAATCAAAATGTTTTGAGACCCTGTTTTCAAAAAGCTACCGGGTTGAAAAGGCCTCAGGTACAGATTTGCTGAAGCAGGAAAAAGAAAAGAAGGCTGGTGATGTTGTTTTTTTTACTCACTGTCAAAGATTTATTTCAAAAGAACCAAAACCAGCCACGAATGAGACCTACGAAACAACTTCTGTGTTTTTAAACAAACAGTGAACATAATTGAACAAAACCTTCTATTATAATAAACAGTAGTATTAGTTTAATCTGAGTGAACTCCAAACACTCTTTACTCCTCACTAAAACACCAAACTGTGTGTATATCCAAATATCTGAACTGTGTACCTCTGTTTGGGTGACAGTTTGCAGGAACTTGATTCCTGCGGTCTGAACGCCTCATTTAAACATGAACCTGTATGTTTAGCAAAGTTGTCCCGCCCCCCCGTGCCGAAGCACACCTCTTACAATCGTGCCGGAGCCAAGGAAGTGTACCGTAGTTGAGCACAGATGGGAGCACTCACACTAGTCAGTCAAACTGGACTTAAGGGGTGAAGTGTGCTTAGGCACGGTACGGATTGCCCAGTGTGAGTAAGCCCTTACGCTGCAGGAACTGATGGGCCGCTGAGTGGCATATGAAGGGTTTGAATGTTGGAAAGGATTTAAAGGTGGACTTGGGATGGATAGATTTTTTATTTCTCACCAGATTTGTTCTCAACCTCAAAATTTTAAAGAAACAAATGCCTGAACGATAGAAGTACAGGTGGAATGTCTTTTGTTTGATTTGCTAAGAGTGACTGAAGGTCTGCATGAATAAAAAAGAAACCAATTGATAATGACAGTAATATTAAACATTTACAAATAAAGAACACAAAATGAAACACAAGCACCACCCGGACTCTGTGCTTGCACTAATATTTTTTGATTTAGTTTTCATACTAATATTAGCGATGTAAAAGATACTTGTACAGATCCTACATACTCAACACACATCCATTCACAAAAATATACATAATATTCATATATACCCACATAAACATTACATTTATACGTTCAGGAACAGTGGGGGTTCAAATCATTTTGGACACAGAGGGTGAGGGGAGAATCTTTTTCTGTCTTTTAAACTTAAAGACAAGTGTTTGTTTTTTGTTTTGTTTTTATGCAGATCTTAAATGCCCTGTCATGTGACGTCCTGGAGCACCATGGAAATTTCCGGACTCCCTCAGATCAGATCCAGTACATCACTCAGACCCTTAGAGACAGTGAGTGTGTTCAAAGTTCAGTTACACTTTCTTAAGCGTGGGTTTGATTTCTTAAAACTGAAGTTCGACCTTGCAGACCTAGACCTCCATGTTTACCTGCTCATCCATAATATCGATGGACCCATGCTGCGAGGAGAGAAGACCCAGAGTGCACTGGGGCAGCTGGCATCCCTGCCCAACCTACACTTGGTGGCCTCTTTAGACCACATTAACGCTCCTCTGGGTGAGTGTTTGTATTGATGAGTTTCCAATTTAAATGATTGTGCTCACTTAATTGAAGGACATTTGACTTTTCTTACACACCTGTATTTTATTCTTCCTTATGATCGTCTTAACTTTGTGTGAAAATCTTCTGTTTGGTGACTTTAATGTCCTGTTATCCATCTGTCTTCTGGTCTTTATGTGCTTTCAGTGTGGGACCAGTTTCAGCAGAGTCAGTTTAACTGGCTGTGGTGGGAGTGTGTGACCTTCCAGCACTACGTAGAGGAGACGTCGTATGAAAACTCGCTCCTGGTGCAGCAGACCGGCGCGCTCGCGTTGTCCTCGCTTACACACGTGCTGCGCAGCTTGACGCCAAATGCAAGGTACGTCCCACACTGATACAATGAGATATCAAGTAAACCATAAGCGATGTAAATGCACTAATATTTCATTCCTTGTGTTCTTTCTTTCTGCAGAGGAATTTTCAAACTGCTTGTGAACTTCCAGCTGGAAAACAAAGATAATCCTTCATACACAGGTGCTTACAAGCTCCAAACTTCAAAATGCTGCTGATTTTCATCTTCAATGTGACTGGTTGTAATGTTTTCCTTTCCACGTGTGCAGGACTGTCCTTTCAAGATTTCTACCAGCGTTGTCGAGAGGCGTTCTTGGTGAACTCAGACCTCACGCTGAGGACTCAGCTGACCGAGTTCAAAGACCACAAACTGATCCGAACACGCAAGGTGGAGTCCTGTTTCTCTTTTAAATGACTAAAATTATACAGCCATGATTCTCTGCAGATCCCGAAACCCAACTCATGCCCTGCCAGTATGAATCACTACTTTATGAATTCTCACAGTGACACTTATGACATGAATGAAGGTAGCGTGAACGAGAAGTTAATTAGCCAAAGAAGAAGACAGCAGGATAATGTGACACAGCGTTGAAAAGAATACTGATATCAAACTGCATTAAATATACATATATTAATCCTGCACCTCATTAGGTGAATGTTTATTCTGCAGTTAATCAGATTGGTGATGTATCATTATGAGCGTCTTGCAGTATATCGATTCTCACAGAATCGCTGTACGTGGCCCACGACCCGTGATTACCAACACTATTGTTCACAACAACTTTTATATGTTTATAAGTTTTTATATTTTGGCTGTGTCACAACTCTTGAGGATTATACTTTAAGGACAAAGATGTCACCTGTTAATCTTGACTAGAAGCTCCTCCTCATGTCTCCTTCAAAATACCCTTAAGGAGTTGAGGCATCATAGCGATGACATGTTTAAATTACCGCTCATAGTCAGAGGAGACAGAGATGGGGGGGGGGGGAACAAGTGTGTTCTCAACTTAATTTTTCCCTTCATAATTCTCAGGGTGCAGACGGAGTGGAGTACTTGCTGGTCGCGGTGGATGCGAGCACTCTGATGGATTTCCTGGAGAATGAGGAGGTGGACTGAGAAGAGAGGCCTTCGAACTTTATCACTTACACATCGTTGACCGGTTAAACTAACCAGTAGATATTTTGGTTGACTCTGTCACTTGTATACAGTGAAGGCCAAAAAAAACATCTAATCCACACATGACATGAGCCCAGTTTACAGGCTCTCACCAGTTGAATTTAATGGTTTGAAACGTAGTATTGGAGAACTGTTGTGACTTTTCATGGATCCTCGTCTGCAGCACTATGAACTTCACTTCCTGTGTATTGGTGTTCATGTTTTCTGGTGACTTCTTTGTAAATAAAAATCCACATGTAGAATTATCTTATTGCAATTTATTACCTTTATTACAGAAATAGATTTACATTAAGCAAAACATAGACTCTTTTGTTCTTGCGAGGCAGGTCGGCATGCTGCAGTGGAAAGTAAGGAAGTCAAGGGAAGGAGTCGGCACAGCTGCACACGTGAGAAGAGAGAGAGCTCAAACAATTAATATAACATGCAGTGCTCGGCAGTTTTATGGTAAAAGGTGTTAAACAAAGCCGGTGTTTGAGAATTCTGTTTCAGAGTTCCAAGAAGAACGGACATTTGGGATTTAAGGTGGAAAGAACAAAGCGTGGTTCGGCCCTGAGTGCGTGCTGTGAAATGTTTCAGTGTTGGATGTCTGCAGTCTTCTGTGTCTGCTGTGTGCTGTCGAGCGTTTCGGAGTCCAGTGTGTAAGTCTGGAGTCTGTTTTCGGTCACTGTGTTTACAATGCGAAGCTCCTCTTCATCTAAATCCCTCAGCAGCAGCAGAACTGCATCAAGAGTGTGTGTCTGAAAATACAATTTGAGATTTGTTAGAAATAAGTAATTCAGTAAATTCCAACATTTTGAGTTTAAGGGAGGAATACAGAAGAAGAAGAAGTTACCTTTTTCAATGATGGTTTGATTTCTCTGGTTGAGGGAGAAGAAAGAGAAGGGAACTTGTCTCTGGAGAGGGGCTTCATCCCCAACTCTTCCCGGATTTTACTAAAAAAAACAAAAAACAAAGAACAATAGTTCAACCAATGCATGTCTCCCTTTCTGTATGTGTGATGTCAATCCAGTAGGTGTGGGAATCACCAAAGATCCAACAATGCTTTATTCATGCATACACTAGGATACAGTGTAATTGCAATATTAACTGAGTATTTTAATAAAATATCCCAATCTATTGACTTTTCAAAACTGCAAATGATGTCTTGAAAGGAATTCTGTTTTATCTAATAATACAGTTTTCAGAATGCCTGTCTTTATCTCTGTTCAATCATTTTGATTGCATCAATATTGGGATTGTCAAACAGACAACGAAAACCCGCCAGAAAATGTTGCATGCCCCCCATGAACGTAACCTCATTACAGCCAATGTAGCAGCACCTTAACTGCATGCATCCATGTGTTAACCTCTGTACTACAACAATGCAACTTGTACAAAAAGGTTAGGCAGCTTCTTTAGCAACATGGGGATTAAACAATAAATAACTTGATATAAGTAGTGATTTATATTTACAACATTACCATAATAATTAAAATGAAAATACTATACACACAATAATGCTACATAAATGATCAACATAATGTGCTGTACTGATTTTTCCCCCACTCCACAATCCACACAGCTTACTTGGTCTCCTCCATGTTGTAGTTCAGTGGGTCGTTCTCTGTCTCTGCATCTGGAAGTCCGTTGGTGGAGAGCTGGTTTTGAATGCTGCTGGGTGGGGTTGTCACCACTTCACCCTCCTTGAGAGCCACTGCAAGCTCATCCTCTGTCACTACTGCAAAAACCACACACATGCTTCATAACAATCATTTCCCATCACGTCCTCTTGTCTCAGGTTAAACATGCAATGCATAGTTTTGCACCCAACAGAAATAATGTGGCAATTGTTCCAACTGAGAGTGAAAATCTGATACTGTGATACTCTTGACACAGTCACAAGACAACGACGTGCTCACCTTGGTTGTCGAGCTTCTGTAGGTGAGGCAGGCACCGCAGCACGGTGAGCCGATACTGGCTGCAGTCAGATCCACAACAAGGGTTTTCAGCCAACCAGAGGACCCTGAGATGTGTCAGAGGACGCAGGTGTGAGAGCTCAGATAGAGAGGGAATCATGTTCCTCCTCAGGTAGAGCTCAACCAGAGATGGACAGCCGGCCAACGGAGAGAGGGTTGAGATGCTGTTCACACTACAGATTGAGAAATGAGATCATACCAGCAAAGTTACACTGATCAACTCTAACTCAACTCTAAGTTTTATCAGTCACTTTGCTTCTGAATGTGTCAAAATGTGCAGAGTTCAATAAAGCTACCTGAGTGCCAGCACCTCAATGTTTGGCATTTGAGAGAAGATTGAAATCTGAAAAGAAACAAGGAAAGGGTGTACATGATTATGCACGCATACATCTTCCACTGAAATCCATAAGTTGTTAATACTACATTTGAGCATAATGATTATATTCATCCTTTAACAGTTTAAATCTACTCACGTCAGTCAGGTTGCATCCCCTGCAAAAAATAAATAGTAACGTGACGTTATTACAAATGTTAGACATAAAAACGAGCTGCAGATGTCAAGAATATAAACCCAGAGACAATTCTCATCATCTACATTTAAAAACACTCACCAGCAGTTCAGTTTCTTCACGCTTTCCAAGTCGGAGGCCTTTGCCTTAGCAAGAACAAGTTTCCGCGTTAGCTTCATAGCATATCTTCTAATTAATCTGTCCTCAGATATTGTTTTTACTTCATTACGAGTTCACAAACAAAAAGGACTGCATTATGAGAGGCCAAGAGGGCAAACATTTTAACTCTGCAGCAGCAAGTATTGTTGTTGTCCAGCACACGAATACGCATGCGCGTTTGAACAGCAGCGTCCTTAGTTACTGTCACTTCCTGTGAAACTATTGATAATGTAAATGTATTTGTTCAAATTCTGCAGTTGTTACATACTTCTTGGCAAAACAAGAACAATTAACATTTCAAACAATTGAAACTATTTTATTTGACTTTGATATAATATCAGCTCCTAAAACTCAAAGTCCCACAATGCAGCACGATCGACTGGGTAAATCGCGCCTGCGCGGTAAGCAATCCCTCTTTGGACCTACGTCTCCACTGAAACGATGGTGAGCACAGATAGTCCCCCTTCTAATCCGTGTTAATCTGACACTTTCTGTGCTTGAAACTGAATATAAACACATTTAGAGGCTTTATGGTGTCATTGTGTATCAGATGTGGTCGCTATTGGAGTTTACTTTGGGATTGTTTTAACAAGAAAAACGATGTTTTCATGCCCCGTTGAGACAGTAATGGCTGCCACCATTGCTATACACCCTGGTCATAGTGCCGGGCGGGCTAGCCATACAAGCTATCTGTCAGACACATAACCCTAATTTACGTTTATATTAACAAGAGCGATATTTGTGCAGGTGAAGCTAAGTGGCCTGTTTCTGTTGCTTTAAAGGTCGTTGTCTCTTAACTCGGCCTGAGGGTGTTGAACTGGTCTTGGTGAGCTAAGTGGCTAACACAGGTTAGCTGTAAAGTTCACTAGTGATGGGCTCTTTCTCCCATCTTTACACTCGAGTTTACATTTAATAATAAACGAATAAAGTTCGCAGTGATTGTGGCAGGGTTGTCCTCCAAATGGTGAATTGTGATCTCTTAATACTCTGAACGAGCATTACGTAACACAGAATATTACACTGTGAAGTGACAGACATGTTGAGGGATAAACTGTTTCTGTTGATATACTTAAACTCATGTGTTGTGTTCATGTTGTTCACAGGCCAAGCGTACCAAGAAGGTGGGGATCGTTGGTAAATATGGCACACGTTACGGTGCATCGCTGAGGAAGATGGTCAAGAAAATTGAAATCTCCCAGCATGCAAAATACACCTGCTCCTTCTGTGGCAAGTAAGGATAAAGTCAAGAAACTTTTAAAATGACTGACGCATCTGGAGGAAGCAGTGCAGTATTTTGGTTTGATTGGATGAACCATAACGTGTTGTCTTTCCATCTACAGACCAAGATGAAGAGGAGGGCTGTAGGTATCTGGCACTGTGGGTCCTGCAGGAAGACGGTGGCTGGAGGTGCTTGGACTTACAAGTAGGTTCTTTCTGCATTACTTTCTAACTGCATTAGTCGTTTACAGGACAACATTTCTTATTCGTTTGGATGTTAGTTTACACTGCGAGTGAGTTTTTGGTGTTGGAAACGGGGGCCAATCTCTGTCGCTGTGTAAACTTTGTAGGTCAGTTGGAGTAACCGTACTTGTGAACGCTGTAGGGGAGTTGGGAGTAAGAGCCCCCACCTCATCAAGACATTTCTGTATGAGCACATCTGGGGTTGTTCCATCAGAAAATGATGCCATCAAGTGCTGGTCTGGCATTTACACTAATATGTTTTGAGTCATTTTTGTGGAGCTGGGTCCATGATGGTTGTTATAAAATGTGGTCGCCTGAATCAGGAGCTAATCTGAAAACGAAAAATGTCTCAGTTTTAAGCGGATTGAGATTTGTTAGAAATACGCCAAGTGTCCCAAACCGAAGTTAATGATGTGGATATGTTGAGTTTGGTTTTAGAACTGGGTCTTCTGTTGCAAACCAGTAGCCGTACACAACCGGTCAAAAAGAGCTGAAATGTCACTTGTTGATAGAGTTTTAGGTGACGCTTTGAATGTTAATCGGTGTTATCTTGATGCCATCTAATGATTAGCTTAGTTAATAGGATACGTCGTGTATAGAGCTGGGTATTATGGTAGTAATGAATCTATTGGAGCAGATGAGGTTTTTGGAAATATGATTATGGTTGATTTAAGTTCCCTTTAGATCACAGTACATGAACATTTCTCAACCAGGTTGTTTAAATGTGAAGCACGGTGTTGCAAATACATTTGAATGTCATCCCTGACATTCCTCATATTATTTAATATAAAGTATATTCAAAATATTAGACTGCTTGAGAAGTTACTAATTTTCAGTCCAAAGAGTTCACGGCTTTAGTAGAAACACATTGTAACGTAATCTTGACTTGAAATGGATCACGGTTGATCTGTTGAGGAAAAATGTCTCCTTTTTGTTTCTAAAGTTGATGTCCCTGATGAGGAGTGGAGAATACTGTTATTGAAATCATGTTTTTATGACTGATCTGTTGTACTGACTTTTACTGCACTTTCTAAATAAAAAGGGAGCTCAAGTTTATCTGACTGTTTGTAGTATCTGTAAGTTGTGATCGGCTGCCCCACTACTATTAACTTGAAGCTTTTTGCATTATCCTGGAAGGTCTCCCTTTTTTTTTTTTTTTTGTTGTTGTTGTTGTTCATGTCCGTCTGTATATCGATACCATACATTGCAACGTTGTAATTTTTATTTATTTTGTCTTTCAGCACAACTTCCGCTGTCACAGTGAAGTCTGCGATCAGGAGACTGAAGGAGTTGAAGGACCAGTAAACCAAGTGCGTCGTTCACTGGTGGATTTGGGACTTTGTTGTTTTCTATAATTTAACCGACCTGGACATGGCGTCAACATCCCAAATAAATTGGTCTAGAGCGGAAATCTTTGTTTTTGTCTTATTACATGTTTCAAATCTATCCTTGTGGTTATGAATTAAGAGAAGACCCCCCTCCTCCCAAAGCCTGCATGAGTGGAAGAAGTTGTGCCATCACAGACATCGCAGCTGTCCACAATCATTAGCATGAAACATTGACGCAACACAAGAGCTGCTCCTAGCCTGCAGTCACCTGCGCAGATTCATTCTCGCAAATTAAATATCTACAGAAGATTTCCCTCCAAAGTGAAGTTAGACGGTACTTTATTTTTATCTGGCTAAATTCCATTAAGCTGTAGTTATTGGTGTCAGGTAATGATTTATAAGTGAGCTTACATTCCTGCATCCTTGGTACAGCTGTGGATTTTGTACCATGTTCAGTCAGTATATCTGCTGTGGTAAGGCTCTACATGAACTGACAGAGATCAGTGTTGTAGTAGGTCCAGAGTTAACATCATTGATTTACAGCAGTGCAATGACAACAGCTGAAACACAGTATAGCCTGCAACACATTTCTACGAAGTGTAATTTTATTTCCATTGTTCTGGAGATATAGCACATAACATTTATTTTTATTTTTATTTTAATATAGTTTAAGAGTTCTTGACTGACTAAAGGTAAACCCTCCAAACTGTGAATGACACAAAGCATAATGAATTTGTTTGGAAGTAATTTATTGGTAATATATAGCCTAAGTATGTATTTGTTAGTTTTAACCTTTGATTTGTTTTTGTTTTGTCCTTTATGCATTTGGTGTGAGGATTAACACCCAGTTCACAATTAAACCTCTCCAAAAAGCATTAAAAAAATAAAAATAATAATAATGCAAGTGAATATTAAGAAAGTAAAAAAAAAAAAAAACGCATCGAAATGGATGATTATTAAATATAGAAAGTATGACTCTGTTCTATGATAAAGTATTAATACAGATGAATCCTGTCGATGGTCAGACGATATTGATCTAAACATGTTATGATCTAAAAAACATCAGTCAAATTACTGTCAAAGAAAACTGCCGTAAAATGTCCAGAAGGGGGCGGACTGTCGTGCTTCTCAGGCGGGTCAAGAAACAAATATGGCGGCGTCCAGTGTTTTCAGACCGGGCTTGTTTAACCAAAAAGTGGCGATAGTCACAGGTGGAGGGACCGGCATCGGTAAAGCGATCTCTGCGGAGCTGCTGGAGCTCGGTAAGTCAAGGTTTTGGGTCAAAAAGCTCGGATAGTTTAATCTCGTCCCAGCAGCGGACTGTCAACACGAGCAGAGTGAACTTTGACACACAAGTCTGTCGGTGCTCAACATGGGCAGAAATGTGTTCATATTTGTGAACAATAGTAATAATGTTTAGGTAACAGACAACAGAATGAAGTTATGATGAGAAAGTGTTAAACAAGTTTACAGTAGTAACTTAAAGAGCAGCAGAAACAGAGTTTAACAAGTGTCTCTTACTACAGTGGATACTTACTCAATATGAAGTTAATAAGCAATGAAGGACAGGCTGCACAAAGTACTTTAAATACTTTAGACTAAGAGAACTATTTTCTGATTCTTGTATTACTGTTTAAATAATATAAGATAATATAAACTGCCGTCCGTATGAACAGAGACAGTGTTCAGTGAGTCTAGTTATCCAAACAAAAGTCTAAGCTGTGATAAAATTGCATCCTATGGTTGACCACAGGCTGAGTCGTATTCAGTTTCTGATGATTATGTTGTGCTCAGGCTGCAGAGTGGTGATCTCCAGCAGGAAGGTGGAGAGGTTGGAGGCGGCGGCTCAGGAGATGAGACAGAAAATCCCTCAATCGAGCCCTGCATGTGTCACTCCTCTGCCATGTAACATCAGAAACGAGGACGAAGTGAGACGCTCCCTTGCACACCTTCAGCCTCTGAAACGGCTTCACGACCGTCGGTGCGTATCTCCTCTCACCTGGTTTCATCGTGGCGTCTTTGTTTTGATCTCCTGTGCGACAGGTGAAGGCGCTCGTATCGACAGTGCTGAAGAAATACGGCAGGATAGACTTTCTGGTGAACAATGGAGGAGGTCAGTTCAGCAGCCCTGCCGAGCACATTTCCTCTAAAGGCTGGAAAGCTGTGATCGACACGAATCTGACCGGAACCTTCCACTGCTGCCAGCACGGTGAGATTCAGGCCCGCTAACACAGGTCGAGTGTGTGTTTGTTAAAGCTCACACTGTGACTGTGTAGTTGTTTCTGTCCACACAGTCTACACTGCGTGGATGAAACAGCATGGAGGTGTGATCATCAACATCATCGCTGACATGTGGAAAGGCTTCCCGGGCATGGCGTAAGCAGTAATGTGCATGAATGTACACTTTAATGTTTCACCGCCTGGCTATTGAAAAGCTGTTTCTCTCCTACAGCCACACAGGAGCAGCGAGGGCAGCGGTGGACAACTTAACAAAGACTCTGGCCATCGAGTGGGCAGACTCAGGAGTCCGAGTCAACGCTGTTGCGCCTGTAAGAACAGGTCATGACTCAACGTGGAGCTGACGTAGGAGGTCTTAAATCGTGCATTCTAAGTATGTGTGTATGTCTGCTTGCAGGGAACAATCTTTTCTAAAACTGCGATGGAGAACTACAAGGAGTTTGGTCCACAACTGTTTAAGATGTCTGTGCCGTTCAGTCCCGCCAAGAGGCTGGGAGTACCAGAAGAGGTGAGGGACGATGTGGGGATATTCATAGTATGTTGAGAAGGTCACTAAAGAAACTCAGCGACTCTGCCATGTCTTTTGGACACGGCTTTGTTTCATTCATTTCAATCATAATAATTCTAATAATGTATAAAAAATAAAGTTAACTCGCAAACCCTCACGAAGCCAGTGTTACAAAGCTATGAAACATAAAACGCCTAAAATTCACAACAATGTAGACAAACCAGTGTGAAAAAACAAATAGTCTATGAGAAATCAGGAATATTTCACACAGAATCCTGGAAACATTGGGGGAAAGTTAAAGACATGACATGTGCAGTCAAATCATTTAGATAGAGAGAGAGCAGTACTTGCAGAGTCTGTGTTTGTGTCTGTTGCTTTGTTTCAGTTTGATGGACAGCAGTGATTTATTTTTTTTTTTTTGCTCCTTTTTTTACCTTTTTCCCCCTGTGTCTTTTTCTCAGATCTCATCAACCGTGTGTTTCCTGCTCTCTCCTGCTGCCACCTACATCTCTGGAGCCACTCTGAGGGTGGATGCAGGACAGAGTCTGTACCGCTCCATGTGGGACATACCCGGTAAGCTCATCTTTCTATGGTCTTGACAGTATACTTAAATGATGTTACTGTACATAGAATGCTGAATGTGTTACTTGTGATTCCTCCAGACCACAGTGCATGGCCCGAGGCACCAGAGGGGGAGAACATGGACGCGCTGAAGGAGCTGCTCAACTCAAAAAGCAAACTGTGATCCACTGTTGGGGGGGACTGAGTCTTGTACCAGTGCATTAAAAACACACGCGTATCGTGGACCCCGAGCCGTGCAGGTACAAGATGCACCGTCAGAGAAACAAGACACGATGGTGCTCTGTTTATAAGATTGGTTTGAAATAATGAACATTATTGTGTGTACTTTAGAGCAGCTTGTCTAATTACTTTTCCAGATGACGAGGTGTGATGTAAACACTTTTTTTAAGCGTAAAGTAAACCGTTTAAGAAGTCAAGTATCAAAAAGTCCTCTACATTTGGAGAAACCATAGACTCTAAACAACAACACCTAATTAAAATCTAAGAAAGATTGTAATTACTTTTTTATTTAGTTTGTTTGTTTGTTTTGTAATTTACTCTGATTTGCCTCTGAAGCTGTTTCAGGAGCTTGCCTTCATCTTGACTTTTTTTCAACCCCCTCTTTTGAATTGAGTTGGGCCCAATCATGTAATTTTACTTGCTAGTTTTGGGTTGACTTTCATTGACTGTCTTTTGTATACGGTGGTTATGATGTACAGTTACTGTCATTTTTAACATCTTGTTGATACATTTTACAAAACACGTTCACTAACAAATCCTGGAATGTGACATTCTTCTTCTCTTCTTCTTTTTCTTAATGTGTCATTGTTCTACAGTGTACAGACAACAATGGTTCTTTGTAATTATAAAGCTTCTGATACTATACCACCAAATAGTATTGTTGTTGTGTATCTGTGGATGTCTACCAGCAGGTTTACTGAATAAGTATTAATGGTCAAACAGAGTTTAGTGATCTGTTGTGAACCTGAACAGAAGTAGATATTTGATCATGTTTAATAAGTGGATTAAGAAGTATTGTACATTAGTAATATTGAATCTTAATTACAGTATAATGGTGAAACATTTAGTGCTTTGAGGTTAGATGAATCATGTTCTCATTCACATAGAAAGAAATCTGAATGTTTTTGACGTTCTCAAGCTTTTCATGAAATTATGAAAGAACAAACATTACAGAGAAAGTGATGTGTGGTTTTAGTTGTAAAGATTATAGAAGTGGTTTGGTTTGCGCAATCGCTAAGGATTTGCTAATGTACATTTGTCCTGAACGCTGTGCCGTCACAAGCCGTAAAACAAAAGCAGCTGTCGCAAATTCAGTGCAGCAGCAGCAGAGGTCAGAGGTCACAAACCACTCAGGTACAGAGTTGTTTCTTTTACATCTCAATCTTTTGACGCATATCTGTTTTTTTCTTTTTCTTTCATTGTGTGTTAATTAATAAGTTAATCACGTTTGTGAGGTGGACTCGGAGCTTCTTTAAACATCCTGGTTATCAAACCAGAGTACTTAGCTTAGCTAGCTTAATGCTAGCTTGTTTAACGCTGTCTGCGTAACGTTTCAGCCCAGTTTGTCCTCAATTTGATTATTTTAATAAATGTTTGATTGATTAAATACCCAGTGATCATTTATTTTAAGTAGTCGAGATAGTTTCCCAAGCAGTGACACAGTTTGAGTTCATACATGAAGCTGATACTGAAAACCAGCTCGACTCTCCTCAGCTTCACTTTGAATATGTTTCATTTAGAAAGATTTATTCAAAGTATTCAAATGTTCAATACATGTTAGTGTCCTAAAAGCCTCCAGCTGACATTTAACAACATTTTAAAGATACTTTGGACTCAAGCTGCTAACACAAACAAACAATGTTCCAATTAATTTAATGAAAACAATAAACAATAGTACTCTTCAGATTGTGTTGTTGTTGTTTAGAGTAACCATGGAGCACGTAGGTCTGTGTAATTTGGTTGTTGATCGTTATCAATATGAGGAGAAGTCATAATGAAGTCTGTGACATCAAGCAGAGGATATGTGTAGTTTAGAAACAAAGAAATGTCTTCAAACATTTCCATTACAAACCTGACAGAGACTGAAAAGATGCTCCTGAGGTACCAAAAAAACAAACAGCAGAATGCCAAGAGTTTGAAGTGCGATCATGTTGAAGTAGAATCTAATAAATAGCAAAGAGGGAGCTACAGAGTCAGCAGGATACATTTGTAGGTTTACATTTATTTTATTTAATAAATGTTACTAGTCACAGTTAATGTTTAGAAATCCAGCATGTGAAACTGTTCTTCACTTTATATCAGAGGAAAAGTGTTTGAGTTGGAGAATGTTTTTCAATTTGCTTGAACTTGCACGTTCATCTTGTTATAAGAAAGAGGCACAACATAAGGCTTGCATATATCTGAATATATTTGTTCAGCATGGGAGGTGACCACGGCCACAGCAAGGTGAACTTGCCTGACCTTAAGCAGTGGAAGTGGGAGGGAACACCGCTGGAGGTAACACAGCAGAGGCTGAAGGCCAGAGGCCTCAATGACCCATGGGCGCGGTCAGTATTCACACCTACATGATTCTATTGCTTATATTTCATTTTATTCATTCTTACACCTGACGCTGCTCTCCGTCTTTTTCTCTCTGCAGTAACGAGGCGTGGAGATACCAAGGCGGCTTCGCTCGGGCTGTGACTTTGTCCGATGTGCTGCTGAGGGGTTTCAAGTGGGGCTTTGCTGCTTTTACTGTCGCTCTGGCTGTCGAGTACGCCCTCTTCCCACCAAAGAAGGGTGGCCACTAATCCTCATCCCCGGAGCACAATGCCGTCTATTAATATTCTGTATTTTTCGTTAAATAAATTTCCTTTTGATCACCTCACATCTTCCTTATTCTTCTTTTTAACCCTTAAATCACACCAGGCGGTACTCTACACTGTGATTACTTTATCTCCCTTATAAACCAAGAGTGTCGGTGCTGGGATGAATTTACAAATGCAGCACGGAGTTATTCCTGCTTCCTCTTCCTGCTCAGTTTACGGAAGCACAGTTGGAAGCATTTTACTGTCACCAGCACAAAAACCAGCACAACAGTAGCCAGAAATGCTATCACATCCAGGCAGTGGTACTGGATCCAGTTGAGGTCGTGGGCCGCAGCTCTGAGATGTTTAGCTCCTTTGTGCCGCATCACAAATTCAGTCCAGTACACCGAGAGGTCGATGGGGTCGATTGGTCGGTCTTTATGGAGTGCTGAGAGCTTCTTCACGTTCTCTTTATACCTGCACAGTGACAGATTGATGGCAAGAGTTTATGAACACTAAATTATTTTCTTAAATAATTAATCTTAACTGATTTTAAGTAACCGACACTTCTTAAGCGACCATCTTCCCCTCACCTGGTGTCATTGATGACCTCATTCAGCGCTTGGACAATGCTTTCTGTAGTGATACTAAACAGATCCACTATGACTCCCACTTCTCTGCTTGCCAACCTCCTCGCGTTGTCAGGCTGGTCCCCGGAAATCGGCATCATCACCATGGGAACAGCATGACACAGACCCTCAAAAAGGCCGTGTGAGCCGGCATGAGTGATGAAAGCCCGCGCTCCAGGTTGAGCTAACAAAGCGACAAGTCAGAAGTCAGTTATGTGATTCGTCACCAGTCAGTTTTGAGTTTTGTGCTAAACATTTCAGGATAAACGCACCTAGAAGGTCATTCTGAGGCACCCACTGCATCAACTTGACATTTTCTGGGACATTGTCAGGAACCTTCCCCCCGTACCTCCATATGACCTGTTAAAAGATTTGTGATTAATGCTCTGATTGATATTTAAGAAATAAAATGTGTATATATATATATATATATATATATATATATTCCTCTACCTTCTGTGGGATCTGTCTGAAGGCTTCAAGAAAAACGGAGCTAGTCTCTTCTGGCATATCTGGTATCATGCTGCCCAGAGTAAACACTACAAATCCATGTTCTCCTGACACCCAGGACTCCAAATCCTACACACACACACACACACACACACACACAACACACACACACACACACACACACACACACACACACACACACCACACACACACACACACACACCACACAACACACACACACACACACACACACACACACACACACACACACACACAGAGAGATTAGGGTCTGGTGACATTTATTTATTATCATTCAGTTAGACTTTCTTACTCATAAAAACAAGTGAGAGAAACAGAAAAATTAGTAAAAGAAATCTTCCCACTGAAAGGTTTTTCTACAAACGAATAAAAACTTACTTTAGGAAGAGGATTTCTAATGTCACAGTTCATCCCCCCAATCAGAACCATATTTGGCATGAGAGGGCGCGGAAACTCCAGTGTGAAGTCAAGCCTGTTAAAAAAAAAAATAGTAATGTCAATATGTATCCGAACATTAGAGAGAGAAACTTATATTCTTTCAGTTTGATACATTGGTGGAGCTCTGAGACTTATTGTAACTTGTTGAAAAGAAGGATGATATGTAAACTCTGAAGTTTTTTCTATCAGACATAAGTTAAAATAATGATATGTGTTACATTTTAAGGTTTTGTTTGTCGAAATGTTTATACTTTTTGAAACCATGTGTGTAGAAACATGATCAATAGTATCTATAGTCTCTCTCTCTCGCTCTCTCTTTATGTATGAGGTGTTTATTGAGTTATACCAGCGTTTTGTGTAGATTTCTTTAACTTGATATGTGCATATTGTTTTGTATTTGTTTTCTTTTGTGTGAGACGTTTAACCCTTTGCTCTGTTATGTTGTGGTGTGACTAAGACTAACTATTGTAAGGGTTGCCCAACAGAAGAAAAATGTTTTGTGAAAAAGGATGGACATGATAACCTGAAGCTTCAACCAACAACTTTGTCCTCAGTTTAATCCTGAATGTATTTAGTTGTGATTAACTTATAACTTCTCTGTGGTGTTCTTGTTAGAACTTGTTAATATGTGCTGAGATAAACATCCGCTCCTACTCTTGATAGATATGTGCTGCTCCCACAAATAATCACTATAAACCCTGTTTTGTTAAAGTCTAAGAACCACAGAAAATTAAAATATGGTTAAAAAAGCATTTCCTGGTTCATCTGTAATTTGATTTATTTTGTGTTTAAAGGCTAAGCAGCTTTAATATTACTTATCAGGTATCTCTGTTGTCAGCCCTTATTTAAAGTTTGAACACTGGAGAGCAGCACTGAGCAGGTCAGGTAAGCTTTCTGAGCCAGCTGTCACCTGCTGAGTGAGGCGAGAGGCTGAGACACTGGCAGGCTAAATTCAATGAAAGGAAGACAGCAGAGATACCTTTGGTAAGTGTGTTGTGTTCTTTGTTAATTATCTGAATGTTTGAATGTTTACATCACGCCTACTTAGTTTAGGCTGTTCTGGTTTTATAGTGTAGTGTTCACATGAAACAATTACATTAGAAGGGTAAATGATCATTAATATTGAACACATTTAACTTGTTTGTTTAAATTGTAAACAAAAGATAAATAACTGAATAAATACTAAAATTCAGATTAATTTAATTGTTAGATTAACCTAAATTCTGATTTGTTTCATTTGGTGTTAAAATGTGAAAAAAGGAAAGTAAGGATGCTAAAAGATGTTTAATCAATTAAAATTTGAGACTGATTTGATTTTGCATGTGTATGTTCTTAAGAGACTTTTGTTGATTAACATTTTTATGTCTTTTATGTTTGAAGGTTTACAACCCGATAAGCTCCTGAAGGATGTTTAAAGATGTGACAATAAATACATTGGAAAACTATCTAAAGAAAGGAGAGTTGTAAAGCGTGTCCTCTGTGATCTTCAAGCCCTGACAGGGAAGCATTGAATTATGAAAACACCCACAATGACTTGACAAACCCTTTGTACATGTTACCTGAGCAGCCAGATAGCAGATTCAGTAAGCACCTCAGCCACGCCCACCTTCTCTCCCAGGAACTGATAGGCCATGTTGTCAAACTGCCAGTACATCAATCTGCAGAGCAACGGCTCCATTAAAGCCAACTGTAGGTCAGAGGTTTCACAACAATAAAGTGCAAATTAAACAAGGTGAGAGGTAAGAGTTGAATTTCATAGTGTAAGTTACTGATTGAATAGTGTCATGCATAATCTTTAAGTGCTTGCCAGAGTGTTGATACTTCTCTCCATGAAGTTCATTTTATCTGTGTATCCTGAGAAGAAGCGGGGCACGTATGAGGGCGGGGAGGGGCAGGCTGCAGACTTTATATCCAGGGAACACGGAATACCCCTCAGCACATTAATAAAGGGGAGACCTGAGGAGGATTGAATGCAGAAGAGTGACAAAATGTGCAGATTTATAAAAGGAAACAACACATAATACCCAGGTGTGGCTGAACTCACCTAGTTTTCGAGCAATTAAGGCTCCTGTGGGCACCATGGGGTCTGTTATGACGGCGTCAAAATCCTGCAGAGTGAACAGGTGAAAAATAGGGTTCATGTTTAATAGTGTGCAATAATAAAACACCGTCATGTGTCCAGCATCCAAACGTTAAATCTTAATCTATCAATAATTAAAGCAGTATTGGATAATAGTAGTTGGATAAAATTCAAGACCAAAAGCAGCAGCAGTTAAAGTTGTCACTTCAAGGTGTTACTAGTAGAAAAGTCAAAGCACTCAGTTTACTGCACATTGCACATATTGCACAGTTTACTTTTTCTTAACATTTTATTTTATTTTATTTACCATTTTGTTTTGTACCTTTTGCACAATTTAGAATTTATTACTGTAAATATTATTCATCTTATTTTATCTTATTTTGGTTGTATTGCACCACGGGACGGAGACGAACGCAATTTCGATTCCACTGTATGTCTGGCATATTTTGAAATTGACAATAAAGTTGACTTTGACTTTAACTGAAGAGCTAAACAGCATCAAAATGTACATAGCTTTAGGATTGGTAAGTTCTGTAATAACCTATCTGTACATGCAGTTACATGATTACATATTGTATTATCATGTTTATTTCAGCATCCTTTGCACTCCTCACCACTGCTTAAGGGTCCTATGTTGGCTTGATTTCAAATATTTGGTCGTGGAGAGCTAAATTAACCAGAGTCATATGTGCAGCTATACCAATAAAACTGCTTCTGATTGTGATTTTGATTCTGACGTCAGGGTGGTCAGTGTTGAAACAAAGGACTACCATTTCTCTGATGTGATTTTTTTTATTCTTCAGAAATATTTCATCACATCAAATTCCAACTGCCCTGTCAATGACTATCCTACTATAATAATGGAAATAATTTCAGACATTACCAGTTCAAAGCTCCTGTGAGGGTATTTCTCTTTGTGTTGTTTTTTGCGCCTCCTGTGCACAAAGGATTACACCTGACCTGTATGCTCATTTTGTTATGTTCAAGTATAAGTGGTGTTTTTAACAAAAACTGCTCATCCTGCTTAATATTAACAGTCAACTGTATCACAAGTTGCGAATCTTTGCCATGGAAAATGTTCAAGAAGGCATGCTGTTAATCACCTGTGTGAACCCTACCCTTTGACACTGCTTCCAGTTATTAACAACAACAATAAAGACCTCATTCATCTTTTTCTGATTGACCATTTGGCTTCTGGAGGCCATACAGAGACATCAGTATTAAGGGAGTTGTGCACAGAGAATCAAAGAAGCTTGAACCAGGCACCCAAAAACGCAGTGAACGGTGCAAGTATTGAATCTGAAAATACTTCACGCCTGTTTCTGGAGTCAAACCTGAGTATTTGTACTCACCTGCTGTGCCAGATGTGAGATGAGAGTATCATTTAATAGCAGGCTCTCTGCAATCGTGTGGATAAATCCTACTATTCTCTTGATTTGTGAGAATTGTTTCTTTGCCCGCTGTAGAAAGGACCCATCAGCTTTTTCCATCATGTTCTTGTTCGTCACCAAGAACTGATCGATGAATTCCTGGTCGTAAGGAATAGGGAAGGTAACAGTGTCATAGTGCTTCCCTGGGCCCATTCGCATGCTGGCCTCTGGTATCACCACGGTGACCTGGTGCCCACGGCGACCCAATTCTTGGGACAGGGCCTTTACAGACAGCCAGTGACTCCCATCCATGGGTATCACGAGCAGTTTGCCCCGGAAAGGTGCAGAGGCCGGGTCACCTGCAGGGCTGGAGGTCACAGCTTCAGTCTCTCCTGTGTCTACAAGTTTGGACTTTTCTGCTACGGTCTCCAGCTTCTTATTTGCAGCGCAGTTCGCCTGCATGTCCATGTTTAGCAGCAGGAACACACACACAGCTTTCCACATTGTTTACGTTCCTTTCTGTCTAAAGCTCAGTGAAAATGCATCCAACACGGACAAGAAGGAGTGTCAGAATGAGAAGGAAGAAATATCTGTCCTTTGAATGCTCCTGTAAACCACTCCTTTGTCTGCAGCGTTGAAATACCTTTGTGAATTACCATGATTGTGATTGTGCATGTGCGTGTTTGTGTGTGTGTTCAAAGTCCTCACTAAACAAGTAGGCAAGTTTGAGCCAGTCAAGCTCGCCCTAATCAACGGAGACCGACTTTAGGGACCATCAACAAATTACTGTTTCATAGTGGCAAAATCACTATTTTAATATTTTTTTTTAAATAACTTCCATGTTTTATGACCGACTGTCCTCAAATTAGAAGGGTAAATGGTCATTAATATTGAACACATTTTACTTGTTTGTTTAAATTGTAAACAAAAGATAAATAACTAAATAAATACTCAATTTCAGATTAATTTAATTGTTAGATTAATTTAAAATGAATAATCACTTAGAGGAATGAGACACACCACATTAACTTATGTGTTTTAACTATTTTCTATCAATATTTTGAACTAATAATTAATAATAGTTTTTTCAATATCTTCCAAAGCCTTGTGACCTATGGTCCTAAAAATTAGCCTTAGATATTTTTTATCACTTCAAGAAATGAAACACACCTCCTATTACTTATTTGTTTGTTTTTTTCATAATGTTTATTACTAACAATTAAACTTTTTTTTTTTTACAATCTCTCCTGTCATATGACCATAATTCCCTCAAATCAATCCTGACACAGAAATATACCACACATCTCATTGATAATTATCACAGTGCTTCTTCATTTTATCTTCCATGAAGGACATATTCTTTTCTTACTGGATAAGCAAACACATTCACATTTTTCATGTGAAACCATGCGAACCAATTCCCCAATTCAGGCACAGTTATACAGGCTATAGTTTTCTTATCCTTTTTAGGTTTAATTTTATTCCAATATTTTCTTTTAATCACAATTCTGAATATTTTTGGCCCTGCAGCAGTTTTTCTGAATCCACTGTTGTCACAGTGATAATCTTCTTTGTTGACAACAATCGTCCCGGTATTTTCTTTATTTTATTTTGAGGAATTAATTTAGCTGTTACTCTTTTCCCAGATTTCTGTCATGGCTCTCTTACTCTGGCTCCCTCCTGATTGAGGTTCATTCCTTTCACCTGCTCAAACCTGCACACCAGCTCTCCATCTCCTCATCAACTCAGCAGTATATATACCCCGGCTCTCCGTTCATTTATCACCAGATTGTTGTGTCAACTACTGTGGTAGACTAAGGCTCAGGTTAAAATAAGCTTTTGTGCTTGTTTTGGTTTTTGAGTCTCATCCTGTTTTTTCCTTCGCTTCAGGATCACCATTCACCTTCCTGCTCAGCCATCTGCCTCAACCTGCTCTCTGGACTCAAAACTGCTCAGCCACAGTCACACCCCTACTCTGGTCTGGTCAGCCTTCATCCCCTTCACTCTGCTAACCTCGGGAATCTTCAACCCATCTTCATCTCCATTTGCCGCACAATAAACCTCATTACCAATGAACCTCTGTGTTAATGTGTCCTATCTGGGTCCTAAATTCATTGGTTGTAACAATTTCCTTTTATTTTTTCCAACGTCTTTCACACAGTCCTGTATATCTGTCACTGTCATTTTGGTTTATTTTGTTTTCCTCTTCAATGAACTGATGGCTGGTCAGCTCATCCTTTCCCTCATTATCTACCATTCTTTTCCTTAGCATGTCTGCCAGTTTGTTGCTTTACCTCTCTCCTTGTCTGTTTTTTAATCTTTGCTGATTCAGTGTCATCCAAGGGGGTTTGCTCTTCTTTGTCTTTCTTTTCTTTTGTGATTTGTCTGTCCTTCTATTTTGTTCTCCTCTTCACTGAGGATGACTTGCCACTGCCCACAAAACGTCAACTGAAAAATGGTATAACTGATCTGTTTGGACTGTGAGAGAAAGTCCAAATAGCCACAAGTTTACATGTATTTTATTTAAATCTACCATTCAGACTGTGACCTCAGGCGACTTGAAAACATGAGTCAAAACTGTAAAATCCTCAAATTCACTTGTGTTCATGTGTATGGGGTACGTTACTGCCAAACCAATGCCAACCCTGGGACTGAACCATGTCATTTCATTTTTGTTTGTTTTGAGTGAGGGGACAGTCAGACAATTCTTCGGATGCATTTGTTCGTGTATGTGAGCAACAAGGAGTTCAGTACCACGATTTACACATGTTTTGCCGAAACCATAATTTTTAGCAGCTATTCATTTAAAAAGATAAAACCACAAATACAAGATTGAAGATTTTTATTTGTCACATGCTCATACAGATGCACAGTGAAATGTAAAGACTGTTCCGCAAGGCCAAGCAATAAACACTTAAAATAACTATTACACATATGTAGGCCTACATCAGGCCTATTAACAATTTAATATTAATTTAAAAAAAAGATAAAACCACTAATATTTGACAAAATGTGGTGTGTCTCATTCCTCCAAGTGATTATTAATTTAAAATATTGATTTGAGGACAGACGGCCATAAAACATGGTGGTTATTTAAGAAAAATGATTAAAATAGTGATATTGCCCTTATTAAACAGTAATTTGTTGATGGTCCCTAAAGTCGGTCCCTACTTTAGTCCCTAAAGTTGGTTAGTGCGGGAGCAGGGAGAGCAGGTTACCATATAATCTGTCGTGGAGACGAGTGAGAGGTTTACGGAGCTGGCTCCAGCGTAAATGTCTGTATCCAACTTAAAACCAACTTCACCGCAGTGCTGCACTGACAGCAACCAAAGTCCTCAATGAAGGTTGTCATGGGGACAAATCATAAAAGAAAGCACGCGTTCACAGCTGATACTGCACCTGAGGGACTAGAGGAGAGTTCAGTGGCTGAAACGACGGGAAGTGTAGAGTGTGGGAATATCTGGAGCAACTTTTCAAGGATGATAGACTACCTACACAGAGAGAGACAATACAATGTTGTGGCATGTCTGACAATTAAAGCTCCTGTGATGTGCTTTTAGCTGCTTATGAAATAGACCATAATTATAATTAATTCCTCTATATGACTTAAATAAAGAAATGAAACTATCAGCGACAACAATGATTATTCAGCCTGGCTTTAGTATCTAACCTATTCTATTTCCTGTTTTTCTCCTAAAATTCACCAGGAGAAACAGGTGAGACTGTACAGGAGCCTTTCTCGAGGCTTAGAGGTGATATCTTTCAAATGGCTAAGTGTCTTCTTAAAAGGAGAAATAAGACAAGACACGCAAAAAGAAATAGGCTTCCTCTGTAAACCACAAACTCAAGCCTTCAAAATAAAATTAATCAACCGCTAAAATCAAGGACATCAGGAGCTTTACATTGTATATTTACATTGTACATTTATTCCTGACAATACAAAGTTATTTGGAAGTCCTTTTAAATTCATCGTGATATAGCCTTTAACGTTTGAGTGACAGTCTGACAGTCAGAATCAGAATCAGATTTATTGGCCAGGTATGCTTACACACATAAGGAATGTAACTTCTGAGAACTGTGCTCTAATGCGTACAGGTACAACATTAACTATCAACAATAAACATAATAAGAAAGACTAATATTTACTTGATTAAATATGAAACAGTGCAGTGGTGAATAGTGCAAAATATGCAGAAGTAACATGTTAATAAGAAAAATGACAAATGGGTCAATTAAGATGTAAATTACAGTATTTACATAAATAAGTGTGCGTATATTCATCATTTAAATTAAATAATATATGTATATTCACTGATGGTTTGGTTTAGGTTTGGAGTGAAGGGGGGCTTCTCCTGAAGTCCTTGGTCATCTCCACAGTCTTGAGCGGGTTCAGCTCCAGATGGTTCTGACTGCACCAGAGGGCCAGCTGCTCCACCTCCCGTCTGTAAGCAGACTCGTCTCCGTCCTCGATGAGACCGATGACGGTGGTGTCGTCTGCAGATTTCAGGAGTTTCACAGAGGGTCCCCTGAGGTGCAGCCATTTGTGTAAAGGGAGAAGAGCAGTGGGGAGAGAACACACCCCTGGGGGGCGCCAGTGCTGATTGTCCGGGTGCTGGATGTAGTGCTCCCCAGTCTCACCTGTTGTCTCCTGTCAATCAGGAAGTTGATAATCCACTGACAGGTGGAGGCCAGCACTGAGAGCAGGGTGAGTTTCTGGTGCAGGATGTCCGGGATGATGGTGTTGAAAGCCGAGCTGAAGTCCACAAACAGGATCCTAGCAGAGGTCCCAGGGAGTCGAGGTGATGCAGGATGTAGTTTAGCCTCTTCCTCAGAAAGTTAAGAGAACTCCGTCAGCTCGACATTTTATCTTCACCTTTTTGTCATTGCTCTGTCAAAAAGTCCAATTTATGAGACGCAAGTATGGCTAATGTTTTCAATAACTTTATTAATAATGCTCATTCATATCGTGAAACCTGTTGAATGATAGTTTGTTTGTTGTTTTTGACAAATATAAACCATCATTGTTGTTTGCTAACGTAGCAAGGTAGTACATATCGGTAACATTAATGTTGCATTTACACTGCAAGATTAATGTTATTAAATTTGATTATTGTGCAGGACTGGGATTAATGTCTGTGTTTTGTATTTCTCTTCTGCTGACAGTGACAGATAATCCTATTTGTTTGACTCTTTCACGGTTTTTTTAATTCATATAAAGTTTGAAATGTTTCCTTCAATCATTATCTTAGTTTATTATCTTATTATCTTAGTTCATACATTCTCATTGTGAATGTAATGTAGTTTATTTTAAGTCGGCATTGTTCATTTTCATATCAGACTATAGTTGTATAGAACTTTTCATACAACATAAATGTATTTGTTCATGTTTGGGGGTATTTTTGAATTAATATCAGGGTACATAACTATTTTAAAGCCTGCATGTTAGATTGGTTTGAATTAAAAATATTTTATTTTAATTATTAGGTGTCAGAGAAGTATCGTAT